GAGTTTAAATAGTCTCATCGTCAAACCGCACTCCCTTAAGCGATGTGGCGAAGATGTAGAAAATCGTAAACTTTTGTATTTTCTATGATCATACGAGTAAGCGGTTCCTCTGATGGTATACGTTCACCACAATGCACATTCACCGGAGAAGTTGCAAAAGCTGCGCCAGACTTTTAGGCAATAGCACCTCTTGTATTTTAAAGACAAATAGGTAAGTGAAACAAAAACAGGGACTCTCATTGTTTCACTTATTTACTCTACGCTTAACGAACGATTATAATGAATTCTTCTTTCACTTCGAGAAATATTTAATTATGTAAGGAACAACATTAAAGGAGTCTTAAAGTCTAGTCGTCCGTTGTGAGAGGAGGAGGAGGAAAGGGAGTTAAACTATTTTATAATTCTTGCACACACTCCTCCAAATACATCCTGGCTAAATAGCCTATCCACATCTGCGCTTGTAACAGAATGGTTCTGACCAAGTTCGGATCATTAATATCTCTTGGACACCTCGCCGCTGAAGCTTTTACGAAGTACTGTAACTAATTGCACAGAAGAACTATTAAGAATATTAAGAAGAAGAAAGAAAATTAAAAAGTACTCATACGAAGCACGCAGAGTCCGCCATTCAAATATTCAGTCAGTAGCTGAAGGATCATTCCCACTATCTCCATATACTATAAAGTATATGATTATATATGTGATAACTTAAAAAGTATATGATTATGTAGTAAATATATCAACGCAATACCAGTTGAAATTCATTTACATAGTATGAATTACAATGGAAAATAACAGTAAAGTACTTTATTATGTTCACTGTGTACTGTGCAGTGTATTATTGTTGTTTAAATATTGTTATTATGTTTATCGCCGATTCCTAATTAAAATATGCGAAAGAACGTGGCATATTTTGTAATGTATATATATTAATACGTGATTTAAAACTCCTCTTTTTACAAAAATTGCGCGGACGGAGAAGTATGAAATTTTCCACACTTATATTTTATATAGAGGAGTGCAGAATCTTAATTTTTTTTAATTATGCGTAAAAATACAATAAATCAATAGAAACAATGTACAGACACTACCATGTATAATCAATTATGGTCGAATTTCGACCAATGGTCGACCACATTTTTTTTTAATTTACTATATAAAAAAACATATTATTCATTTAATTAAATTTTTTATTAATGAAATTTGTTTAATTAATTAAATTTAATTAAATTTATTTTAGAATTTATTTATAAACACGACGACTAAATATTTTATACTATCGGAAGTACTAATCAGCAACAGACACTTTACGTAAGTTTAATTTTTTTATGAGGCGTTGGTTCAAATTAACATGAACAAACTGTTGGCGAACGGACAGCAATAAATGTTTCTAACATAATTTACTTGAGATGTTAAAGTTCCAATCATTATTAATTAGAGAACCCAGCGGGTAGAACAATCTTGTATGTGGGTACGTATTTTGATTTGTGAGAAGGCTGTTTTAGCGCTTCCGTTTGTTTATCAAAGTAGGTAGTGCGCAGTTTGCCGGCTTAAAAAACTCGGTGCGCGCGTACTGCACGGCTAATGCGCGTAACACGACTCTTAACGGGTTTCAGAGGCGCGAAGTGTCGCTGATAACCCACACCTGTGTACACCACCTGCGCCGTTATCGGCCGCGGTGAAATTACCTCATAAATAAATATAATACCAGAGCATCCTTACGGGCTGCCGCAGTATGTCTGACAATTCATTCGAGCCCTAACAGATTTACGCCCGGTTTCTGAAACACTGATCATCGTATAAGTCAAGTAATCAGCTGTCAAATGGCTTTCGGATGTTGTTAAGTTGCCAAAAAGATGGTTAAACTCTATGAATTGATCAGAATGATCTTCTTAATGATACGATGATCCGTGTTTCATAAACCGGGCGTTAGTTCCGTTTTTTTGTAATAGCCGCCACCATCAACATCAACTTTGATTAATCTTTTGCAATTCCACTTTCAGTCACTTGCGGCTGTTTCCAGGAAGGCATCAGTCTCTCTCATACTCTTCATCTTATGAAAAGTTATAATATTCAGAACAAATACGTACACATAGGTATTTTTTTGCCCTGAAATTTAAGGAAGGGCTCTATTACGCATATACTCGAAATTCACTTGCAAGGTTTTTCTCGAAGTATTGATTAATAGTATAAAATGAAGGAGCACTCTTTGTCAGACTTATTTATATAAATATTGCCCACAATGACAGATTTAGTGTATTTTTTTTGGGAATTCCCTGTATTTACAATTTGTAACAACCGACCGATTTTCTTACCTCATTTTTATTTATGAAGTAACCTTACATATGAATGACGAATTAAACTATTTGCATACAATCTTAAAATAATCAGATATATAAAAACATACGCAAAAATTACACGTACTTTATTTCAAATCAAGATAAGATTTCATGCGTTTCTCGTAATTTTTTTACAAATAATAATTATCATAATAATTACCTAACATTAATGCACTTATGACAGCCAATGCCTCAGAAATGATAGACGACATACCCTACTCGCCTATTAATTATTTATCAACCTACATATGTGTTTAGTATATGGCTGTGAATTTAACACATAATATTATAAAATTATAGATATGCATGTTAAATAACTATTACTTAAACTTTGCATGATAATAATTCGTCAGGTAAACAAGACTTCAGGCTTAAAGCCTTTTATCAGGTGACATCTTGTTTACTGTATAAATGATTGTTTAATTTAATGTGTTTATTATTGAACTAAACTTGGAAAACGGTCAGCTTACAATTATATGGAATGGAAAAGATTCGAAGTTCTAATTACTACTCGAAAATATCATTATGCGACTTGATGGAGAATATCAATATGATTTCAACTTGTTTTATTTAAATTTGAAGTAAGAAACTAATTTAATGGTAAAAGCCAAAGCGTTAAGTTTCGTTCTTATTGAACTGTTTGCCTGGCAGTGGGTAGTGCCGACTGACCACTGCCGACTCTCTTTATACCATCTCATCTTCATTCAAAAATATTTAAATTCCAAGAAAACCATGGAAAATAAAAAAAGAAAATATTAAATGTATAAAATTTTACAGATTACTTCTAAAAATGGGCCCAAAGTAAACTAGAAACATGACAGCGATATTTTTTACAGTATCTTGACATTAACTATCGTTATGATATCTCCGTTATGATTTCGCTTGAAATCTGTAAAGTGCATTATATTGTATTGCGTTAAATCTATAGCTTTGCGGTATAAATGTTTTGCGATATCACTGGCCATCAGACGACGTAGGTGTCAGCTACCATAGGTAATTTTTGCACAGGGTCCGAAGAAGCTAAACGCAGCCCTAGGCCGAAAGCAAAACAATAATCGAACAAAGATAATTATGAGCGTATGTTTTAAAGTTATTAATTTTACGCTGACACAAATTCGTAATAAGCGTAATCACGTTCCACTGATAGGGTTATTGCGTCGTGTACCTAATTTCCGCGAGTGCGACAGGTACACTCCGCACTAAGAAGCTCCAACGTGCACTTGTCACAAGGCCGGCCACACCTATGCAATCGCACCACGTAATCGTGCATGATAAAGACACTTGTATGTACGTGGAAGTTAGTTTCCTGATTGGCGTGAAATAGGCCGGATGCCTCCATACGACAAATTTATATAAAACATTCGGCGTATAGAGTCGGTGATGGAAAAAGTTAGCCCATTTGCCTCCAAACGACACTAGGAAGATAGCACCGAAAGATCATGTTTCAAATAAGTCAAAAATTAAATAATTTGATGATTTGTTCATTGTTGCCATGTATTTTGAATTTTCAAAACTATAGCATTCAACGTTTTTCGTAATGTATTTTGGTTCATACTGTTTAAAAATGAACGTTCCGGTTAGTTTCTAGTATTGAGTTTAATAGACAGTTAACAGATTAATGTTTCTAATGTGGTTCTCATACCAGTAATAGGTATTAAAAGTATAACGCTAGTAAACGAAAAAATTGTATCAAAATTTCATATTCAAGTCCACAGGCCCTGTGGCGCAATGGATAACGCGTCTGACTACGGATCAGAAGATTCCAGGTTCGAATCCTGGCAGGGTCGCAAGTTTTCGTTTTGTCTTTTTGCTTTTATTGTTTTTGTCTCAAGTTTCCATTCTTTTTGTTTTACCCTCGCTTACCTTGATAATTTGCCGTATTGTTGAACGTTTTAACAACGTTCAGTTAATGTTTGGCAAGTAAACTTGTTATATAGCATTTTAGTGTTCGATTTGCTTTGACTCTTAGTGGAATGGGTTTAGAACAGAAAATCGTTTGAAATGAGGAAAAAATACTTTAAACGATTTTAACCTTTATCACGTATGTGGGTAGGTTTATTTAGCCGCGTAGAAGTGATTGTCGAGTGTGGAATTGGCTCGCAGCTGACCAAATATTGTAGTCGCGATAATTGGCCGTGATGCAATCGCGTGATCACCGCATCCGTTCAAGGAGGCCACCAATTTCTTAGATTCTTCACGAGACATACGCGAATAGACAATATTTTTTAGTTTTTTGATGAAGTACTAGCTTTTTTATGTTTAATGTTGCCAAGCGAGCAGGCAGTTCACCTCATGTTAAGTGAATACCGCTGCCCATGGATATCTGCTACACCTGAGGGTTACAGATGCGTTGACAACCTATTAAAAATTGGGATCCGACTACATCACTCACCAGACGAAATGCGAAAGTATTTGCCATACTGTACGTCGTTCTTCTGTGAAATTGTGGTACTTACCAGGACATGGCCGGATTTAGAGGTCTGGAGGCCTTGGGGCAACAAAGGAGTGGAGGCTCCTTGGCCTTAATTATTTTCCAAATATTTAAGGCAAATATTTATTGTGAAACCATGTATAGTTAGGTAAAGGTAAAATGCGAAGAAAAATGTGAAAGCTAAAGTTAGTTTAGTTTTTTTTTAGTAGAATTTTTTTCCGAAGTCTTTATTGTGGTGGTCCCTCTTTTGTGGGAGTCTCGAAGCTGTAGTCCTGGTTGCCCTCCCCTAAATCCGACCCTGCAAACGGACACGAGCCTGCCCATTCGTGCAACAGCCGAGGCTGCTGCGTGGCCCTACCACAGTTGAACTTGAGCTGAATCCGGTCGACCATCTTTATAGCTCGATCTTTAAGATTGATAAGATATTGACTGAACATTTGATGAAAGATTAGGAGGAAGTAGCGGAAGTGGTTTCACCAAACTCAAGTTCCAATTCGATAGAAGAATAAAAGAACAAGAAAAGCTTGTCAACATGTGCGAATCCGGAAGCAAACATATCAAGTCATTTTACTTTTCAGTTGTCCGTTCAGAAATATACCCCGACTATAAAATATCTATAAACATACAAAATAGTAGTATAAAACTATGTCATTAAAAATATTGCGGCAACTGTGAGAAAAAATCACTTTAGCGAAAATAATAATTAATTTTTTACAAAAATTACGAACATATTATATTCTACGGTGTTAGGGCCACGTAGCGGCCTCGGCTGTTGCACGAACGGGCAGGCCCGTCCGGGTTAGTACCACGACCTCACAGAAGACCAGCGTAAAGTGGAAGTATGACAAATACTTTCGCGTTTAGCTTTTATTTTTTTTATTGTGTAAAGTTGCTAAGCGAGCAGATGGTTCAGCTGATGTTAATTTTCAGTTGGTGTTCTGGCTACCTCACTCACCAGAGCCCAATTTTCAAAAGGTTGTCAACGCATCTGCAACCCTCGGGTGTAGCATTTGTCCATGGGCGACTGGATGGTATTCACTTACCATCAGGTGAATCGTCTGCTCGTTTGGCAACTTTTCTCATAAAAAAAAACATATAACCGCATATTGCAATAAAACATATGGCTTCTTTTTCATTAGTTTTCTTTATACGCCGGCAAAGAATGATTTTGATTAAGCTATCATAATAAGAAAAAAAAAATAGTACTGCTGATTGTATTGCAATCACAAAAATTTAATTTACTTATGCCTTATATGAGAGATGAAGTAACAGACATGTATGTATACGTATAACTTGTATTTCTTGATCAAACAGTTCTCCACATCAATAACTTTTATTATCTGAATTTAGTCCAGTTTATGGTCTCTGACTAAGTAATAGGTACTACAATAGGTACGTGGGAATAAAGGAATATAAGGATAAGGCATAAACGATGTAATCGTGCGGAAATTAAAAGAGATGTAAGTTTTAAATACCGTTTTAATTTTAAGATTGTCAGATAAAATAGTAGTTTTGTAAAATCAGTGCATACATTAGAAATTGAAACAAAGATAAAATTATTATTAACCGAATAACAAAGTTCGGATGACTTCGGTGACAGAATTTGTGACGTGTTGGAAAAGTGTTGCCAGAAGTGTGTGAAGTCGGAATTTCACAATTAACCATACAATCCCGCATTGCTGCGGTTAAGACAAACAATACAATTCGTCTGACACTTGCAACGCCCTCAATAACTAAAACTATAACAGTCTATTAAAATCATAATACACCATAATAAGAATTGTATAAGATAATTAAAGCATTTTCACCTTAAATTCAAAATAAAATCATAATAGTTTCAAATCGATAATTTGCAATTAAATTTTTTATATGTTTTCACTTTACATACACTATTTACACAATACACGTGCCCGACGCAAGGTTTAAGTTTAAAAAAAAGTCACTTGCGTCTAACACTTATATCAAAATAAATCAATACTCTAGTAGCAACAAAATCGCCATGCATAATCACACTAGTGAAGTTTTCAACTTAAATTATAATAATTATAAGTAAATCAACTTTAAATCGATTCACGTCTTTGATATTAATGGAAGCATCGTTTAGAAACTAAGAACCTAGATGTGATTTGAATAGAAAAAAGTTTACATTATACATTGACGAAAATTATACGAAGCGTGTCCAAAATTTACATACATAATAACTTTTCTTTAACACAATACAAAGTAGCGATATATAGTCGACAATAAGTGCTTAGATATCCCTCAAACCACTCTATATATTTACAAACATGCCCAAATCCATCTTACTAAGAACTAGTAAAGCTTTATACATAAAGAAAAACTATTAACAAAACAGGTGGCCTCGCGGCTCGTGCCAGCGCTGCCACCTTTTGCATTGCAATGCTCAAGTCTTCGTGTAATGCCACAGATTAATTAAATTAACGTAGTATATTGATCGTAACGAGATCGCATTAGGATATCATCGCGAGACGATGTACTCTGGAACTGTCGCTGGTTCGGGCCGACCCGCCTCCGAGGTATTACTTCATGTTTCACCATAAATTAAAATGTCCTTATTAACCTAAGCGCCACTTAGCACGACATCGGCCTGTCCGGTTGGTCTTGCTTTTCGGGGGTCTGAAACAAAGGAATTGTTCGGTTATTACATGGTACATGCATGTATATTGCACAAGCATTTCGTACATCAGTTGCATTAATGTAGTGTTCAAAGAGCCCTCGCATAATAACTGCTAGTGGTTGCGACGTGTATTACTTATATCGGCACATACGCAGCCATCTGTCACTGCATATGCGCGCCGTTTCAACACCGTTTCAATATATTAGTGTCCGGACAAGGGCCAGTTGTTTGCCACCCTAATTCGAGTGCAGGCATCGCATGGCGAGATTGCTCTATTAGCTGCAGCGACACCGGGCGGTTCCGAGTTCGATTTACAACGCGGCACTCGGCGATCCCGCTTCGGCTTTCCGAGTATCGGCAAGTGTTAGATTACCGTTTCCCGTCCGCTCACATCCGCGACACAGCTGAACGACCGCACGTGGGCACACCCTATTTACGGATACACCGAAGGGAGGGCCGCACATGTCCCGGCCGCGAGACTTCGCGAGGACACGTGAAATCCCTTTATGAGACGAGCATTGTCGGCCGGATAATGAATAGGTGCGCATTTATTTAGCTATCCGCCACCACGTGTGTGCGCGCAGCTGTGAGCGACCGTTACCCGCACAATGGCCCGATCGACCGGCGACGGAATCCAGGCGATCGGCGAAATCGCTGCACGTGTGCGAAGGTCCGCGCAGACGGGCTGCATTGTCTACTCGCGGCGCTTTATCGCCCGCTTCGGGGAAGCGTATAGGTGCTCGTAAAACTTTCACGCGCGATTTACGGTCGAAGCGCTGGGAGACAGATAATCGGGAGGCGACGAGGTTGCAACGCGTGGGCGCGGACACCTGGCGGCTCGTTAGCGTCGCGGCGGGGACGCGTAGGCGCGGACTGGCTCTGTCCATACATTTATGGCTTCCACTGGCTTCGCCTAGCAGAGATCGATGGTCGGATGTCCGCCGCCGCTCTATGGGGCTCTTTAATTGATTTCGAAAGCCACCATGCGGGCCCTAATTGAAGGACTGAGTCATACAGACGTTTCGTAACTAACGAGGATCCGTTACTTTCACTCACATAGAAATTATCGTCATGGCACCAATTGGTTACAGGAGATGTTTATGATTGGGGTGCGGCCTATTATCGCGAACACAAAAGGGGTGTGGATGCGGATTACACGCCTAACGGCGCTCATTTAAAGTGCTTAGCCGATATTGTGGTCTGAGCGTGAAGTCAAATAAGAGTCGATCCCGACGTTTAGAAATCGTGACACTAAAAGGGCAAAGGAGACAATAGACAGCGGTCTTCGGCCGAACAAAACCGCCACGTGAAACGTTAAGCGGTGTGATAGATGCAATGGCTTCGTGAGAGTTAGTGGGAGCGCCGCGGGTAGCAATTACCGTCTACAGTACCGCGGCGCGTGATCGTGACCGAGCTATGTGGCACGACGCTCGATGGCCCCAGAGATATCGCGGCGAAATGCCGCCGCTTCACGACGCGCTACGATTGCATGAACACCGACACGACGCCCCACAGCCATTTTCGTAGTGAAAACTTCTCTATGCGCGCTGAGCTCTATTTTGTGGGTAATGGATGAGACTTAACGTAGGTAACGCTATGTTACGTTTTTCGAGTAAAGTCGGCTCGAGTTGGCTGAGGGAACGAGGAAGATATATAGATATATATCTTCCTCGTGCTGGTGCGTGGCCCTATCATAACCAATTACGGACCATTCGTTAACTGGAATCGTTTCGGAGAGAATAAACAACGTCCTTGCGAGGTGCGAATCCAGCCGTGTGCTGGAATGTGGTCGCATTAATCGACATTCCGTCGGCCGCGCGTTGTGTAGGCGTTATATTAGTAAATAACGAGGATATAGTGCGGTACCGCTGGCGCTAATCGTGGCAGCCGTCGGCCGCCGCCAGTGCGCAGATGAATAAGTCACGATAATTAACGTGCGCTACGTCGGTGCGTTGGTAATAACAGTAGCAATTTAGGCCTTTGGACAAGGATAAAGGTAATTGACGATTACCGGCAGCTGCTAGTAGCACGCGATTCGCGGTACGTTGTCTTCGATTGGAACGAATGGTTAGCTAATAAAGTATCATTTATACAAAGAGTTTATACAGGCCACAAGCCAATCTATGTCTACATATTCACCACAAATAGCTTTACCACGGTTTCGCGTGATAATTGCATCGCAGCTGCGGAAAATCCATTTATACCGGGACACTCACCGGGTAATGTTAGAACAGCGGGCCGCGTCTCCTAAATCACCGCTCTTGAACGCTTCTCTCGGCCGTAACGGCTGGCAGAGATCGAAATTTACGTGGCGAGACCGAGAAGTATAAAACGGGCGGCCTGGGCCGCGTGGACGAATAAATCCTGCGGGCCGCACCTGCCGCGGTGCGGACAGCACTGGCTCGTATTCCACAGAGTATATCGTGCACACGTCGGCCGGAAATGAACTTTGACAGTGAGTACTGACGGCCTGTGACGGAACGCCGACACGCAGGTGCGAGGCGGAATCTCGAACGAGATAGCGTTGAATATTCAGATTGTCGGTACACGGCCTTTCGCGGCGCCGGCGCAGGTGGCCGCGCTCCAAGGCTGAAATACGAAGCCGTCACGCGTGTGGACTTCGGCTTAGGCCGAACGCAGGCTCGTCCGTTCTACTGATCACGGTGGCCTGACGCAATCGTGGCCAGGAGGAAACCGAAAGCCAGCCATGGTTGCGGTTGTCAACAATAGTCGGATGCAAGGCTGTTAGGTTCGCTAGTCGTATTCAGCAATAAATACAGATTGTTTACGGCGTTCTGTGCGTTGCCACGTGTTGTGAAACTCGGCATCTCCGCTTTTACCTTCGCGCGCTTGCGAAACGCGCAGGTGTGCGCCGCAAAAACATCGACACGGCCGATTTCATTTACTTTTTATGCAATAGTGTCTACGCTCCGAGCGTTGTGCCAGAGCGACTGTCTAAATAAATTGGATAATAATAATATTTGAACAAAATGAAAGGCTGTCTACCGCTTTAGATATCCCGTGTTAGGCGAAGAATATTTAATTATTGGATTTGCAAACTCACAGTTAAAACGGTTACTTACTACGTAAACATGTAATATTAATTTGGTGACTTACCGTGTGAGTCGAGTGGTGTTGTGTGGGACGAGAGCGCAGGATGGTGTTTGGCGCTGCGCGGACACCGAGCGGACGGCGCCTGGTCTTCGGCGAGGGCGGTGAGCATGGCGCCAGCGCGGCCTCCGCCTCGAATTGCCCCACCGCTGGGTGGTTCTCCAGCGCTGACTGCAGGTCGCATATATAGTCGATCACGTGCTGTATCACCTCCAGCTTCGAGATCCGCCTGTTCTTCGGCATGAACGGCACGAGGTCTTGAAGCTTGGAGAGGTACATCTGGATTTCAGCGTTCTCGCCGTCGCGATGCCTCTGCACCCGGCCACCGGCGATAGCTGGCACCGAGGCGCCGGTCGCGCACATCGCCGTTATGGCTTTCATCTTCGCGGGTCACTGAACACGAGCACTGGTCGGGGAACGTAAACGCGGGACGCGTGCGTCGCGGACGAGCGATGGCTGAGGAATGAGGAGATGCGCGCGGCGCCGTTGTATTTATGGGCGCTGGTGGGGCGCGGGGCGGGTCGATGCGGCCAATGGGCGCGCGGGGCGGGGGCGCCGAAGCCTGATTTTCCCATGGCCCGGTGGCGCCCGCCCGCGCCCGCCCGCCCCCGCCCGCCCGGCTAAGGCCGTTGCGCCCGTGACACGCACTCTGTCCCGCGCCCATGTTTGTTTTCACGACGCTAAATAACACCTCCAGTTTATCCAGATTGATATATTTTTTTGTTGGAAACATTTTCTTAGCGGCGTATATACAAAAACAATCAGTCTGTTACTCAGATGATTGGGCAGATAGGAAGTAATAATGAGTACTGAAGTTATATAATAGTGTCAAACAATTTTGAATAATTTAATACAACAAAGGAGTTATACCATCTTCTCTTTGTGTTCTGACAGATAAATTAGGTTTTTACGAGCAACATAGAGTGCAATAGCTCTAAACATCAGTATATAATATTATTTAAGATATAAATAATAGCAGTAGCTCTGGCCTTTAAAGCTCTTTTTTTTCCAGTTTGTAATTAAATAAATACGTATTCTTGTGCCTTTGATTATCTTATAAATATGACATTGTAAATAAGGTATTTATATTTATTTCATCTATGAATTAACAAATTTTATTTTAACATGAACCTTCTTCCTATGACATCAAAAAGAAGAGTAGGCGTTTCAATTCCTACTGTCCTTAAACAATTACCCAATCCATTTTTACTTGTAAAAGAGAATAATATAAAACCAAATACAAGTATTTTATATGATACTAAAGTTTTTTAAAAAATGTTCCAAATTTAATTATTTAACGTTTTACTTCAAGCTTATGAAAAATAAATAAATAATAAATAAATAAATAAATAAATTTTCTGTTTTATCTTTATATGTCGACTTTACGGGTTGACGAGGAGAGAATGCATTGCACATTAAGTTCGGTCTTTTTAATCCTAGTTTAAGATAATGGCAATCTATATACATATAGATTTCCACTAATTGATTCATCACGATATCTCTGGAACCATAAGTCGTAGAGACTAGAAATTTGGTAGGAATATTCCTTTAGCCGAGTAGAGGTTAGCCAAGACTAAATAAATAATTTTATAGTTTGTAGCTTTTGAGCCTATCAGTAATTATTGAAGTCAATTACTTTTATATTATTTATTAAAGTCAATCACAGAGTATTGTTTAAAATTTTCGTAGTGCCTCGATTATTTTCTAGAAAAGTATTAAAAGAAAAAAAAATATAGGTAAAATTAAATATTAAAGTTTAATGCATTAAGATTGCATTCATATAATTAGATAATTCACTATGTCGAGTTTATTAAGTCGAGTTTAAGTTTGTTTCCATTACGCAGTAATATCACTTCAAGTTCGACTAATGACCATCGCCGATAGCACAAAGGTGGTACACACTCATCGCGATAACAATAAATGGCGAGGTCCCACAAAAAGGACGGTAACAAATCGCTGCGGTGGGAATGAGACGATCGGTGATTCATCAGGCGATGATTAAACGCTGGCCCCGTTTGGAATATTCCGCCTTTTCGATTAGCCCCCGACGTATCTACGTGTCGGGACAATCGGGCGGCCGCGGGTTCTGTGCCGGCCGCCGAAAGGGGGGGGGGGGGCTTGAACAATGGACGTACGTGTCGGCATCCACTTGCCGCGGTCCCACGCGACAGGTCCGCGCCAGGAGGCTGCGCCCGACTCCTACGACCGCGGGGGATCAAAGTTAATTGGACAGCCCGAATTGTCCCACCCGATATTATGGCCCGACCAAAAAGTACTTTTACTTGGACGCCCTTGAAATGCTACGGGGATTATCGTGTTAAAAGGCCGCGATTGTTATATTTTGTATTCAACGTTATTGAAAAATTTTACACGATATTCTAATACTACTGATATTTGATTAATTTATCATATTCAATGCGAAACGTATCACGAATTTTATACTTAATTTCAAAATTCAAGAATAGGATAATAGAAAAGTTGATGAGATAAGATGGTTCCATCGTTGAGAGACTTATGAAGTATTTATGTATCTAAGGTATGCTTAACTAAACTTCTTAACTAAAAAGAAGAGTAGAGTTCCAATTAAATACGGTATAATAGTATGTTTAGCACAGTTTCGATAGAGATATCTGATAGAGAGATTTTCAAAAATTTAATACTATTTGGGAATTCTTCTATCTATGAAAACATAGCAAATTATAAGTCAATACCCAGCAGCAGGATAATTTATACAAAAGCTGTTACTTTCCTCCAGTGGTACGCAAATCTGAACCTGCCCCGGTTTAATCAGTAAGGCAGGTAATTTGTTTCATATTATATGTAATATACATCCATTAAAAAAATGTATCAGCCTATAAATGTCCCACTGCTGAGCAAATGTCTCCTCTGTACAGAGGGTATCAGGGCATACCCTCTGTACAGAGGTGCCAATCCGCAGTGGGCCCACCACGTGGCCCCACTGCGGATTGGCGGACTTCACATATCTTCTAAATATTTTTTTTGTTATTATTTCATATGCATTATTAAATATGCAGGTTTCCTCACGATGTTTTCCTTCACCGCTGAGCACGTGATAATTCAGCACTTCAAATTAACAATTTCATTGGTGCCGGCACCGGGGATCGAACTCTGGTTGCTCGAGTATTTTGAATTAAAAGCGAGCGCCTGGACACTGAGCTACCACGGCTCTTAATCCATTTGATGAGTCATATTTGTTTACAACCCAACCTTAATACAACAAAGACGACTTAAGCACACAATTTCAGATCCTTTTATTGTGACTCCGAGAAGAGTACAAGGTCGTGGTGGTTTTTAGTGATAAATATAGCGATCGTATAATTTAGATTATGGAGGCACTGGCACTGGAGCATTTTATTATAGGGTACGCCTGTACTCGATAATGTATATTCCATCAATTCTGATGCCTATTTGTGGTGCGAATTAATTTTGTTATGTTAAAATTTTCCTACAATAACCTTGAAATAAAATAAGCTTAGTTATAAGTCTTTCTCATTTAAAGGATATGTTGTTAATGACTGAAATTATTTCGGATTTGATTTCGGAATGAGGAGTAATTACTTATGGTTATCAAATTTAAAGATCTTGGTCATGATATAGGCTGGGTATAGTAAGCGCTTTTAGTAAACTTTTACTGAGTAGTAGTCGTTTTTTCCTTTTGTGCATTGATTTATTGTTTCTGTAAAGAATCGTTGTGCATATTTAAAACGCACGTAGACACAGTGTTTGATGGACAATCGCCGTATCTTTGTAAGGTGCACACGAAGGTTTTAAATTCGATTGTGTTTTAGTATCTACCCTGTAGCCGTTGGATCGGTCCAGGGCGACCACACAAAGAGGTCCGAATGGTAATAATAAAGCCGTGGATAAAAAAGGACGCCGGCAAAAAGTCACGAGTCACCTTGGAGGCGGGAGTAAAGAACTCAGGTAGTGAATTGCTTCATCTCGAAATGTATGGCTCGCTAATGCTGATGCGATTTGATAAATTAGACCGGATAATTTAAATTGGCCAATTTTGAATTTTTATAGTTATAATGGCGACCATTCCATCTTTTAATCACGGTGTTTTTTGGTAGTTCGTGCTTTAAATGTCATATGAGATTGTTCTTGTAAATATTATTCCCGTTGTATCTTTTACAATTAGAAAGTGCTCTTATTTATTTCTTTTGTACTTTCACAGACATTGCACATCTTGCATTTATAAATATACGGAAGAAACATACATTGAATAAAGAAGTCCTCCGATCTGCGTCAATTGAAAGAGCTTCCGTTTATAAATGTTAAATGTTTCGCAATATTAAATTAAGTGAGAGATTTGACTTGTGTGCGTAAATTGTGTTACAGAAACGACCAATACGTTTGAGAATCAGAAGAATAACGTCAACGGAAATGAATTAGTGCTAATCTTCCCATCTTAGATTGAAACGATATGAGATTAAAAATTTGTATTTACATTATAGGAGTAGAATTAAATAATATATTAAAGAAAATTATGACGTTGTAGACAATATCTCCATTTTCGATAAAAAGATTTGAAATTTTTATATGAGTTAGTTTTTTTATATACAAATACCATTTCATACCTGATTTGATTCGCCATGAAACTTATACTCGCTTTTGCATTAGTGTTTGTATATATTTAACATTGGTCTGACGAATAATTAGCCAGGTGCAGGTGGATGCTTATGTGTTTGTTTGACCATTTGATGTCAAAACGTGTTTTCACGGCTGCCTTTGCAATTAGATTCACTCGCAGACAATTTACTTTACCGGCAACTACATTGTCCGCTCACGTACCGAGTCAAGTCTTTGTGGAATGCTTAAATTCAGAAAGCCTCTCGCTGTGCAATTTGCTCCGGAATATTGTTTTAGATGGACAGGTAACGTCCATTGTTGTGAAGGCGACAACATTTATAAAAACTAAAAATGAAAAAAAAACCTACGCTGAGTAGACACCGTAAGGGTCTGTACACATCTAAAAATATTCTTGAAAATTCTATTAATATATTTATGTATATAAGACATTAAGACATAAGACATTTAATCCGACACTTCATCTGCACACATCATATTTGGTTATAATGTTTATAATTTCACAAGAAAAAAAACAAAAATAAACTAAAAAAATAAAATAAGCAAATAAATAAAATTATCTATGAGTAATTACAAGAAAAAAAATACATTTTTACATAAATTTTAAGAAAATTAAATAAGAATTATATAAATCTAAACTAAAATGAGACTACTACATATACGACATTATAGACTACTTTATATAATTCTATACATGTAAAAAAGCAAAACAGATGTAAATGGTAATTTACATTTTGATTTTTGTAGCGTATGCAAAATGCTTATCTGCGGTTAAGTGAAAATAAATTTAAAATATACTATAGGTAGTTTTGAAAGTCTTTTCTCCATTGGTACATACTTTATTTAATTGAATTAATCACTATTAAGTGAATTAATCACTATCCATTTTTATTGCCAGGAAAATACGTCGATGTGTACAAGCCCTAAGACCTTTCAAACGATGACATTTCGCAAGGTGCTTTTATTGCTGTATGGGATATTCAATGGCAAAAAAAATCTAATACACAACTTTGTTCTCACAGATGTCGTAAACGGCGTTTATGGGTCTCTTTAAGTGTGAAATTTGTTTAGAACAGGTAAAGTGTGATTTAATTTTAGGCACGTCTTCAAAAGTACCTTAGCGGAGCAGTTACTAGTGATTAGTTTCTTATAAATTTCCCTTTGCGGGCACAGTAAATATTGTATAAGTAAATAGAATTATTTGTATACCGTTTACTTTTGTGTGAAAACATATAAACGCCTTAAATTTGTATTCGGGCTTAACAGCTCTTTAATAAAAGATGTAATAAAGGATCTGTGATCAATGTACAGGTTGTAAGATAAAGTGAATGTTTTTATAAATTATAAAAAATAATAGGTACGATGAATTGATTACCGCAATTGTTATTTTATTTAGTTGTTTACTTGGTCTAAATTGTTGTATATATGTATACATATACTAAGACTCATTGAAAAGTTTAATAACTAACTCAAAAAAAGATTAATTTTGTGTGACTTTAGTACCTTGGTAATGTGTTAATATAACGTCACAATGCATTCATATATTTTCGCTTTTTATAGTTCAACACAGTTTCACTTTCTACACTATAGAAAAAAAAAATGTTTCCTTATTTGTACTACATGGCTTTTTATAACATTTATAGCATTTAGATTAGATAGATATTATATTATATATTAGATAGATAGCATTTAGACTTTTGATGATAAGGCGGTGGCGAAGTTACTAAGCTGCCGGCTTCGACGCCGGGCATTGCAGGTTCAATTGCCGCAAATGTTTGTGTGACCCACAGACGATTACTCTCGATTTGGGTGTTTATTATCAAGAATTTTCTGATTTCAGGCACGTGGCCGGACATAAAAAAAACGAATTAATACCATTGATTCCCTTGCTGTGGCCCCACCAATGTGGGATAAGGACATGGGAAAGAAGAAGAAGAAGAATATGAACCTTGCCTCTCGAGCATGCCCGCCGTGTCGTAAGCACAAATCATTTACAAATGCAACGCAACGTAAGTTGGGCATTACTACAAAAACTACAAATCTATCAGACAAAAAACGAGAAAAAATCTGCGTCTGTCTCTAAATCTAGCCTTATAACATTCAAGGCTTCAACTGACGCAGCCCATTTGCTACAGCTTCTGCTTCACTTACCATCCATTGCAAAGTCAAACTGACCATTATAAAAAACGAAAAGCGACTCCGTTAAGGCCGTCGCATTAGACACGGTGCGTCGCGTCGTGCTGTGGAAGTTGCGCGCGCGTGTCGCTGCCGTCGCGTGATACACCCAGATTGATCGGGTCCAGTTTCACTCAGTCCATTTACTAAAGGCATAAAACAAAAGCCTGTCGCGTCGCGTGTTTTGTTCGATTTCACAAGTCCAAATAAATTACTTCGCCCGCCGCGCCGCTTGATTGACAATCGATAAAAGATTGGAGATATTTCACCAATCTTTCAGGTTACTTTATCTTGCGAACGTTGAAAATGGATTGTAATGTTATTGTAATATACTGCAAAATTCAATATAACTGTCGTAACTATGGGGAAATTCAAGAAGAGAGCCTACTCCTTCTTGATGGGCCGGCAACGCATTTTTGACCGGTGTTGCGAGTGTCCATGGGCAGCGGCGAACCGTCACCACCAGGTGGCCTGCCAGCTCGTTTGCATTTTTCCAACAAAAAAAATCTAGTGCACATTAGGATCGGAGTAGTGAATGACCGCCAGCTATATTGGTTTTCCCGTTATTACCCCGTCGCGTGCAATTATTGACGGAGCAAACATTTCGTATCCGTGTGATAGGCCGACAGGATCCCTCCGGTCCCACGGGAGGGCGCGAGAAATCCCATAATTCCGTGACCTGCAGGTGCGGTCTCATTACGCTCCCGGGCGCCACGCGACCGCCGCGTGCGGGCCTCATACATATTGGGTTTTGTTTCGCGGATCGAATGCGCTGCACGCACCAGGACAATCGCCTCGATCAAAGATAAATAGGGGTGTGACGGCTATGTAATAATGTGATTTGTGAGAAACTACGTCGTCATACAATGCGTATTCGCAATCAGTCACTATTATGCGAATGATTTTGTTATGTAATGAATGTAAAATAAGTGGACTAAGGCCCGTCTTCGATGGTTTGATAAAAACTAGAAATTACAATTATTGTTACAATTTCTGAGTTTTGAATATGTGATGCTTCAGTGCTTAACACATTCAATCTCTTATATATACGTGCGCCTATGGATACAATTCCTTTACTGTTGCCACATACTTCTTATGTAATAATCTAATAACAACAAATATTCATGACCTGTTAATTCAAGTAACTTAACTGATATATCTATACTTTGTTCACATAAATAAAGTATAAAATGATTTTTATACAAGTAACGTGAGTCACGATTTAAGTGTCTGTATCTCGATTTTTACACAGACTTTCACTTTCTTTTTTGTTATTTTTTCCTTTATTTTAATTTATGCTTCTTTCTTTCTAAATGTACATAAAATGTACCTTCTTAAAATGTGAATTAATTTAGACAAAACAGACGTTGTTTTTTGCAGACGCTTTACCGCCTAAGCTGAGCGGCCGAGGACTTCAAGGAAAGCATTTGACCGTTCATCTCCAAAAATTTCACATTTAAGTTGCATCTCAGGATCAGAGACTGGCACTAAAATGGACTGCGAATATATAACAAACAGAGCGATGAGAGCATTTCCACGAATTACATTCGTTTTCGCTTCAAGCCGAGGGGGGCGCTCGCATCGCTGCGTTCATGGGGCATCCTCGAGTCTTCCGCAACTCAGAGGAAAGGTTCCGATGGGAAAGGCGCCGTTCTCGTGTGAAAGAGGAGGCGGCCTGGGAACCGGCGCGCGGGTCACAGGTCGCCGGGATAATTACGGACGCAACTTTGCCGGCGCACGCGCAGCCCATTGGGGTGCACCGGGCATTTCTGATTTCGTGAGCGGCCTTTTGTTCGGTCACGACTCGATTCCACTCTTGATGTGCACCAATACTTATGTACTTCAATGATGACGCGATTGTTTATGTGTTATCATCAATAAATCGGGTTTTCCACTAGGTGCAAGGCTGCAAGGATTTCAGTTAATGGTACACACTCACAAGTAAAAGCTTGTAGTTTTGTCAGGAATACGGTACAACTTGTCGACTTTTAGTAAATTATCCATTATCAAAATTTACATTTTAAATTACAATAATTGACATGAATTTATTATTTTTATGAAATACTGCGATAAAGCAGTGCAGAAGCATTTCGCAGAGAGAAAAAAACACGTAAATACAGCACAGACAGCACTGCCTTACATCAGGTCGGTATTAAGAAGTATTTACGCGTTTGCATTTATTCTGGCGAGTGAAGTTTTATGTAGGTATCCATGGTCTGCTCATTTGCCACCTTCTTTCATAAATTCTACACAAAGGAAGTCATTAAATGCGTATGTTCCTAAGACTATTTTTATAAGAAGAAGATGTTAGTGTGAAAACGGCAACCCAAAATATGGTTAAGAGGCGTAGATGATTATGAAATTATATATTTACATGTTATCTTGGACACTTTATGTTTATAATAAATTTCTATCTAGTAAGTTTTGGAGATTGGAGAACCTGTAGAACTATAAAGAGGCAATTTAAGAAGTATATTTATTTTAGAGTTTATTAAATCCCATGTTCACCGTGGGTTAGAATGCGGATACCAAATACTATTATAAAACATGAATATTAAAAAAAAAATAAGCGACGTGATTAGATGTATATCGGACCACGGAAAAGAAAACTGATTTTTCCCATAATCCGAGACAGTGAATTGCCAACTTTGCGAGTGGGATTTCATATATTAAACTATGCCATAAGCTTAAAAGGCATTTAATAATGCAGACATCCGCCCACGTGCGCTGCCAATAAACAAATGTCTAGCAATCGGCGTAATGAAGGTGGAGAGGGGGGGGGGGGGGGGGACAAGGGCGTCGCGTGGCGGCCACGCGACAGCATTAAAGTCCTCCATTGAAATAGATGAGGGTGAATATTTAAGCTTCGTGTTGTACATATCTATATACTGCATACGTCCAATTAACTAAGCTACAGTACATTACATTGCACTATGAATATTACTTTGGAGCGATTAATGAACGATTCGCTTTTAACTTCCATCGGTAATTAAGTTTAAAGCAGATTTATGTTGATCACGTTTTGTCTCGGAGGGTTTTCGACATTATATCGTTTAGTTTTGAGTTTTCATTATGGGTAATATGTTTCAATATTATAATATTATAACAATGAAAATTAGACCCAATGAAAATGTTAAAAAGTATCATCTATCTCTTGTATATTGCTGAATCTATCATTCTTATCATCTTTCTAACAGGCTACTCTTGTCCCTTTTGGTACTTTGAAAGCCGCTTGAATAATATCTATAGTCTATCTTAGTTCACACTTCATCACTTAGTTATAAGTATTTGTTGTATTTGTATGTTAAATATTAGTTGTATCTTATATATTTATTTTATTATCTTTGTACCTAGTTTTAGTAAATAAGCTGGTTGCTATCCAGATTTTTTTCATCTTTAATGTTTTAGTAAGGGAATTAAATGGATGGGAATTTGTAAATCAGATAAATGACTCAACTCTGACGCGTTAAAAATTCTTAGTAACTCAATGAATTTGTGCAGATGTTCATATATATTGAAAGTTTTGCTTTCATATATATCTGATTGAATTATTATGAATAATAAGCATTGTATTTAAAGTGAGGGCTCGTGGCGACGTCAAAACGAAACTCCCACAGATTTATAACAATAACCGTGTCGTTCCCACAATCGTTACAATAACGCGCGCAAAAGGCTGGGGATCAGCGGACGAGCCACCCTGAGAGCGAGCTGACGTCACCCAGCGGAGCTCTGTCCAGCCTAACAAAACCCTTGATTAGGCATCATCCTCCAAACTACTCGAAACTACATCCCCAAACCGTAGCGATGCGGGAGGTCATCTAACGCTGGCGGCCTCCAGTGCATGGGGTGTTGTGACACGGCGTGGGAGCTGCCTCCATTGTGGAGGCACTTAACTTGGTCGTGATAAAGGAACTATAGGACCATTAGCCGGATTCGCTTTGCTCATTCGTTGTAGCTGATAAATGAACATTGGATTATGATACGCCACCGATTTAGTGACAGCACAAAGCTTCAGTGACGCGTGAACTCACACTCGTATGGAAACGAAAATATCTTTCCCACTATGTTATGTTTGGGTTTCGTTGTGCTTTGTTTTTATGTAACGTACACAGAGAATGGCGATTTATAAATACTAATAATTGTGTTCACAGGTTTAATACTTATATAACAACGTATTATTTAATATAATAGTTATATGATGTACGCAAAGTATCGAAAGATTTTAAATAGAAATATTTTTTAATGTTCTACATAATTGGCACAAAAAGCATCCCTTTTTATTTTACTTATGTTCCATTTTCCTGAAACAGATCAAAATCTTCGAGTGTGCTCGTTCGGAGACTCGAGAAATTTCCGCAATAACCAATTCGCTATTTCCGGGAGCCAGGATCAACGGGCGGCGTGCATTGATTTCTTCAAGTACGTACTCTGGTTAGCGTATTGCGGCGAAAGCCAGGTGCTCGCGTAGTATGGGGAGCCATATCTTGAATCGCTCGTAAGGGTTTTATGAATGTATTTTTTTTTTTGGGCAAAGGAACGCCTTTAAACCTTTGGCGTCAATTATTCGTGACCCCTAATTGCAGATGATGCGATACGCGTATTGTTATCAAGTTGACGCCGTTATTGCTCTATTGGTCTGTGTTTTTTTTTTATTCTGTGTGTGTTTTTTTATTCATGTTTGCCCGATAATACGGTTGTTTGTAGTTTAAAGTTTTTTCTCGATCTATTGTTGACTTTTACGCGTTGTGTTGTCGGCTCTTATTATTTACTTTGAGTTTTCGGGATGTTGGCACATTGAAATTATGAGCTTGGATCAGCTGGGGCTGTCAAAGATTGCAATCAGACCGGTATGTGGGTACATAGTAATGCTGCGTACTGCTGTTCTATTCTCCTGGTGTTGCAAAATGGCTTGCTGCTCTGGACACAGTAAAAATGTCCACACTCTGACATTTTATTGACATAACACACGTTTCGGATGGTCTTATGAGATAATAAGCGACAAGGCTAGGGAGTTAGAAATGTATGAGACTAATGGGACTATCCTATACACTTCAGAACGCCTAGTTGTTTATTAAAATTCCTCCTATTTGAATGACCTTTGTTGATTTGTTGAGTGAATGATTACTTTGTTACGTAATTTACCAGAAAATTACAGAGTTTTGTTGGAAACAATACCTCTGAGTAAAATGTGAATAAGTATTATTCTTAGAGTATAGCTTGCTACTACTCAATCATATGACACAATACACACAGTAATATAACATATAATGATAAAAAAATATTATAACAAAAAAAAAATTGCCCTTAAACGAAAACTTCACCTTAAACATCACCCGTCCATCTTGTTAAAAAGTAGAATAGCTAAAAGTCACGGTTCTGAAGAAAGAAAGACACATCACTGATAATTACGAATGCGGCAAACATGCCACGTCGGTACGAGATTACAGCGCTGGTTTTCAGTGGGCCTGTGAATGACGCAATTTCTTCCCGCTTTATCATTTGGGGTGATGTCAGGAAAACGCTATCGATTATGTAGTTCTCTACCGATTTTCGGTGTGATTGCGCAAGGTGCTTGCGGCCCCTCGCGCTCATTCCAAAGCGCTATGTGAATCCGCGCTCGGCTCTCTTCACACCGATCGACCGCCGCAGCTGCCCATACAGCTGCGTATGCAAACTCCCTAACAAGCTAACACTTTTGTTACCGAATCGAGAATCGGCAGCGCAATGGGCGTTTAATAGGTCGTATTTTAGCTTTAACAGCCGATGGCCCCGCCTGAAATCGCTGAAATTGCGTCGACGAAAGCTTTGCGAAACAGCTTTGCTTCTGTAGTAGCTCTCACGCGATAAAAAAAAATATTACTCGAGATCAATACCGCTCATCGCATGGGAACGAATATTTACCGTTTTGTTCATCCAGTATATTTGTCACACAATGTAGGTATATGCAAATTATTTGTTATAATATTTCTACCAGAAAGTCAGACCCAGCACTTGTTTAATGTACCATTCTTATTACAAACATAATAACATTGATTTCATTGACAAACCAAGATCGTCTGAAATATTTAAATTTAGATAACTTCAATTTTACTACATTCAATTTGTTTATTATATTTAATTGCAGTACTCCATCTATATTCGATTGAAACGCTCTCGGTCTTTATGCGATAGCGGTTTAAACATTTTATAATTCGGTGTTATTTACATTTTTACACCTTTTCTATAACGTGCCATTTTCTAAACATATAATTTGAAAATGGCATAACCTCATTTCAAATTTTCAGGTTTAGTCACTTTTGGACAATCGTGAGACAATGGATTTTATAATCACGGAAAAAACGCAACGACTCGCTCAACTCACATCCGAACCGTTGACTTCAAATCGCGTATACGCCCTTTAATTTCAACTTAAAATGTAATCACTCTAAAACTATCTCCAATTAGACAAATGTAAGGAGTTAACAAGCAAAGTTTTCTTCGTGGAAGAGTCACGCAGTATTTATGCCGAGCAGTCCAGCATGGGCATCTAAAAACGAACTGTTCACATGTCGAGCACATGCCGGGAAACGGAGGCACAAGGCGCCGTTGTGTTCGCTAAGGACACGATTGTTCGTCTATATTGAGCCCTCCACGTAAGACGCCGCCCGCCCTGCAAATAAAGCGATTTTTTGGTTGCGCGTTCGTCAAAGGTGATTTGGCTACAAGGACTAAGTTCAAGTATCTCTTCTTGTTTCTTATGGCTTTGATTTTCGATAAACCATTATCGTAATACAAAATTACCAGTCAGATTTATCTAACATAGACTGCGTCACGCTCCTGCCTAAAAATAACGCTGTTTAAAACCATGTCGATTAGTTGCTAGTACCTGTAAGACTAACTAATATATGGGCAACAATTTCGTATTTGTAATATTACAAACACGTTTGTAATATTAAAAGTACGTTTGTAATATTATAATAAAAATATAATATTGAAAACAAATAACGTTAAAGTGAAAACGTAACATAACTAATAAGTTACGTCACGTTTTCACGTTATGACCAAAGTGACTAAAATTTTGATGACGCGAAAATTTTAAGCACGAATAACTAATGATGCAACTTTACTTAAAATATTGGTGCTTTAGTTTTTATTTCACGTATTTATTCAATTTATAAAAATTTTTGAAAACACAAGCGCACTACTCGTGCAAAATAAGTCCAGACCCAAGAATATCATAAGACTGTATTGTACAATAAGTAATTTCTGCGTAGATTGGCCTGAAATTATTAACTTTGTAACAGAAAGCACGCCCAATTTTCAAAAGGTTGTCAACGCATCTGTAACCCTCGGTGTAGCAGATGTCCATGGGCAGCGGTATTCAATTATCATCAGGTGAACAGTCTGCTCGATTGGCAACTTTTCACATAAAAAAAAAATTAAGCACGGTTAACAGTGCCTTCAGGATTTTAAAAAGCACGGTCCGTCCCCTAACCACCAAATTAATTGAAACGTCGAATGTAATAAAATTTTCATTAAACCAGATAAAATTTTATTCCATTCCATTAAAAAATGTCGAAGAATATAATTTATCATTAAATTTGGGGAATTATCATCGATCATGAAGCTTCTCAGAAAACTTTTTTTGACCGCGTCGAAGCTGCGACACATATGCGGATTTCTGGGTATTTTTTAAAGTGAAATAAGTAAACTTTTTGACTTGTTCCTCGAGATATGTTTATATCTTTAGGTGTCTCAATATCACACGTATGTGGAATTATGCATATTAAAATGAATACTGCTTCTGTTTGCTACCTTTTCTAGTAGGAATAACAACAATAAAAGTTGTTAATACTTGATTTTGTTGGCAGACACAAAACTTTGATAAACTGTCGAAATTTGTATATATGGGAATACAAACTTTATTGATCTAATATTTACTCGATTAAATCTATCTAAAATTACATATTATGTAATAAACCTAATCCACGCGGCATGGTGCCAAGAACGCTTTATGTATATTGTGGATCACTTTAAAAATATGTGTTGTATAATACAAATAAACGCTATAAAGCGTTTGTCAACAACTGCTACTTTTATTTACGGGAAAAGTTAATGAGCGAGCACCAGATGATAAGTGATTACGGCGTTCACGGCAATACACAACACCTGAGGTGTTGTGTATGGCCGTGTGTGTATATGATATTGAAGTGTTGTCAATTTCAAAAAAGTGGGCTTCGGCTACCCCACTAATCAGACGAAACTCGAAAGTTCAATACGGCCGTGGTACTTCCCCGGACGAGTCTGCACATTCGTGCAAAAGCAAATGCTGCTGGTTGGCCTACATTGCGGCGAAAAGAATGCACATTTGTGGTTTTTAATTAAGTTATCTTTACAAAGAAAGGTTATAATTCGCTCAGTATTCTAAAAATTGTCGTTCAATAAGTTCTAACCATTTCATTTAATTTTAGCATCATTTGGCGTAATTAATAAATATTCTAATGTATAAATCATTTTTGGAATTTTTAACATGTAAACATGATTTGAGATATGTTTGTAAGATCTATATAATGTTAACATCTACGTGTATATAAGGTGGTGTTGACGCCTAAAAATCAAAACTTTTAGTCTGATTCAAGAGAAGAATGAATTTGCCTTAAAGGTAGGCAATGATAGCCTGCACTAACAATCATAATGGTTTTGAGGAGAATAAACAATGTGACTTGAAGTTTTTGACCTTAGGAACGTATGGCTACACGTGAGACATTTGCGACTTGCATTGATGTCCAGAGCCCCTGACATTTCGTCTGATTAATGATGGCAACATTGTGTCAATATTTGCATAAGAAACGGCCCAGAAGGGAACATATCGCGCCGCAGATCGCCTCGCCGGCTTACATTACGTTGACGACTTCAATTCTTAAGTTACATAATACGGCCCTCGCATTCAATTCGAAACTCCAGCGCGTTCAACACAACGTCCACTTTTGAGTGAGTGGAAACGATTTTCTTTTTAATTTTTAATAAAACGCTGTAACATGATATAGCACGGTTCAAATTGGCAAATCTTCGCCTCGAAGTGCGCCGTAGAGACCCGTTGAACGCGTCAATAAAAATATTCATTGGCTCGCAGTCTATTTAACACTTGATGAGACAACCCTCAACAGTAAGGATGAACATCGATTATAAATAAGTATTAAATTAATTTATAAATAAACGAATCTACTCAAGTTTAAGATTATTAAAAAAATCCTGAAATATGTCATGAAATATAGGATAAAAATAAAATCATTGATTATACAAAGGCGATTTTGTACTTGAAATTTGTAAAAATTTTATTTACGATTATTTTTCCTCCTATTAATAGTCTTTAATCTACCATATTTCCTTTATTTTAGATTCATTCGATATACTTGCGTATACTTTTTTTGCCAGCCCTAACGTTTGATCCACATACAAGCCCTGATTGACGCGATGAAAAATGACCCGAGAACGTTTTGAAAAATCGCCGCCGCTGAGTCGTACGTTGCTCGGAGACGGAATAGGATTTTATTACTTGCATAATTTAATATAACTTGTCACGTACGTAACCGGCTCTCGCTTGATTAGGGCGATCGTCTTGACGCGTTTCACATACGAAGCAATACAATGTAGACTCCATTTATCCACGTCTCATTTTCAGTACCCGTTGCGTTTTAGAATCGCTCACGTTATTTTTGTTTACGTTTCAATGGTCGTATACATCTTCGCGAATATAAATTGCCAATAGGTTTTGTCGAAATCCGAACGAATCCACTTATAGAAATTCACCTTTAGAAATATGATATAAATAGTAGATTTAAAATTATAATACCTGTGTACCATGTTTTACGATAAATTTTTTGGAATTACCGATGTTCTTCATATTTAAAATTATCTAATCAAGGTTATGAAACAGAAATTATTCACGGTTTTTAAAAAAAAATTACGACCTAAGTTCATAGTCCCTAGACTAGCGTAAGCGTGACGGACAAAAACAGAAACCAAAACTAGAAAGAAAACCTTAGATCCAATTTAATTTTATTTAGTTTTATCTATAAGTAATTAAATTCTATTTATTTAAATTTTTATTAATTATTTATATAAATTAAAATCTGTGTCAATTTATGGAAGTGTTATAGATAATTTATATTCGGGAGTGGACCGGAGTAACGAGTGCTGCCAAGCTGTTCCACCTTGCTAGAGACAAGGAAAAATTCTCTATGCTGATGTCCAACCTCCAGTAATTGGAGAGGAACGAGAAGAAGAAGAAGAAGAATAGATCATTTCTTTTTTTTATTCTGCAATGTGTGTTTTAGGTCGTTACGTAAATAAATAACTCATTAAAAGTTACAAATAGATAAAAAGATATCTATTATCAATATTTTTAACATCCGAGAGATGGGACATCATTACCGAGTGAGAGTGTTTTATTAAAACAAAGAATATTAAGTCAGAAATTTGAAAGTTTCGGATCAAATCGTAATTGAAGAGCAAATCTGACCGTAAGTAAGAAAGAAACTTAATGTTTCTGTTAAACGTGTCAATATGGTGTTGTCGTTTTATGACAAAATAATGCAATATGATTAATTGGTTTAAAGTGTTGATATTATAATACCTAACTATATTGAGAAAACTTTACTTAAGTTATATTTATCATTACGTTCTAAATTACGACGGGTCATTAAATAATATCAAATGAAGGAATTAAAAAAACCTTTTGTAGTCTCTATAAGGCATTTACGTATAAACAGATAAAGAGCAAAATTAGACATGTACGTTATTTGTGATTATTTAAGGTACATTAAATTGATATGTATTTTTAAAGACAAGCAGGAAAGACTACATTCCGACAGCCACCGAGGAGTAAATAATGGCTGCGGCTCGTACTTCCAATGTACAACATGCATCGATTACTCAGTAATGAGGCTTCTAACTAATGATCGGTGTCGTGGAGCTCTTTAGTTAGTAATAAGCGGCTAGATCTAATGATAGTGGCCAGTATGCGTTTGTATCAACTAATGATTTGTCGGTAGCTGTTTGCCAGGTGTCTGGCAGCCGCCTCTCGTAATTTTTCGGTTGTATGCTATATTGGCGACATTGTGCGATATCTTTGATATTTCACCTACACCTACAGTAAAAGATAATAATGATAATTTATTCATGCAACGAACATAAAAAGAACACTTATTATAATGACATTTTTTAAATTGGAAGAGGTAAGGTACGATATTTTGAACTCTGACTCCTGTGCTAGGTTACCCTGTGTTACAAAAGTCAGTGCCCTTCACATTTTTACATGTATTCAAATTGCTATAATGCTATTTCAATGGCTAATGACTTTTATTTGCAAATTTATATTTGGTTATTGACAGCGTGACTTTTATTTGCAAATTTATATTTCGTTATTGACAGCGTGTGCCATGCACATGCTTTGATATATATGTATGGTTCCGAAAAATGTTGCGCGTTGTGAAATTGTTGCGTTGTTGGATTAGATTTATTAGATAATATGTAATTTTATATAGATTTAATCTTGTAAATATTAGATTTTTAGTGTTTGTATTCAACGTAGCGGGTTTCCTGACCTTATGAAATATAGTAAGATCATTTCGTTGTAAAAATGTACCTTATTAAGTACCTTAATAAACAGTAATGAGAACTTAAAGTATTATGTCAGTAGTATCATGCTAAACAATAAGGCGAAATTCTTAATAATTTCCTGATAAGTAGTAAACTCGTGCTTGACTTTCTGCGAATATAATAAGTTAACGATACAAAACCTTTTTTTTAGTTAACGTTGATTTAAAAAATCCATAATATTGCCAAAGCATATTGCATCCCCATTTCAACAGCTTTATATCTTATGCCTTGAGTGTACAATAGTCGACAAGTATTGAGCACGTGAGAGAGCGATTGTTGCGCACAATGAGGAAAAGCGATTTGTGTTTTACAGCCAGCGTTCACGACCGCCCGGTGCTTTGGCGGAAACGTTCGGCACATTTGGTGATCACCTTAGAAAGCTGTGAGCTAGTTGTAAAACGTTTCATAAAGCGGGTCGTTGCCGCACCATGTGTTCGGCGGCGTTCCCTTACCGGGCCACGTGTAGGCCAGGAGGGCGCTCGTCGCAAATCTGTGCGGCAGATTGCCCCGCAGCTATCGGTTGGTAGCGCGCCACATGGCTGACGGTGCTGATAAAGCTACCTGTTGTACTTGATTATGACTTTTGGAGGTGGCATTCACTAATTAATACGCAACCAGCCTCGATTTCGACTTTCGTTTTAGGAAACGTATCCTTTACGAAAACTTATTCAATTAACTCGCTAACGCACTAAGTAATACAATGCATTTATACTTTACTAATCGCATATATGCCCTTGTTAATATTGAACTACAATTATTCTTCAATTTTATACATACTCGTAACAAGCATCATTGCGGTTCTGAAGAGTATATACTTCTGAGCTTTGGTTTTACAAGGAACGTTACATCAAGATGATCTGTCATTTAGGATGCCTCTAAGTCCATCGTGTGTGAGCACGTCCACGCTATATTTAACTTCCACCCGATCAACAAATTAATTTGTCGCATCCAAAGGTTTACGAGTAAGTTTGAACGGCGGCTTAATAAGCGCGCGATATTGACATATGCGTTCAGTGGCACTATCTTCGTAATGAGATTTCGCGGTGCGCGATAGCGGCATATCTGGACAAAGTGCAGCACTTGGCTATTCAATCACGGCGCAAGCGGCCATATGTTACTGTGGCCGGCTCCACAAGCCATAAACACATCCAGGGCTCTATCAAAGTCATTATTTCATAGTTATTCTTGCAACTTTTGTTGTCGACGTCGAATATAGTTGTTTAAGACGCCAAGTGAAATTGTTTTAAGTGAAGTTAGAGCTGTTCTTATGAATATAGGTCGGGCGATTGATGTTGTGGTAAACAGTTATACACTTGCCCGCTAATGAGTCTTCGAAACAAAATATATTGATTAATAAGATATATTTCAGGACGTTATTAGAACTTAATTTTACTGTGAAACAGTGTATGGTTAAAATATATCATATAGACTCATTGCGTTTGCAATCAAAGCAATTGATATTATTAAGGGGCTTGGTGATCTAAAATACAACACAAAAAAAATATATTTCAGTCTTTAATGCGAGTGACAGACATACCTATCTATATGAAGCGCATCATGTTTATCAATTTCAATCAGAAATACAAATGGAAAGAAGATTTTATACTTGTGGAACGTTTCACGGGTGTATGCTCATAACACTTACAATTTATCCGACGAATTTAAGATCGAGATAATTTATATTTAAGTGATAATGTCATATGTACATATGTCTTAATAGTCATGTATTATTTCAAATTCATATATATTTTGGAAAAGGATGCTAATGAGAAAACAGTTTCGTAGATGTCAAGTGATGACCGCCGCTCATGGTTGTTCACAACACCAGGATTGGTGACGTTATAAGAACAATAGCCTCTAAAATGTTTTCACGATACGGAAAAAATATTCAATTATTTAATTTCTCCCAAAAAAACATAAAGCCGGCAAACATTGAAATATGGCTGTGACTATTTTAGTCATATGTCCAATAATTCAATGTTTTATTGCACATCAATAACAATTATTGCTTAATACATATACTGCACTAGATACAAAAATACGTCGTATGTCATCAAAATCTCGATTCGATAGTTCGCGTGCAATTTTGACGCCGTCCGCTCGAAAGCGAATCGAGATTCTGTTAAATGCCGTCTCACATCTTGATAAACAACGAAAGCTCGAAATACTGTAGTATGTGCGCAATGCCTGTAATAAAAGCGCATAAATCCATCGGAATAATCTGTTGGCCGCCACACGTGCGTCGCAGCAGCTGCGCGCACGTGCGCCCGCGAGCGCACAACGCCAGGTAACGCGGGAATTGCGCTCTGAAGTACGGACCGAATTATCATCTCTTTTGTCTTTTTTTTAAATCCGCGCAAAGTCAGTCCATCCCTGGAGCGCTGTTCGAAGTTTAAAATGCACTTATTGCAACATTGCCAACGATTGTAGACGACGGACAATTTTCTCAGCTAATCTGATTTGATTCTTAGTAATCTTATGTTATTCTTGTCTGCGAAACGGTGGTTATGACTTAAATATATCTTAATTCTAAATTCATAAGTTCGCATTTTTTGTGAACGCCATGACGTCATGATATTAACCGCCCCGTGACGATGTAAGCAGAAATGCTTACCGAGTTCATTTTAATCCCATATGTGACGGTTTTGATTATGTTTCCCTGTACATTCCAGAAATTTCCGAATCTAATTTACACCACTGGAACTAGAACCTGTGTCCTCAGTTATACATAATACCCTGTATAGTTTTAGTCGTAGATTAAATTTGACGTCTGGTTATGTTCTGGCATCTGTTCAACTATGGAAAAACGGTGACTTTTAATTGCCCCATTATTAGTATAGGGTGTAATTTTAAATGATTCATCAGTCAACAGATGCAATGTAACTACGGTGGGATATTCTTCGGCGAATGTTTGGAAACAATCAAAAACGATTCACTCCGGCTTAAAAACGAACCATGTGTTTTGGTAACAAAAGTGTTCGTTGGTTATCGTAAAAATAACTGTGGCAGCCTTTCTTTGGGGAAATTGCCTCTGTGTTCCCACGTCCATGTGCACTGCAGAATTTTGGGAAATCTTCACGGAGGAGCAATCTGTCATGCAGATGGCGCCGGTCTCTTCAGTTCCAGAAATATTTAAGGGAATCACATCGATCGCTTTGTTCGAAATTGTGCTCGCGACTTTATTTGGAATATTATATTATTACTCGCGGTGACTTTTAATTTAAATAAAATATTTGGAAACTGAGGTTAATTCGGCGGCGGTTAAATTGAGCTACGTTAGATTTGGGATTCTGACTTTAGAAGGCATCGTGCTTACGTAACACATATAAGCCTCGTTTATTCCAATACTTTCATCCAATTAATGCTTGAAAAATATATTTTTTTATTATTTTAATTTTGAAGGATGCTCTTAATGAAACTTCAATCAATAAATGAATATGTGAGTCTGACAATTAACCCAAAAACCCTTACTACAAAAGCTTTCGTTGAGTAGTTGGATATAATTATGTTGTATAATGTGTTGCTTTAATGAAACTACAGTGTGTTCTTTTTATTACTTGAAAGCGAACGTTAAACCGACTCGTACGAGATACAAAAAAATGTAACATCCGAAAAACGTTTCGCGATACACGGCGTCCGTCAAACAGACGGACAGACGCGAGATATCAAGCGGTTACTCTATCGCGTTGAAGACGTAGACACGGCCGAAATAATCAAAGCGGTCGCCTTGTTTTCGTTGCAAAATCAACATAATATTCCCGCCACTTGACTTTGTTCTCGAACGAAAACTGTCGCGACGACCGCGTCAGGTTGCTTCCCCCGTTGTTTTTGTAAAGATTTATTCGTGGAAACGTTTCAATGATCTAGATCGCATAAACATGTACGTACAGGCCACACGGGTTTTTGCAAGCAAAATGTATACAGTGCGTTGATTTTATAAGCGAGTGTAACTGCCAATACAATAATAAGGAACGTGTTTTGTGTTGCCAAAGCCTAAAACGATTGAAGGCACGCAAATGTAATTAGTTTTGAATAATTTACTGAGTACATCCAGCAACAATAGAACCTTCGTATATTGCTTATGTAAATTATTAATAACGATTAATTAAAAAGGCAAGCATGATCGTTATTTTTCACAGTTGGAATAAGGGATCCTTTATAGCGAGGAAAAATTAGCTGTGGGTGGTGGAGGAGTATTACCCGAGATTAATTTCTCTATGATAATAAAAACCATGTGTCGCCATTTTTGATAAAAGTAATTTATTACACATTACATATATTATGTTATTACAATGAAAGTATATACATGATTGATGGGAAGTTTACACGTAATTTTTTAAACAGACATCCGTCTTCACGAAGACGTTTAGACGGACATTTAGGAATTTCAAGCACACAACGATAGTAAGTTATCAGCGACATCTACTTACGAATACCAATGGAAGCTCGGCTGACTTCAGAGCCTCCGCCACTAAAAATAATCGTATGTTATGATGTGATATCCGGCGGACGGCGGTGCCAAAGCGTGCCCTGTTAGCATATGAGTGCCGTTTGCAATTTTAACTACGCCACCGTCTTACCCGATGGAATCATTGGACGTTCCAAATTTGAATTATCGCTTTCTATAAAATAATTGCTTTTAACAGCAGAACGATAGATAAAGCCAGCTATCTCATGTAACACGTTATATTTATTGTTTTTAAATGTTATGGTTCCGCTTAAGAAGCTTAAAAAGAAACAGAAGTTTGTATTAGAGACACATTAAGATTATTACATTATTTCGTGCGCGAATATTCAACCTGGATATTAGTATGTTGTCTCTAGTAACAAACGTTGAAAACTATAAATGAAAGGAACAAACTATTAACAGTTGTTTTATAGAGAAACAGACATACGAAGTACATCGGTACATTATACCATTTATATGTATAAACATTAATTAACGTAATTAGTATGTCGATAAAATAATATCTATCTATCATTTGGCGTAATGGTTATATAGCTCAGACGGAATCGCTGGACAGTAGGAAATTGGCGATTAACAGTGACAATCTGCTCATTGACTATTAAGCTACAATCTGGGCGCTACGAAAGTTGTCATCCCAGCTTGTACCGATACGGATTCGCGCCGATTTCGGTCGCAACAAGCCCGGAGCGGCGGCGGTTGACGCATGTGCGCATCATGTGCACAAGCACAAAGGCAGCATTCAACACTGCGCGGCGACAGGGGCGTCACTGTTGCCGCAGCGCCACGTGCTCGGCAGATTGGTGCGAACATGTGTCTGAACATGCATTCGCAGCGATGCCCCGCGACTATCGCGCCCGTGCCGGCCAGTTCGATAAGCTTAACGTCGACCGAACGCCCGCGTTTAATATTCGACACGCAAATGTAATTGTCCCACATACGCGACTGCTATATAGGATGTTTGACAGACGGTGTGTTGTTTTTATTAGTTTTATTAGAAATTACTTGATTCATTTACGGCCGATTTTATTATTCCGTCTGATTTGAGATAGATTTGGTTACTAGCGATAGGTATTTGACATGTCCAAATAAAAGAATGTTTAAACCGGCCGTTATAAGATTATTGTACATTGTAATAAAACTCATTTACCGGCTCTATGTCGTGTTTTACCGTGACTATGAATGATGTAAAACGTACGAGAGGTGTTTAAAATAAAAATAAACTGGGATAAAATGCGTATACTAGTTTTATGAGAAAGAGACTCAAGCACAATGCAAATCCAATGCAAGCTAACTGAAGTTAACTGATGAAAGTTATTAATTATTCGTGGGCTTAATGATGTAAAATTATGTGTGGTGTTTAAGATTAATTTTAAATAGTAATAGGTAGATATTTTCTCTCATTACATGAATACATGCGTATATTATAAACACTACTATAGTTTCAATTTGATAAGAATTGTCATAAGGCTAATCTCATCGTTTTGGTAATAATTATTACGAATAATTCTATTTTCTTAATGATTTGACAAGTCTGATTACTGCCTTATGTTAAGGGCAGTTTATAAAAGCAGTGGCAATTTTATAATGTTCAACTGTTTGGTAATTTTAACATTCGAAAATACCTCACGCCATGCATACTAGCTTCGAATTCCATTTGAATGTGGAATGTGATTACGCAATTCTTTAGGTTGCAATCTTGGCCATCTACGTCACGTCGCCTGCTAGAGTAACGAACTCCGAATTTCAGATAGGGCACGCGTTGCGATCAACGAGACAATAGAGAAGCAGGGGCGGACTCGGATTCAAATATTGCCGCATCTTTAAGCCACTACAACGCTCCCTGACAAGGTTTATCTAATTGATGACTTGACATTCATTTTGTTTAACTTCTGTTTTATAATAGTAGTTTTTTTCGCATAATTTTCAATCCCAGAGTTGCCAATTTCACTATAGATTTATGTTTATAGATTATTTTCTTAAGAGGCGTCTTTTACAGGCATTTGATTGGATTTCATTTCTTGTTCATTTTCAACACAATAAATAGTGCAAAAACTTCACACTGACTAACGTGTAATTAATTATCTGTATGAGTCATTTGCTATGAATAAATTGAAACCAAACTTTACTATTATATTCTTTTCGATCTTTCCCTTAAAACAAATCCCACATTTTCAAATCACTCTATACGCGTTGCACGCGCATATGGAGTTGGCTTTGTTTGTAATTTCAAATTGCTTCTGGCCAAGGATCGGGACCGCTTCGGCCGATGATGCCCATCGCTCGCGGTGACGCAATGGCGCATGCCAAATGAGCGGCCAAGCTGTACCCATTGTTGTCGACGTATGCAAAGCGGGACACGTGTTTCCGGGGCAAGGTTGCTTCAACGACGCTGTAGCAGCGCATAAGAAGGTTTGCTAGTTCGCGACAGTCCAGTTGGACATATGCGTCTTCTTAAGCACGTCGAGTACCTAGCAGTGCCGGATTAAGCGAGTGCGGGGCACAAATTCAAATTCTTTCAAACAGCAAAAGCAAAAAAGTCAATACTCTTATTTATTTAATAAGTTTCACTAAATAAAATTATGTCTCAGGCCGAGATGACTGGTTTTAAATATGAGGGGGCCCCCTTTGGTGCGGGGCTCGTAGCAATTGCTACTCTTGCTATGTGATTAATTCGGTTAACAAATACTAACAGCGAAATCTCTTCGTGTGGTATATTCGAGGAACTACGGCGGTGAATACTGTTCGCCGGTGGTTTTCTTCATTGTGAATGTCATCGGCCAAAGAGACGCCGAAGCTGCTACTGATAAATGACTCCGACGGTGTCCCCGTGGCGTAGTTACTAAGGCATTGGCTTCGGCGCCAGGCGTCGTGAGATCGATGCCCACAAGGTACAAGTATTTGTGTGACCTACAGACAGTTTTTTTATGTGAAAAGTTGCCAATCGAGTAGACAACCCATGAATACCGCCGCCCATGGACATCTGCCACACCCGAGGGTTCCAGATGCGTCGACAACCTTTTGAAAAATTGGGCTCCGGCCACCTCACTCACCAGACGAAACGCGAAAGTATTATAATTCCACTTCACGCCGGTCTTCTGTTAGGTCGTGGTACTTACCAGGACGAGCCTGCCCATTCGTGCAACAGCCGAGGCTATTGCATGGCCCTACCACCGTAAAAAAAATTGTTTCGGATCTGCGTGTTTGTCCACGTGAGATCTATGAATGTAAAAGATCTTACATCTTACTTACAATACAGGATAATGTTATTCTATAGTAAGGGCAATGCTTAAAATAATCATAGAAATAATTTAAAAAAAAATAAGACGTGGGCGGAGGTGCTACTGAGTAGGGGTGCGCGAATATATTAACGAATATATGACTGTGAGGTATTGACGGAATTGACATTTCGTGTACGACGAACAACGAATGTACTTTAGCGTGTGTTACAGCAGTAAACCAAAACTTTACGCACGTGTTTATTTCTGTATCATTTGGCTATTTAGAGCGGACCTTCTCCTTAGGATAACATGTGCGCGCAGGCGAGTCCGTCCTCTGAAAAGTATCACGTGGCGGCTGTTCGGCACAGAGTATAAATAGTTGCTCTGGTTTCTGTTAGGGATGCTGTCAGTGCCACGTGCTTTCCGCCCAGCCCTGAGGAGGCACAGGCGTCCGTAATTCTGTTAAACATAAGCACGGACATGTAAATACATTTTTTTTGTTGTCGTATGCCTATATACATACAATGTTAAATGACAGCGTATTTATTAATGAACATATAAAATTATTATTAATATACATATAAATTGCACCAAAACCTGAGATACCGAACCATCTTCTGAATCATGAACATAACATCAATCTTCTCGTCTGTGGATTACAAACGAATAGTTCTATTCTTACTACATCGAATCCTATACGATACCTCAGTGCATTAGGTTATGTTAGTTGGTCTATTACTTCATCAAATAAATCCGCACGAAATATTTAATTTAGAATTTAGATTGTTACATTTCAGTCCAATAATAATAACAATGTATATAACCGGATGTATATAATAAGCCTTCGTGGTAGTCGACGGAGGAGGTCTAACAGCAGGAAATTATGTTGTTGATGATAAAGATGTAACATTTTATATTTATAAACATATTCGCATGGGAAAAAAACAAAATATCGCATAAAGTTTATGAAATATAATAAAGACTATTCGGATTATAAGAAGAATCATTAAAACATAATTTCTTTCTGCCTCACTCAAACACGATTCCTATCCTGTGCGATTAAACATTTATGTATTTCATGATTATGCGGTACTTGTAATAATTCATAAATCAAGCAATCTGCAATATATAAGTGGCCCAACGTATTAAAACTTCTTACCACCATTTATGTAGATTCCCCGGCGAATTTTGAAGCATCCTGTCGTGGGTGTATCCTGATTACTTACGGCCCCATTAATATATTTGAAGGTAAGGTGGACTTATTCTTGCAATAGATCCATTTATTAGTGCATTTTCATAAACATAACTTTATTTGCACATGGATACAGGTGGCTCAGGATCGTGCTTCGAGGTAGTCTGTCGGGGAGTATGGGGGTTCTTCAGCAATGGACTTAAACGGGCTGAAATGATGATTATGTTTAAACATATAATTATTAATTTAAAAATGAAATTTTTTTTAACACCAAATGATGCCAAAATAAATAACTTTACAGCATCTATAATTACAGGATTGGCCATGTAGGCCGCAAAGTGAATTGAACTGACTCTGCACATATATTGTAAAGTAGGTCGAATGCCTTGCGGACAACCTAGAGCAGCAGTGTACGCCATCGCGCGAACACATCAATACAGCCCACCTAACGGAGGTGGACCGCGTAATCGAAACTAGGGCTGCGCTTCCACCGGAAGGCGATCCCTTAAATTCAGTGACCCCCGAATAGGTCCAAGATATTATCAAAAATTTAAAACCCAAATCCGCCCCGGGCCTAGACAATATTAGTAATAAAATCCTTAAAGCTCTCCCTGGGCCGTTTATCTGTTTACTGGCGGCCATTTACAACACTTTACTCTCCAGTTGCTCCTTTCCGGACGACTGGAAAGAAGCCACGGTTATCGGCATTCGCAAGGCGAATAAACCCGCTAACAAGCCCTCAAGTTATTTCCTATCAGCCTCCCAGTTGCCTGGGGAAGCTCTACAAGCGGCTGTTATGAAAGGCATGTTATGGAAGCAGGCTCAAAGAGCACGTTTTTTCTGACGGCCTTATGCCGGTTGAACAATTCGGCTTTCGAGCTAGATGTTCCTGTCCCGATCAGCTATACAGCCTGACGGAACATATCCTGAAAGGCCTAAATCACCCGAAAAATATTAACACGGGCGCTCTTTACTTCGATGTCGCAAAGGTATTCCACAAAGTCTGGCACAACGGCTTGATTTACAAGCTATTCGCACTCAAAGTGCCAGACAGGCTTGTACACATCATTCGGGCCTTCCTGTCGAACCGCTCTTTTCGATATCGAGTTGAGGGCGCCCTCTCCACAAGCCGCCGCCTCACGGCTGGCGTTCCACAAGGCTCCTGCCTCCCACACTTACTTTTTACGCTCTACAAGAGCGGTATACTAAAAGACCCCCACGTCAATCTCGCGATTTTCGCGGATGACACGGCCCTCTTTTACACAGATAAAAATCAACTCTCTACTCGTCTCCAAAGCGCCGCTGACCGCCTCGGCGATTGGTTCCGCAAATGGAGAATTGAAGTAAATCCCGAAAAGAGTGTGGTGATTCACTTCACGCGAAGTACTTTAAACGCACGCATGCGCACATGCGCGGCCCTACCCACAGCGGAGGGCCCAAACCAGTGGGTTCTGGCTAGCCCACCGGTTCTGCGTCAGGTGAAGCTTTAATAGCTCAAACATCAGTTAATACAAGATACAAGAAGTAAAGTATGTGGGATGTTTAAATTAAAAAAAAAACGCGATAAAGCTTTAAATATGATCTACGTTAAAATTTAACAATGTGCATAATTCCCGTTGAGAAAGTGATAATTCTCCTAATTTAATAATTTAATTGTGATTATTCTGCGTAACCAACAATGACGCGAACTGCATCGCCTATGAAATATTTCGAAAGCGACACGATGTCGTGTTTCGATCGGAACAAAATCGAATTCAGAATTAGTAATGGCGAAGGCGCGTGGTCTGAGGTTGTTTTGACAGCGGACGGCAGCTGGGCAAAGGAATGAATTTGCAAGTTGATAAACCCGGCCGGCGCGGCCCAACCTCCGACCTGGCTTTCGCCCGCACCATTTATCAGAGAACGGACCGTTTTGCGGCTAACTGGAACGCTGTGAGTGAAAAAAGCATCGATAGACCTTTTATTGTGATGACGATGAAACAAAACTGCCAATCGAAGCTGAACTAATGAAGAACATGTAGTCCATATTTAAACCCAGTACTTTTTCACGTTGAGATATATCCAAAAGCCATCGAAACTGTTTAAACTTCTATTGTTTTTTTTATGAGAAAATTTTATTTGGAAACGTAGGTTGTCTAGCTGAGTTCAAAAACTGACTCGTACTCTTACCATAGAGAAATACGACTACACGCTTTTCAAAGGCATTTCACAATCATTATTTCTTTGTCTTTATAGAAAAAGGTTAAAACTATTAATCTAGAATTGAAAAGCTTAATCCGTTATGTATGTGCAAAATGTTCACTATTCCTTGAAATGAAAAAAAAAAAAACACTCGGTCCGCACTACCGAGAAAACTCCCACGGAAAGTCGGACTAGCAAAGAATGATTGATTGACAAAGAAGAAATACTCTTTGATCGTAAAATGAGCGAGACGTCGGCGACCGTTGTCGGATTCCGGCGGCGTCGTGAGCACCGTGATTCGTGACGTCCCCGGACTCCGTGGCGGGCGTGACCGCAGCACGTGTCCGCCGCGCCCGTCCACTCCGCTTAGCCACGACTCGATTAAAACGTCGCCCCGCGTAATCGATAATTGCGAATTCACGCGAGAGGCTGCGCATATTGGCGTGTCGGTCATGCGACACGACGCTAGCCTGGCGATATCGCCTAGGTCGAATATTCTCGCACGAATACTTTAAGGCATCAGTCGCCAGAGGGGTTAGGCACCTTCAACAAAAGAGCCTATTCCTGCCTGAACTGTAATGTTACGAATAACAAAGGGTGGCAATGAGATCCTTACCATTAGATGCTTGCTTGAAACAAAAGCATCGGCAAGCAAGCAGAAAAACTAAATCAAAAACAAGCAGGGCAAAATTTTAGAGTAATACAAAGACGAAAATGCTTTACTTTCATAGACGTATCGCTTCGTATGGTAGATACCGCAAAAAATAAACGTTAAATAAAATCGAGCCTCTTTCAAGATTTGGCAGTTGTGACTCCACTAGTGATGTACTGTGATGGGCTGTGCATGACCGGCGATAATCACGACATAGACTTGGCAACAGATTGCTCGTTGTTCCCTTCTCCCAAAATACAAGAGAATCGACAAAATGTTTTTTCGTAAATTGGTTTTTTACGCTTGATTGATCATTTCACACATAATGAATTTTATTATGTTACATGAACTACATACTCGTCTACAGTAAACAAGATAAGTACACAGGGTATAAAAAGATCCACTTTATTTGCATTCACTGGCATTCATAATACTTAAATTTACCGCTGTCGTAAACGGATATTATTAATATGGTATCATAAAGCTGTTGCTGAATTGGTTATGTTCTGACCTTGTATCATAAGGGCATACGAACAAGGTACTCTTCTCCAAAAAAGCACGAAAAGAATAAAACATCAGGAGATCCTTTAAAGACGTTTTTCGATTAGCAGTGGTAGTAAACACTGACGAATGGCCGTATAAAATATTAAAATTCCAAACGAAGGTAACATAAATGATATTACATTGTTGGTATGACCGAGCGACAGGAAAACAAAGTTGATATACGGGCATTTAAAGCAATAGCCAACAGTATTTGAGAGACACGAAAAGACTCGCTTTAGATTCGCTTCGGTTGCATATTATACTCTTAGGTCCGCACTCAGAGATTTATTATTATTAATTAGCGTTTAGCATTAAGCTATTTTTTTATGTAAAAAGATGGCAAGCAGGCGGTTCACCTGATGTTAAGTTATAACCGCCGTCCGTATAATTCATTTTCACCTTTTAATAAAGTGAAGAAGAAGGCGAGAAACGCAGAAGAATATCACTTCCACTTCACGCCGGTCTTCTGTACGGCCGTGGTACTTCCCCGAATGGACCTGCCCATTTGTGCAACAGTGAACTGTTGCGTGGCCCTACCACATTTTCAATTTATGAGCCATGCAGATTAATAAGTCTTTTAGATTCGCTCAAGAGTTTAGATCTTTCAAGATTTAAATCATTGTTAGATTGTTATATTCATATGTTTAATATGCGATTCTGACAGACATAAAAAATACATTTTAAGAAACAATAAATGTTTAGAACAGAAAACACCTGAAGTCCTTAGAGAATTACTGAGTTAATCATATCGCCCATGTTTTCGATCGTAAAAACTCATGCAACAACGTGCTCTGTCATACGCAACGTAATTTATGGAGCGGTTGGATTTTACGCGAGCACTATCTTACTTTTTGCTTACGATAAACCAGAATGTAAGCAATATTGAGCTCTATGAAGTAAGAGACAAGAAACACGAATTTTATGTCACTGTGAGCGTTTTATAACTGCACACTCGGCTTGGGTAAGTTTGATGGTTATTTTACAGCCGAGTTCTAATTACGAGGTTTCCTCTCACTCGGATACTAATCGCGGCACATCGGCTGATTGTTAGTTGGCACATTAAAATTTCTGCTTATAAAAAACTTTACGAGTGTTTTTTGAATAACCCTTTGTATTGGGATTTCGTGTCGCGGTTTGTTTGACGTCACGGTAACATGTTGTAGAGGCTGTTAAATTTGTAGCCTCGCTGGTTAGTTACAACAATGGCCTATTGTTTCTGTCACTGGTAGTTAATCAACTGTATATTTAGTTTAACCATCGTTCGGTTTAAATCTCATTTCAAATATATGGAAAGAATGGGTGTTGCTCTGTAAGATATGATTTTTATAATGGTTCTCTCTTCCTCTTTTCCGATAATCCAATTGTAAATATGAAGGCCTGAATTAATAGTGAATTCTGTTAGGTTCTTGACGTAAATATTTTTTTTATTTTATTAATAAGTATTCTATCACACACACGAGTCGAAAATCCAATGTTTTGTATTACACGTAAGCTTTTACAGTCGGCCTGTAAGCCGTTTAAGATTCAATATATTTCGTCGTAAATATCAAATTTTACGCGGCTGTAATCCCGACAGATGTCAAACAAATTGTTGACAGCCCGAAATGTGTCAAAGCCACTTAAATGAATGCTTGCGCATTTTTATTATTGCCCCGCAAAGTGTTGTAAACAATCTCAAACAAGGCTCGCTGTTTTCAGCATGTGAGATATGAGGTTTATTAAATTGGATGCCAAAAGAGCACTTTTCATATTTTGCTTGAATTATATTTTATTTCTTAAATTACTGATCATCATTTAGAAGGATCATATTTTAACATTAACATCATTAAGCAGTGTGCTATAAAACAGCAATATACTCATTTAGCTGTTTGTAAGGTTTTACATGTTCTTTTTTATTATAACCAAATGACCAAAATATTGGACCTATGATCTAGGGTTGGTTCAAATCCTAGTGACTTAATTAGTAAGAAAAACACTTCAAACTTTTTCTTATCTGCTTACAACATTGTCCATAATTTAATATTAAATTTTTATTCTTTGGTTCCGAAATAGTGGATCACATTCTGTTTTTGATATTGAATTGAAAAAGGACGGATTGAATACTGGCCCATTTAACGAATGTTTTCTTTTTCTGTTTCATATGATGTTACTTTATACATATAAGTATTTCAGTTCCGGGTGAGCTCGCCAGTTGTTGACCGAGATTTGTACCGGTCATTGTCTGCAAGGCCGCGCGACCGAAATGCGCCGCCGCCGAAAATGAGTTTCTAAGAAAATCGTTATAATAAGAAAACGGATACTAACATGTCAACTCAAATGTTAGTTTATCATCTAACTAAAGTATTCCTCTCGCCGAGGTGCCTAAAATTCGCCGAGATGACGATGAAGGTGCCGAGTCTTTCTGCTAAGAAAAAAAGCCTATTATGTCAACTCAAATGTTAGTTTATGAACTAAACATTTTCTCGCCGGTGAAAGGTGCCGAAAAAAGCTTTACATTTACAAAACGTTACAACAAGAAAACAAGCTCTTGAAATGTGAGGAAGTTCCCATGTGTTTAGAATCCCAAGTTCATTTTTAGGGTTTCGTACCCAAAGGGTAAATATGGACCCTATTAGTAAGACTCTGCTGTCTGTCTGTCTCTCCGTCTGTCACTACACTGAATCTCATGAAAAGTAAAAGTAAAGTAAAGTTTGCGTCGTTTTTATAGATAATGGTACGGAGCCCTTCGTGCGAGTGCCCGACTCGCATTTGGGCGGTTTTTTATGTAGGTACATACTTGGGTATCGAGCAAGCGTTTCATCTGATGTTACGTGTTCACCGCCGCCGATGGACAACAACAACACTAGATTGCAAGTGCGTTGCCAACTTTCAAAACATTGAGCCTCTATAACCTTACTCACCGGATAAAATACAGAACCAACGGGTATACGTTGGTTCTGGCTAGCCCACCGATTCTGCGTCAGATGAAGCTTTAATAGTCTCGGGACAGAAAGCACAGACATCAGTTAATACAAGAGACAAAAGTATAATAGTCTTACTTCATGTTTGTCTTCTGTGAGGTCGTGGTACTTCCCCCTACGAACCTGCCCATTCCTGCAGCAGCGGAAGCTGTTGCATGACTCTACCACAGTTATGCAAACACCATTAAATAATTATATTTGCAACATTTATTTAATCAATGTGCATATTATGAGGAAAGCTTTAAATCAAAAGGGATGATCTCAAATAAATGTATATATCACACCTGTTTTCACATATTTTAATGACTTGGAAGACGTTACGTTTCTAGTAAACTTTGATTATTATATTTTTTACAAAAGGTCACCTGCGATAGCCCAATTTAAATTTTTATCGTTTTCTAGAAAAATGTCAGTGGCATCTTCAAATACAATATGTGTTTAAACTTTCTTAATCGGTTGATGGTCCCCTTGATAACTAAATTAAAATGTTTTTCTTCGACTGAATATTTTTTTTTTACTTTGTATTTGTAACAAAAGTCGCGCCAATCAGCTGACATGTCAAGATCGGAGCAAAATGCCAATCGACCTAATACGTCCGGGTTTTCCGAGATCGCCATAAAAAACAGTTAGTCGGCAAGGTCGTTCTTAATAGGTTTTCGACTCGTTTAACACATATTTATGGATATAAATTTCAATGATAATTTATAAATACATTTTGTTCCTCAGTCGTTGATTTCATAATCTATAAATCTTTCAAATGTTATGTATTTCGAGAAACTTACTTTAATGATAATTAATTATATTTATATGTAACGTCTTACATTTCAATGATCTAAACATGACCTGATAGGTATTTTTCACTGGGAAATTTCTTATGATTTTGTAAATTTTGAAACAGCAGAAAATATTAAATTATTTTATTTGTAAAATAAGTAACGAAAGAAACATATGCCTTCTTTTTGAACACACGGCTAAGAATTCGATTCATTACATTAGGAGCATCAATTCAGAAAGTTGCATTGAAATTGGCACACGAAAGAAACTTTGTTTCGGAAACATGTTCAAAGAGAACACATTTCATTACACAAGCAAACGTTGTATTCTTCTCAAATTCAATGTTCGAACCACTTGTAAATTCAAAATGTGACACGTTTTTAACGACAATCGGCTTGTTAAGCACTTGTCAAGTAGTGGCTTCTCAGCTTTGGGATAACAAGGAACGCCTCGCTGCGGCCGCGTGTTGAGCTCATATCTCTGACGTCACCGCGCGGCGCTCCGTTTGACATTTGGCCATTTGACTCCGTCGCCAGTGCGTTGCTGAATAATAAACTGGCGACGATAAAAATTCCTCGGAGATTCTCGACGTATTGTTTTACGAACGAGCCCCTTTGAATTGCTAAGCGCACCGCTCTACTCCGCATTAATTTAGAACTGGATTAATTTATGCCTCTAACTTTTTTGTAAAAGAGGCTTTAACTGTTTGGGCTACCTTTTGCATTTGTATTTAGCATGTGTATTTTTGTTGTAATAATCGCTTAATCAAGAAAATTTCTTTTATCGCCTGGAATCTTTCACCCAACGGCTGTTTATTCAACATCGTTAATATGATTTGCAGTTAAAGTTTATAGAACTTTATCAAATTTGTATTACTATTTCAACGCGTTAATATCGAAACATAAAATAAAAATCAATCATGATTATGTAGGAAATTTAACGTAATATGATTAATGCACGAATATACCATTTTAAAGTTTCGCAACGCATTTATGATTCCGCCGGCGATCTCTCATCATAAGAAAAAAGAGGGCTTACTCCTTTTCTATTAAAAAAAAATAAACAAATGTAATTTTAAATATCAAAAATAGTTTGAGTTTTCATTTATTTTATTCGTGTCAGCGTCTGCATTTAAAATTGTCGAATGAAAATGAAACATGAAAACTTTCGCACAAATACTTTAGTTGTCATAAATGCATTTAAAATCAGAAATAATGCATCTTCGACGAGTTATTCAAGATATTCTAGCTGCCGCTATCAAGCCCGTTCTGAGCGGACTTTAATAGGTATAATAAAATACTCGGCGCGAACACGTGCAGCAATTCCAGTAAACAATTTGTTTGGACGACGCGCTCGGTGCACAGTTAGTTGCGACTGTTTGGCCCACTTGACCACTGGCTGGGTGACTTCCATTATCCCCGCCGTCAATTAGACCCCGTAATTAACATCATTGGCAATAGACACCGCGTCTTTTATACGCCAAACGCCATAGAAGTATATTTTCAGTCACTTGTCTTGAAACTCTTGTCAGGCTTTGAAATTGTCAATGGGCAGCGGGGATTGCTCAGTATCTGGTAAGCTGCTCAATCTTTTGCCACCTCATCAATAATAAAGTGTATTTTCTGATAAAGCGGTGGCTAACTACTTCTATTCAAATAAGAATATGAACAAGGTATATGCTTTCAGTTTCTAATTTCAACTATAACCGAATAACACAATAGTTGCTATTCGTGCCAGTAATATTTTATCCAAACTTTAATAAGGATACGTTTTACTAAAGTTTTATCAGGATTTAATTATAGATGTGATAGCTTAAGGTATCAATAACGTCAATTACGTTTTGCCAACCTGAAGCCGACCTGAAGATCCATACAAACTATGCTATATTATAATCATTAGTACTATCCAATATCATATGAGAAAAATCTCAAATAAGAGTTAAGTAAGATGATATCAAAGTACCGTTTCGCAAGTCGCAATCTGTATCATATTTCAAATGTTGATGTTGAAGAAAAACTAGGCAATTGGCACAAGTAGCGGTGGTGCGCACTTCGTCAGCGTTGCATTGCTGGAGCTCACGAGGCGACTTATCAATATGAATGTAGTTTTTTGAATTCGTAATGTCTGCTTTTCCAAATGATTACAATAAAAGGAGGACTCCAACGTAATTACAAATCGATGCCAAGCCTGGCTGTATACAACGACTTGCAAATGAACTCATCAATGATTAACGGCTACTCCTTTAATTACGATGTCAACAACATAAATAATTTTTATCAAACTAAAACTGTGGTAGGGCCACGCAACAGTGTTCGCTGTTGCACGAATGGACAGGTCCGTCCGAGTAAGAACCGCAACCTCACAGAAGACCGGCGTGAAGCAGAAGTAGTAGAGTATTAATACTTCTGCGTTTCCTCTGATGAGTAAGGTAGCCGGGGCCCACTTTGTTAAAAGGTGGAAACGCATCTGAAACTGTACGGTACCGTACAGATGCGTTCAGATCCGTTCAGATGCGTTTGCATATATCCATGGGCGGCGGTTATTACTTTACATCAGGCAAACCGCCAGCTCGTTTTCCACATTTTCACATAAAAAAAATAATCTAGCATTATATTGTACCTAAAGGTTGTTTCCTTATTACTATTTCTAACATAACAGCATCGCCAAATAATTGCGAAAAAGCAAGAACATTGCTGGAAACTTCTAGACGATCGTTCACCAAATTGGGAAGTTTCTATAGCAATATCGCATTTAGTCGTCCATGAATAAATCGGAATGTCGTCAATTGTTTAGTTCGCTACCATAGTTTGGCACCGCATCGTCTTAAGGACTCATTCTTCTTAAGGATTTCTACGCCTCAGCCAGGGTAGGGAATCACTTGGTTGAATTTCTCCTCACGTTTCCCTCTAGCCGCGAGCGGTGACCGCATACAGAAGCGACGCAGACGTGTTAGCGGCGACACGACATTCGTTTCCGCAAATAGGCACACAGCTGCGCGGTTGTTTTGGCGCCGCTCGGTGAGAACTTGACCCGTTTGCCGCCATGACAGCGGTAAGCATTTGACGCGACTTTCTATAATGCGCCAATGAGGGAGCTCACGGTGTGGGTACTCCTTCAGATTCGTACTCAAAGACGTCAATTTAACCAAACCTCCTGTCTTCTCACCAATTTCGCATACGGATATTCATACTCGCAGTCCTGCAAAAGTATATAAATGCAAAAGTTATATTTGTATTTAGGCCATGAATGAAAGCGGAAACGTCCTTCAATATAGATAAAGATAAAGATATCCTAGTGTTTACTATGCGACAAATTAGCGATTGCTTATTATATCAGCTGGGAACACAACCTCACATCCTTTCTTTGAAAAGGATTTTTCTTATCTCTGGTGCAGGTTGTACTGGAACCGTGGTCCGTTGATTTGACGAAATAAAAAATAAAAAATAGGGAATGAAATAACTTCCACTTATCGAGATAGGTAAAAAGTGCCCATAAATAACCGAAGAAGTCATTAACAGCGCGTATTTCTTTAATTTTTTTTTCTAAAATATTTTTTACATCAAAACATTATTTATGACTTTTAAAAGTATTAAGCACTTAGCAAATCATTTAGCACACCTACTCCTAGGGGATTCGGTAAATTTATTTAATCGGTGATTTATTAAAACTTTTAAGGGCAAAAGAACTGGCCCTTGTCACTGTTCAACAGTTTTTGTTACTAATACATTAGTTATGCTTATAGAATTAAAACTTAAAAGAGAGCCGATAAAAGTTGCGACTCAGGTTCTCTTAGTGTGCGTTATGAAACGTCATCACAGATGCAAACGTGGTCACATTGGAATGGATATAAAACTATATGGATATTTATGTGATTCACTAATCGCCGGAACGATGTAAAAGAGGTAAAGTAACAGACTATACATTCCGCACAAAGGGCGAAAGCGTCCGGGCAAAGGCGTCTTCTGTACAGAGTGTACAAGGGCATAGCTTAATACGCGACTTCATTGCGCATTGGCAGACGTCACATATCTTCGCAATTTTTTATTTTTTTTATTTCGAAACTATGAAGGTTTTCTCATGTTTTCCTTCACCGCCGAGCGTATAACTAATCAGCACTTAACATTGCATTTAACAATTTTATTCGTGCCGTCACCGGTTTCAGCACATAGGTTGCTCAAGTAAGTATAATGAAGTAAAAGCCAGCGGCCAATATGTAAATGAAAAAAACCCTACACATAAAGTAAGCCAGCTTCAATCGCGACAGCAAAGCGGATTGTTATAACAGCGCATTTTATGTCCACTTCCTTGTTGTTACTCAGGATCAGGAACACGTAAATGGAACATTGTGAGTTATGTAAATGTATGTAAAATAGCAGCGGCTCGCTGTGGTCTCGGCTATACGACACTAAGTAGTTGTTTAAAGCTTTCAGTCTTTCACTAAACACATACAGTGAGTTACGGCCGTTGCTTTAGCAGTTAGACGGTTAAATAGCGTAAGAAGGATTTAACTATTTTATAACAGCGGAAACATACTAGATCGTTGTTTGCTGACATTATATCGATAGTTTTATATAAAAATATAATTTGTAGTTACATTGGTGATGTTTCCTTAATAATTTCCGCGGCAAATTGAGAAGATTAAGGGAATATAAACATATTGCAATGATTATTATTTTATAATTTATATTTAAGTAATAATAATACTGTGTAATTAACTGGTAAAACAGTTTTATTACACAGAGTATTGTTCTCTATTCACGATCTTTTATTTTTAGGCTTCCCTACGCAAAGGGTAAAACGGGAACCCTATTACTAAGACTTCGCTGTCTTTCTGTCCGTCTATCACCAGGCTGTATCTTATGAACCGCGATTAATACATAATATCACGTGGATTATACTGCCTCGTGGTAATGGCTGATGTATTCGATAGGTTGTGAATTTTATTTACACACACAATGAAAATTGTTATTTCTTTGGTGACATGTTCATATATCAATTATATTAATATACAAACTTTCTCGCAATTTATTAATTAACTACAATATAATTAGTAAACTGGTTTGATTGATTAAATGTGTAATATTTAAGTAAATAATAGATGTTAAAACATGTATAATTATATAGTTATAAGCAGTGTTACTAAAAATAAGAAATCAATATTATGTATAAGAAATAATCGTATATCGATTGTGTCACTTTAAAGGAATACGATAAAACTTGTTTAGTTTTACATTTCGTGACATGTTCTTTATTATTAATTTAAAGAAAAACCAAATCGTACAGCAAGTTCAACTAAACGACAAAAGTTTCAGAACCAAAATTAATAAATAGTAATTTGTTAGCTGCCAGTTGTACCGATCGCAAATATTTTATCTGTGCTCCGTCCGTTTGAAGAACACGGCGGGCGGGAATCGTCTTACATTCTCTGTACGGCGTAATGGCGGTGCGCCGGCGCCGCGCGACTTGACCCGCGACATCAGAGCAGTAACGCGACACTCGTAACACTAACATCGTGTTGCACACAACAATACATTTCTTAACTTTATGACAATCGTCTGTTGAGATCGCGTTACCCGTTTGAATAACTCTTACAGAGAATACCACGGTTACATCTACACGGATAGGTGTGATTGTGCAACTCGTTTTAAATTTAATTGAAATGTACACTTATGCCATGCAAAACCTTTCTGTTTTTATATAAAATTATAAAAGAGGAGAAATGTTCCATTTTAATGATAGCGCAGCTTCTATTCTGCACACGCGATTCAACTATGGTAGGGCCAAGCATACGCTTCTGTTGCAAGAATGGGGAAGGCTTGTCTGGGTACCACGACCGTGAGTGAGGTAAGCGGGGCCCAGCTTTTAAGTGTTTGGCAACCGCCAGTTGTTGTCGATGTCCATGGGGGGGAGGTAAACGCTTGACATCAGATGCTTGCTCGCAAACGCTCGAGAACGAGGAAACTGAAGTAAAACAAGAGTGGTACTTGAACCTGATGTAATGTTATTTTTAACTGTAATATTCTGTTGTGAACGAGATCGAACCATCGTAGGGAGATCTAGAGTTTTCAGAAACAATCAAAATAAAGGCAAACTACGTGAATTCAATCAGCAGTGGGTTTCATCGCCTTGTATGCCATAATACCCTACCGGGTACCGAGGAGGCCCATGCCCAGATGTGGATATAAAATATAATCAGGCACTTTACCTCACTTTTTTATGTGAAAAGCAAGCGAAGAGGGGTTTCACCTTAACACGTTAAGCATTACGTGCGCACAGCGTTAACAACCTATTAAAAAGTAGGCAGCGATTACTTTACTCACCAGACGAAACGCGAAAGTGTATTACTACTATACTTCCACTTCACGCTGGTCTTCTGGGACGCCGTGATACTGTGTCGGATGAGCCTGCCCATTCGTGCAACAGTAAAAGCTACTGCGCCGCCATACCATATCAATCCCACTCTACAATTAATTCACTAAAAAAACACTTTCACATCTGTAAAATGTTCAGTTTTATGTACACACATCCAACATAATGGAGTCCCCATTGTGAGTCCGATCAAAGTTTTAATTATAATATTTTAACATTTCGTAAAAGCAGATAACCTTCGGGGTTTTACTGTACTTATCTACCTTCCAAATACATAAACGTTTTCAATCATTTTAAAATGCGTGCTATTCAATTACTACTGGTTTTTTTTTTACTTATATATTTCTGTCTAGAGTGTTTTATAGCTGCAACATTACGTTATACGTCATTAGAATAAGTATCAGCCAGGCAACTTAAGTTTACAACTTTATTAAAAATTAAAGAGCTTGTTTAGGAATATAAGTTAAACAGCAAGTTTTATATTAGAAGGCAGAAGAAAATTTCATTCGTTCTATTTGTACAATCTATTTAGTTCAAATTACTTAATGTTAGTAATTCTCATTTCCATTGTCACTGTTGAAGGTTTTCATGCTAGGTAAAAGAGCTAGTGATATTTTAGCAAATTAATAATTATAGATCACCTATTCGTATTATAATAGGCTTTCGTGCACATTTCTGAAAGGTGTCCTCCCATCGTTGCCATGTCCTATACTATATACTTTGTCTTAGTTTTAGTTATTATAGCGACAAATGGAGAATGAAACGACCTTTGTAATCAACTATGTGTTTCACGATTCCCTAGCGGCAACATAGCTGACCTCCGATAACCCATTCGGCGCCACGGTTCTCGTCTGCATCGCTGCTTCATTCATCTCTTTATTGCGATATAACAGCTGTTTATGTGGCGTAGCGATTATCGTTAATTGGTCACCCTGCCCCTTTGCTCTGATATTGTATGAGTGCATATGTACTAATTATAATATTTTGTTATAATTTTGAACTTCCCTTTAGAAGAATAAATAATCAAAATGAATTAAAGCCAATGTGACTGTGAAACGAGCATTTTCTTTTCCGTTAATTATGCCTGAAATCCTAAAAAGTACGTACGTAGTGTTTTTTTTTGTACAGCGGACTCTATGAAATACATTTATCTTGTTTCTACAGTTTCATTTCTAACTTTTAATAATTAATTTCATTACTGATAAAACTTTTAGTGATGTCAGTGATAGGTATTAATTGCAATAAATATTCCTAACGTTAGTTATAAAACCTGTCGATCGCAATTGTCAAGGCACACGCTATATAAAAGTTGTGCATTAAAAATACTTAATATTAATAGCATACAAATATAAGTTTAAAAATTATATGTCTATGTTAAAAATAAAGTATTAAAAATATATGAAGTATTTATATAAATATGTGATGGTCAGTCAGTAGAAGAAAAAAATAGGGATTTTATTAAAGAAGGCTTAAAAGTTGAAAAAACAGCTTGAGTTTACTCATATTTGCTGTAGAGTAATCGGTAAAATGAGTTTTAAATCAATATTGGCCCTTAATACAAAGAGACCAATAAAACTAAGTTTATCGTAATAGCCTTTTAAAGCGATAACAAAAAAACCGTTGAAAATTTAATAATAATAGAAAAATTTAAATTATTTTGAATACTAATTTAATATCCAACGTATTGCGAAATATAACCAAGGGCAATACACAAAGAAAGAGGGCTAATCAGATTTCGGCAAACAATGAGGTTTTCGATTAGTTATAGAATTTAGTAACCCTACACTCTGGCTTCGGGCTGGCTACGTGGAACCTAACAAAGGCTTTTGTTTCCACACGAGACCGGCGTCGCTTTTTAGCTTATTTATTTTACTCTTATTGCATTCCCAAAGTGCTGACCAAGTCTACGTGGTCCGAAAACCGGTTCCCGGGCCTTAACGCGCCTTAATAAGTATAATTAAATATATTATAAAAACTTACGAACGCGTCAGTAGTTAATCAGAGTTGAAGACGAAATTCTTTACTCAGTCGCAATATATAAAATTAAGGCTTTTGAATTTCTTAAACGTTTTCAACGTATTTTGCAGTCATCCCTGTCTTAATATGGCAATTTGGTTAATATATTTTTGATAACTCCTTCCAAAGATCATTGAAGAATGTTTAACTATGGCTTCAAACTTGTTGTCTGGTCTTTTTATAGTTTTTAATAAGTTTAATATAATTTGCTGAATATCGCAGATTAGATTTATAATCTGTGCTTATCTTTTACCGCCAACATTTCAGTTTGTATTAAGCGACATTAAGGTACCTGCTATTTGACCTCACATATGTCGTTGATGTCGATGCAATACAAGGCGACGGCCGCTGAGGTCAGTTGCATTGCCGTGAGCGCTGAATTATTATTATTACGCGTCGGACGCATTTTCGTATGCCATTCGGTATTTATTGATTTAATTTGTAAGCTCGATGTTCCGCAGTTCGCAGCGCAAATATGGCCGACAATGAAAGGTCCTGGTTTAAACGATGCCTTGGCAAAATTCGACGTTTGATTAAACGTACGAAGTGTGCCATATTTGTAAGGGGCTGAACGTGGTAAGTATGGTGAATGAAATGAGTTACTCTGCATACCGATTTTGTGAAGTACTATTTGTTATACACAAACCAAACATGATACCTGCTGCACGATACATAAAATGTTCATACTGTTTTGTAACATTGTGTATATATTGGTACTAATGTGCTGTATTTATGCACATTTTACTGTGGTATGGATGAACTGGCACATCCAGGGAAGTAGCAAGGTCTCTGAGAAGGTTGGAGTAAACCTATTTTTTGCATTTCGCCTGATGAATGTTGCAACCAGGGCCCACATTTTAAACGTTGGCAATAAAACTGCACCCTTCAGTCATGGTAGATGTCCATGAACTGTGACACTTTACATGAAGGTAGCTACTGGTTTGACGTATTTTCTTGTGACAAAAAAAACGTTCGAAATTCAAATAGAATGCATTTGATATATATCTATTCGAATATCAAACGTCGACATTTCTAGTGCAACTTCCATTATAGCGCAATATTTCGATGTGTCGACGCTAATGTGAGACGTCAGTTGTTTTGGTGCATTAGGTAAATCGAGTCATCAAACGCGTTGGGATTTTGCAACGGACGACGGTATGGGTGGATTTTATAATGGACATGCGCACGACGAGATGGTGGAAGGCTATTCCGTATCGGACGTTATTGTGTTGGTGGTTGTTGTTATGGTGGTTTTGGCTACCGGGTGTTATTTGTTCCAACAGTTGAAGCGCCATTGCGGGAAGTACATTCAGAGGGAGGTGAAGAGGGAAGTTGAGGCTGTGCTCTCCGGGAGACAACCGTAGGACTTTCATCAGCAATTGCAGTTCTTGTCTTAATATAAGAGGTGTGCGCAAGGCAGATGGTATGCAACGTAATATGTTCACATGCAGCATTAACCTAGTAGTGAAATTAAACGTATTCAATGCAAGCATGTAAGCTTAGTTTTATTTATCTGTTTAATCCACCTGACGTAAATGTATAGATTAGCCGAATACCACGCAAAGGAAAGCCTGGACATAATTTAATTTTTAATCGCACATTCCCACGCGGCTGCCAGGATTGCGAAAGTATACAAAGGTAAGTTATGTTAGAATTCGTAACAATAATTATTAACGAGTAGCAAAATTTAATCTACATATTTTTTAATTTCATCGGAGTAATATTATGTTACTGGCAATATAAGAACCTAAAAAATTTTATATCGCCGGTTATATAGTGTAATATTTTTGTGTACTTACACCCGATCAAGTCAGTTAATAATATTCCGAATTATATAAGTTATAAGGGTAGTTTAATTTACCTTATCCATACATCAGAGCTTCGAATAAAGTTTCCTGTTTATTTTAGTCAAACGAGTAAAATTTTAGACCACTATCCCTCTAGTATTTATTGTCATAAGAAACGTAATATTGGAACACTGAGCTTAGTATATACAAGTATATATAGTTGGTTTGCAATCTATCTGTTGCAATCGCAGATCAGTGGTCGTATCCGCCACAATGTCACCGCGTTGCCAGCTCGGTTGCCTCACGACAAAAGTGATTTTAATGTTGGGTAGTGTGATAAACAAACAGATCTGAGTCTCACAAAATATTGATCGAGCGAGATGTGTCATTTATTCACTTTGACAGTAGCAATTTCAAATCTGCAAATTAAGACGCGAAACAAAAACTTCGGGTACCTTTTTAGGTTTATAGAAATTGAATAGTGTGATTTCCCATAGTTAAACGTAATGAAATGAAATTAATATAAACATAAATTGATCATACATTATGGGACAATGAAAACGTTTCAATAAAGTCCCAGACCTACTACCCTATGCTCCTACCTTGAATAAAGATATTTGAATTTGAAATTTTAGAGAAGTAGTGCAGAAAACCAAAATTTAAGTAATCTTGCAATTATATAAAATTAAATTACGTAAAACTTTTATGGTTTACGTTCGCAATGTCGCCAAACCGTAACACAGATTAAAGATTGTCGCCAAAGAATTTATAAGAGTCAGATTTGAATGACTTTGATAAAAATATATAATTTTTTGTTTCGGAATACATATAAATCGTCAAAGTTATTAAAAATAAATTAATTCTAAATCTAGATCTATAAAATGCTCCAATACAAATGTGGTCAACTTCCTTTAAATTAATACTATGAAAAAAATGTACCTTAATGCAAGTAAGGTAAAAAATACTGGGCTTACTTATAGGAGTAACAGTTCTACCAAACCTCACTTATACTTATACAAAACGAAACATGGGCCGCCGTTTTGATTTAAAAGTAATAGTCATAAAATAATGTAGACTTAAACAAATAAAATGAGCACAAAAAGTGTTTTATGTTCCTTAATATATCTTGAAGCATAGAACAGACAAGGTAGATGTTGTACGATCCGGGTGTGGACTCGCAAATGTATTAATAGACAGACACAAAAAGCTTAATTTCATTATAAGTACAGATAGCAGGCATGTTCAATAATAACAGACAATTAAATACTTGTCGTTGTACGTTGATTGTCGTTTTATAATATCTAAGATGTGGGCGGCAACGCAACTAGACTGTGGAGGTTTCGAACGTAATTACGCGCGAACAATCCACGGGAGCTACTGTAGCGATCGGAGAGATAAGCTACGGCGAGTTTCATATTATAATCTACGCACCTTATAGGGATAATGGTTTGATAAACAATCGCGTTTACGCAACGTAACGTTTTTGCTGCGGCTATGCAGTTTAACGAATGGTTCTATTAGTTTGCTGACTTATGGGGTTTTTGTCTATCATTAAAACAAAGTAACTATAGTGTGCCGGTAGCGTTGCAAATATTTACTTAAATGACAGCCTACAAATTTCATTTGCTCGAAAAACTAAAGTGCAAATTTCGTTGTGACAGCATCCTACCCTAAGAAAAGAAATTTCGTGATCTACAAATATTTTTAACAGCATGGGTGTGACCTGTTCTTAATTTCCTCATGTTTACGAAAACGTGCAGAAAACATAGACCTTTTTTAAGCACGGGAATATGGTATACCTCTTGTGATTGTGATTTAAAAAAATGAAATTAATGAAAAGAAGTTTTTCAAAATGGACTTAATAACGGACGATAGATGGATATGATAGAGTAAATAAACGTTGGAACAACAATTTACATAACAGATTGAATACAGCTTGTAATATAAATTATCACGGTCTTACAGATGACAACAGGCCGGTACCATTTCTGGTTTTTATAAGCTTTTATGTGAACATTGATACCAACGTGGTGGTTGACATCTAACGACTTTTAGAAAAATAAATGTTCCGTAATTCAAGAGTCTATGCCATAAGCAATGAAAATTGTATGATAATTTAGAAGGGAGAAAATCGACAACAATGACCAGTTTAATACACTTAAAATAATTCTTCAAGCGTACCTAAGAGCACCAAGCGGAACACACATCTACAAAATAAGCGTACTCATTCCGAAAACAAAGAAAATTGTGGTTGGTGTAATGGCGTTTCGAATGTAACAATTAAAGAACGTTTAGCATTTCGTGAGCAGGGGCCGCAAATCCTTCTATTTTAATATTACTTTTAAAGCGGCTGTATTATCTTTTAAGAAACATTATAAGGGAGTGTCTCTATTTTAATGACGCATCGTTTAGCTTGCAAAGTCATCTTGTTTAAAAACGATATAAAAAGAAAACACTTATTAATCATACGCATGATATGAAATATTCGTTTGGATTTAGCATATTGTCTATAGAATCCGCCTATAAGTCGGATGATAATTTACCACCATGCAGCATTTCTTCATATAGCAAACTTTTATTCCACTTACACACTTCGAAAGTCAATTTGAATGAGACATGATTGTGGTGAAACATTAGTCATACTTAACGTTGACATCATCCTGTAAATGACGCGCAGCACGACACGGATACTTCCAATTGTACAATAGCAGAATTTGCCGTAAATACAGGGCTGTTCAACAGACAGATAAATAAATGTATTGTTAAAATGGAGAGAATTGGTAAAATGCGAGCTCTGGTTAGTAACTAAATAAAGTTAAATTGCATCAAAAGTATAGTTTGACTTGTTCATGCAGATCGCGTCTGCCAAGTTTTACAAATCATTTCATACCTCTATTTTGTCTCATACCTCTAAATAAAGTTTAACTTATTAATTTGCTTTGCTGAGAGTTTACTTATCATATGAACTTACAAAGCTACGTATATTATTGAGAGGTTCCGTTTTGTTCTGAGATCGAATTAAAATCCCTTTGATCGTGTATGAACGAAAGTGATGTGAAACTGTTTAGATGCGATACGCGTGAGTACTTAAAATAATACGGATGGCGGTCTGCTGCCCATGTAATGACACGTATGAAATCCATGCCACACACGCCGAGATATATTATAGCCATCAAATTTGATTGCAGTAATCACCAGCCCGAGACATCCTGCGAGGGTGCCCGCTCACCAGAGTTCCTTCCCCGCGCGTCTTCCAGTCTGAATCGCCGCTTACCGATTGTTATGATTCCTTTTCTTTTACTTTAGGGTGCCTACACACCGTGATTCCTCACCACACCTTTTTGTTAACGCACCACCGTCTCGCGTCGGTAACTTTTGGTGAATGACCGTCGAGAGTTGTGGAGAGAATGGCAGGATTCATGCTATTTGAACACAGAACGTTCACAGATTTTCTTAATGACTTAACACTGGGTGCCTCAATAAAATTGAGTAACTTATAAGACATTACAAAAATGCTTGAATTGAATTACAATACCGTTAGTATTGAATGTAAAAATGGACGTAATTTTTTTTGTTTACATAACATTATGTGACAAAATACTGAACAAGCGAAATTATTGCACACGAGTCTAGGAACATCTCACGGAGGACTTAATCTTAATCTAGAAGACACATTGGTTGTTTCGCGGTTGTTGCAAATTTAGTTTTACGTTACTGTAGATGCTTCAGATAGTTTACACTTTGTCTTTATCGTGAAAATTAGTTACCCTTCACCTACGTTACATCGCTCAAAACGTTTTAATATCTACTTCTCATTTTCCGCTTCGATTGCTACCTAACATTTCTACTTTAGAAGTCAATCGAGTATTTACAAAAACACTGGCAATCTGAACGCCATATGTAATTTGCGGGGAAAGAAGTGCACCAAAACATCGTCCATTGGGCCCGGACGAAGCGGCACGCAATGCGTTTAACGTCTTATTTTCATGTAGCTCCTTGGCCTTGTTATTATCGACGTGTCACGTGACGTACATAAGGTCCGAGCGTCGCGTAATTCCCACAAATGACCACCAATTACGCGGAGGCGTCTCGGTCTGCGTCAATTAGACGACTCTTCGCGCACCTGGCGCGGGGGAAGTGGTCACGAAGCAAACAGCTCCTTTCTTGGAGCGAACCATTATGCACTTTGATCTATCGGGGTCGCTCGCGGCCGATCTCGATTACGTCGCCCACGGTAAACTTATATACCTTGAGAGTTTATAGATCGTGAAGATCTTTGACCACTTTTTTGTTTCTGTACACTCTTTTATGCTTTATGTACGCCAACCATATTAGCGAACATAAAGCATATTACTGCTGTTATCTGTATCTGTTATTGTTATTATATCTCACTAAATATTATGGCATAATAATGTAAATACAAGGAAAACGGTTCATAGAAAAATATAAAACATAATTTAAGAAATCTTGCCGAACTTTGTCTACTTCAGTGCGCAAAGTAATTCAATGGCTTCTGGAGATAATTTTCTTATTACCTTGTACCTTGTACATTTCTCAACGAAGCGCCGTGAGGCCGCGTGGTGGACTAGCCTATACAGAGTTTGTATACAGTCTTTGCCCAGCAGTGGGACATTTATAGGCGGTAACGTTACTTTAATTTTTTATCATTTTATTAAAAAGTTAATAGAATTAACATGCTTTTCTTTAGAGAGCCGTGATAGCTCAGTGTCCGGGCGCTCGCCTTTAATTTAATATACTCGAGCAACCTGAGTTCGATCCCCGGTGCCAGCACCAATGAAGTTTTTAACTTTAAGTGCTGACTTATCACGTGCTCCGCGGTGAAGGAAAACATCGTGAGGAAACCTGCATATTTTCGAAATAATAACAAAAAAAATATATATATATATTTCGAAGATATGTGAAGTCCGCCAATCCGCAGTGGGGCCGTGTGGTGGACTATGCCCTGATACCCTCTGTATAGAGGAGGCCTTTGCCCAGCAGTGGGACATGTATAGGCTGTTACTTTACTTTACTTTTTTTCTTTATTCTTAATTTATATTTAGAATTAGAGACTTCTGGCTTAGAGATTTATAACCTAATGCGAAAATTAAATTTTGCCGGAAGTCTAATGTATAATTAATGTAACAATAGCATTACAAAAGAAAACATAAAATCGATACAGGATTCTGTATCTGTAGATGTTACGATAAACGAAAAACGATAAATCTTTCACCGTTTGGTCTAAGTGCCAGTATGTTTCGAATTCGATATGCCTGATGTTGTTACAACTTGATGCATCGATACACGTCAAATACGAACATCGGTTCAGTAATCGGATTCGCAGCATTTCGTCGAAAGCGGTGAAAGTTTTTTCGGTTCTGGTTTTTTGGAGTTTGTCTACAGGTATTGTAATAATCATAATACACCTAAAAGGTAGATGAGATGATTTATATTTGTATAGAGTAATATAAACAGTGTACCAATATTAGTAATTAGAAAGTAACTTGCTGGAAAAGGATTTGTCTGTACGATAAGAATATTCTTCGAGAAAGTTTATTCATTAGTAATGAATTTGATGCTTTTCCTTGTCTACATAGTCTAACCCATGTTACCTCCGATATAGTTCATGGGTAATGTATTTGATATTATCTTAGAATGTACACTCTAGATATCGAAGATACAAGTGTTCTTATTGTTTACAATTTACAAAGGCAGCTATGTACACCCATGTCAGTCTGCATCCATCTATGTACGAAAGTATGGCTAAATTTTGTCTTCCGCCAATATCTTACTTACATTTTATCTGGTTCACATATTGATTTCTTGTATTTAATCGAATACTATACAAGATTTAAAAAGCTGTTTAACGTTCTATATCGCGTTTTATTCAGATTTTAAATATCATCTGCTTTAATAGGCCGTGTTAGAATTGGTTTCGAGTTTATCATTGATGACAAATTATATAATGTTGTGGACCAAAAACAACTAAATAACTCAAGTTGTTTATGCAGGTAGTTTATAAGCAATAAAGTAATTAACATTAATTTGAGTTTTAACCCATTTTACATTTTTGCTGTTGCCTAAAAATTTACAACCCCAACATTAAATTTGTTATTCGTTAAAATATCTACCTTTCATTGTATACGTATATGTATTGTAACGTGATATAAATTCGTATGATACTGTAAATGTTGTTTTTAAATTGTAAATTTTTGTAGATAAATGAACAAAACTTTGTGCGCTATGTCTCTTGGTGTCGCGCCCAGATTAAAAAACATATAAATTCATATGTTTTCGATCGTAACTGGCATAACCTAAAAGTTTTATCACCGATTGTATTCCATTAACAGTAATGGTCTCGGCGGATCGTCCAGACGGAAGCGGTGACCGCTCAGCTCACTAATGAGGAAGCAGTCGCGACGGAGTATCCTGCGGCGTGCGAGTACTTTTACGATCGCCCTTGCGGGATAGCTTCTAGGTAAACGTGTAAGAGAATAATGCTAATCGACACTTGTGGAACGCCATCAAGGAGAACTCGTATACTGATTATTTTCTGATTCCTTTATGTGTATTATTCGACGTTAGTTCACCCAATATTCAATCAAGATGACTACTTGGCTAATCAATTCCATATGTCGATCGTTATAATTAACTTCAGCACAAGGATGTTTTAATAAAGTTCGATATTTTTCTTGTGTGTATCGATTTTTTATTATGGCAATGATTTTTTATCAGTAAGAACGAAGCTCGTTTATGAACACTTTATTTTCCATCTCTCAGTCAGTCTGCGCTCGTTTTTATTCAGTATTCGACCAATAAACCTGAAATAATTTCAAGTATTAAGGTCCACGGTCAGTCGGCGGTTCTGTTCAATGCAAAGAGAAAATCACTCATCAAAAAATGTTTAGAATCTTACGTTATTTGCATTTAGGGCGACATTTTAAAGCACAAATATTCGTGCCTTTTTTCATATTCATTATTGAATCGAACATTATTCCATTATTTTCTAAAACGGCGTGTAAAACCGTTTTGATTAATATGCACATTTTTTTCTATCTCAACGGTCGTCCATGGTCTACGGGTTGCGAAGACGTAGCCACTGACCCATTGCACTGGGAGCTCCTCGACCTTAATCACTGGACACCTGTTTGGGGGAGCAGCACCATTACTCCTTGGGAATCTTAATCATGGGAATCAATTGTATCGTGCTGGGGCACAGCGCGAATGTAAATAAGTGAACCAAACTATGAAATTACGTAAAAAATTCATTAATGCTTTGGGAAGTAGGGAATAGAAATTTAGTTTGAAGGAATAAAACTACATAACTGTTAACGTGGTATAGGACATAGGAGCCAAAAAGCATGAACTGTTTAACATAGTCTGACATTCGTCACTTAAGAATTTTCTATTAAAACTGACACAATACTAGAGAATAATTCATCATACCCACGTTAGTTGTTTTGATAACGTTCCATAATTATCGCTTAAGAAAATGTCCAAAATTTAAGATTGCTAATTAGGGTAAAAATATTGGAGAAAAAGAAACTACGAATTAGTACATCGATGTTTGAATATTAAACAATCGGTATTGATTTGTGCCCATACGAACTCCCGCCAAAAATTTCGCGCCAAACGCTTAGCAGTTGTCAATGGGCGCGGCAACAAAGACTCCATTCATGCGGCGGGCACCTGTAGAGGGGTTCCCCACACGTGGCAACATATGTGTAGCCCTGACTCTCACCTGGTGGAGGAAATCTCACCCCTCACCCGCGAGGGGTAGGTTTTGTTTTACTCACACATGTCACCGGCGGCTGCTACCGACAGATGCTAAAATACGTTGGAGCTGACATCGGCCTCATTGTTGTAATAGTCCTGGCTGGGGTTTTTGATGACTTTATTAATAAACATTGACGCCGCTCGCGGAACACACTGCCAAAACTATTGTGAATGCAACAACATATCACATAATAGCCTAGAGGCCACATGTAGCTACAAATATCATGTTACATTAAGACACGCTACCTTGCTATATATAAAACTTTGTCAGAAGTTTACGTAGTAATTAATAAAATTTATCAATTTACACGAAATGTCCAATACTTTGATCTAAATTGTTCACTAATTTATATGCCGATTTAAAATCATCAATTATACAAATATTCTGATTAGGTTTGAAGATATTTCATCATCTTAAAAATATTTTAGTTTCCATTAGCATATTGATATATTTATGACTATTATTATATATTGATTAATATAACAATAATTTTTTTTTATTTTGCTTTTGTAATTTAGAATAATGATTGCTTATTAAACGCAATTTTATGCATGATTGAATTATTCGAATATAAGACGGAAAGCTAGGAGATATTAAGAAAAAATGACTAAGAAGCCAATGGTTTCTCTTAATATTTAACATCAAAAGTATTTATGAAGAGAAGCACAAAGTGAAAACAATGTAACACAGGTACTTATTTCTATTGCGATATACATATTTCAGATACGTTTCACAGATTGTTTTTAGATCCCTATACTCTTCGATATTAGAACGAAGAATGCTTATTCATTAGCTATTGTTAATATAATGAACGGGTACATACAGCTCAAATATGATTTATGGCTTAACGGCTTGGATACATGGTTAGATAATGGTATATCTTTATTGGTTAAATATTTGCTGCATTTCTACATAATGTAAAGAATGCAAAACCAAAAGGTGGACTCCTTACATTTAAAAAAATACAAAAAGCTGACTTTATGCCTTTGGGCATTGTCTACATAACCTACGGAGTGGTAATAACTTTTGTCAGATGCTAAACGCAAATACTTAATATAATTATAAGTAATATCACAATTCTTAGTTTTATTTTGTTCCCATTTCTAATGCGTTTCTGTGCAAAGATAATACAAGTACCTACGATAACTAATAAATACACGTTATCGGGGGTAGCGTTACTCTGACTGATGCACAGATTTCCAATTGCCGGTACCGTCATTGAGAGCGACTGTAGTTGACCAGTTGTTGTTGGCAGCTGTGCGTGGCGCCCAGAACATCTGCGCAAGCACAAATGTATTGTTGCCCGCTGCCGGCGCCAATTCGATTGTTTATATTGTGTAACGTCACACCCTTTCTAAACGTCCGCTTTGGACGCACATTAGCCCAAGTATCGGTAATACACCGTCCTTATCTTTTACAACTGCGGGCGATGCCGTTTAACATTTAGCGTATTGCTTGATAAAGATAATGCCGGTGAGTATTGAACTAATTTGAATCGCCAATAATAAGGGTTAAGTCCCCGCTCGTAACCTGCAAAGGCCTGTTGTTATACAGACTATGATGGTGTTGTCCATCACCGTATAAAATTCTATTGATATTCAAATAAAACTTCTTAGATTCAAGGTTTCTTTTGTCACCTAATACGGGATTATCAAAAATTTCATCACTGTCGCAAATCGGTTTTGGTCGAAAATGCTTGGGTTGCTCGAGTACGTCAATAGCAATGGCGAGAGATCTCTAGTTTTATAAAGGAAAAGTGTTATTTGAGGAAGTGTACCTACTTGCTGTCATCTATAGGAGGAAACTTATAGTGTGCACGCTATGGTCTTCGCTGTTGCACGAATGGGTAGCTACGGGGGGAGTCCTACGACTTCACAGTAGACCAGCGTGAAGTAGAAGTGGTATACTTCGGCGTTTCGTCTGGTAAGTGAGGTAACCGGTGCCCACTTTTTTAAAATGGAGCATCGCATCTGCAACCCTACGGGTGTTGCAAAAGCTAACATACATATTGTCATTTTATTACAAAGTATTATACTAAATATGCGTCGTTTGTGTACGTTAAATTCATACCGTCCAATACAGTATTGATGAATGCGCGATTAGTAAATATTTAATGTATCGGAATTAAACAAAAAACTACGTTGATATTATATGGTTATGGTTAGTTACCGGTGCTGGGTTAGGGCGACTAAAAAAGAATTCATTCTAACAAAACGTTCAAGAGCTGAATGTTCCCACGTCACCCTTTTTTGTGTTTTGGGTGCCCAGGGGACATCCGCGCCGGACGAACAACTCATTGACTCCGCAGTCGGAAGGTCCACGGTTCAACGCCATCGCCACTGAGCCGCGTAATTGCCTCGTTCACGATAAATTATCACCAAATCCGCTACCTGCTGCTTTTATTAGGCTTGCGGCACAATGGCTTTCTCATTTCGTCCCATCTCGACCGCTAAGGAGGACCGTTCATTTTTTATTTGAAAGAGGATGTGCACAAAAGTGCGGAGTCACCTTCAACTTCCTTTATAATTTGATAATGATTTTGCTTTAACAGATCATTTACCCTCCTATATTAAATTTGAACATTCCCTCACCGCAAACTATAAAGATGCTACCCATACAAACAAAAACAAAGTTGGATTGTGTCTGACAGTTGCGGGCAAAGAGATTATCGGCTGATGTTCACGACTTTGATGGAGATCTCGATTCAAAGACAACGCATCTGCAACCCTAGGGATGTTGCAAATGTCCATGGGTGCCGGTTATCATTTAACATCAGGATCATGAACCGCCAGTTCGCTTGCCATCTTCTTACATAAAAAAAGACAAAATCAACAACGTGCTTCCACACGAAACTACCAATACTCCAACTTATTTCTTCTTATTGCTTCTACCCCTATCACGGTCGGCACAACATGTGAGCCGTGTATTTAACGACCTTACGACCCCTGACGCCGAAGCCACCGTAGCATCTATTCCACCGATGCATCCAGTATCTCCTACACACAAACATTTTGTATGGTAAATGTTTTGTATGGTAAAAAAGTTTGTGTGTAGGTTACATAATGGTATGTAACCTACAGACAAACATTTTGTCGCAATTAAAGCCCACAACCATCAGCTCTGGAAACAAGTATGAAAACAGAAGTGAATTAATGGTGCATTAAAAGATCGTTTCCTTTACCGTAACTATTATTAAATCACACGGAAACATTCATTTAGTCTTTAAAACGCTCGTATCAAAGACGCTCAAACCAAATATTTGAACGCGTAACGATTTACGGACCACATGTGGAAGTGGCCAATGGATACTGCTCGGCCCGGCCGGTGGCGGGCGCCGATCTGTTGTTTTTCCGACTGCATTAAAACGCACCGACGGAACGTCCGACGTAAATGTATTTCCAGCGAACAGAGCACGTGTTGTGTTGCCGTGGAAATTGGGAACGCCGCCATCGTCCGAGCGTGGAAATCCGCTAGTATTAATAGCGGGAAACAAAGCCCGAATGCGAGCGGAACGCGTGCGCGCGACGCGTGTGGTCGTGTTTCCAGTTTCTTTGTAAAGTATCAGCCTATACATGTCCCACTACTGGGCAAAGGCCTCCTGTATAGAGAGTATCAGGGCGTTGTCCACTACGCGGCCCCACTGCGGACTTCACATGTTTTTCGAAATATTTTGTTGTTGTTATTTCGAAAATATGCAGCACAATTTTCATAAGGTTGTCAACACATGTGGAACCCTCGGGTGTAGCAGATGTCACTTTACATCAGGTGGTGTCACTTTACATCAGGTGAACCGTCTGCTCACTTCAACTTTTCACATTAAAAAAATGCAGGAAACATGGTGAGGAACCATGTTTTCCTTCACCGCTGAGCAAATGGTAATTCAGCACTTAAAATTGACAATTTCATTGGTAACACCTGGCACCGGGGATCTAACTCAGGTTGCTAGAGTACATTAATTAAAGGTGAGCGCCCGGACACTAAGCTATCACGGCTTCAAATCAGTTTCATCGGATTCGATATCAAATTTTCAATTGATTGCACATTATCGAATAAGCGAAGATTTGGTCAAAAGCAATGTTTGCATCTGCCCTATATTGAAAAGATCTTTGTCGATTGACGTAACGGCTAAAAGGTTTTTTTTAGGAGAAAGCGAAATGGTTATTGTAGCATTATTATTTTGCTTTTGTTTATTGGATTACCAGAAATCGTTGTAAGGATTAAATTGGCGCAATAATTTCAAGCCGGTAGCATTTCGCAGATATAAAAGTAAAACATTGCTATATAGAAAAACTTAAGCAGACTTCGAACATATCTCTCACCACACATTTTGTATGCTATTTTAAAGAGTTCTCCGTTTCATTTTCGGACTCCAAGGTCCAATACCAATGAAATTCATATGGAACCAGATGAGAGCTAAACCGAACCCAAACCAAAAAAAAAATTAAATCCGTTCATAAACGTTGGATTTCATAAAATTTTGTTTTGAACGCGTTTCATAACTAGTGTTTCATGCTGACGGATGCTCTAAAGTATTTCACGTATTTATTATTTTGAATGTAGCAAATGATGATTTTTCAACGACAACAGTTTTGTTGGTAACTGACTTGTAGTCTCGTTGGGTTGGGTACCAATTATCTTGGTAAGGAAGTCGTGTGGCGGTGCGGGTATAGGGCTACGAGATACTGACAAGTCTATTAAGCGGGTACATTTCAACGACTCACTAACTAGGCTTGTTCCAATTCAACTGTACAGGATGACAAGTCCTCGTATCTAGTCGTGCCACTATTTGGCAGCTGTGTTTAAACACTTAAAGATAAATCCGATATATATCCTGGGTATTATTTAAGATATCTTTATCTATATACAAAATATTATTCATGATTAAAGATATATCCGAGATATATCCTGGATATTATTTAAGATATCTTTGTCTATATACAAAATAACTTGATATTATTTATGATATCCGATATTATTTAAAGCTTCTTTTAATTGGTGTTCAGGTACCCTATAAACGTATCTAATAAGGAACTGAACATTAGGGCTAATTGATACATTAGAACGTCAATCATTCTTATTTTGTAACCTGACTATAGTTTGTTCATAATATTTTCAACTTCAGGGATCATCAGTTGATCTAAATGCGAAAATCTGAAAGTAAAAAATGTATTCAATAGAAGCAGACACGTTATTCGCGTTTGCATTTTCTACAACAGTGTAATCCAGATCTTCTTATCGCATTAAGATAGCATAGAATCATTCGTTACAATTTAAAAATCACGTTAAAGGACAATGTATTCCATTCCAGTTATCTGCAAGTCTAATTGCAAACGCAGCACGTAACGTGTCGATAAACGTTACGTAGAGCATTCACAATTAGGTTAGTTTACAACAACCTACCATTATGTTTGCAACGAGCAGTAATCGGCCATCGATTGACGTCAATTCACGCGATATCCTAAATTACCGCAGTAAACGAACATATGCGATAAGAGAACTGTTAATTTCGCTTTAAGGTTTTTTAAAAATACTAGTCTTTACAGTCCAATTGATGGGTGATTTTGAAACAAAGTGTTTGCAGAGTTACAAATACATTAAGTAAAATTAAGAAATATTCGTTATTTATGTTCATGTACTGTCAGTATCAAATATTTGGGAGTGTAATTTAATACTAGTATGTGACCAGACAGTAGCTGTGAAAAGAAGAGGTTGCTGCCAAAGAAATATCATCAGCTAAAAATATCAGATTGATCTGATGAGTTTTGAGATAAGAATTAAATTTAATGAATTACGATAAAATTTCGACTATTTGTAGTTTAATAGAAATATCGTTATATCTAATCTACCTAACACTAGTATTAGTAGTATAATAATGGTTATGGGTTGAGTAGTAAGTCCCAATGACCACTGCGACCTAGAAGATCTATGGTCATCCCTTCAAGTTAGATAGCCTCCTCCAAACCAACAACCCTAACGAAGTTGACGGTCAATGAGGGGCTAAGAGTCATGGCTTCTTTGGTTGCCAATTCAGGCCCTCTCAGTTCCCGACTCCTAATATTAACCAGTGCACCGAATTTTCAAATAATGTGAAGTGGTGACTCGTCATCGCGAGAACACGAGTTATATGCTACATATGTCCGTTTTATGTATTCAACTGTTTCGCTAATAATATTGTGTGCTGTATATTCATTACGTACGACCATTTCACGCGGTCGACTTATAACAATTACCATAAAATCGCAATGAAACTCTGCTAGTGTTTATTTCTTTATCGGATTACGTGTAAGAATATGAGCAATGCTCGAGTTGTGGAACAATAAAACAAAAGCCGCGCCGTTCCCGGCAGTCGTGGATACTAATGCGATGTACCGCCTGTTCAATACGGCAATAGGAATATGTGCTTTATGTCCACCCCATAAGGTGCACGACCAGGCGTTAGTTCTGCGTGCATGGTGTGCGCAGGCGCCGTCACCTGCGCCGCTTCCCACGCTTACTCACTACATAGACATCGGAGCGGCGTCCGCACAGATATCTTTATTATGTCCTAGGCATTTGATTTAAAGCCTACCCAGCTCCCGCCTTATTTGCTCAAGATAGTGCGCTATTTCGGGACACTCCAGTCACGAATGCATTACAGAACTCGACAGGACCTTAATCATGACTGCTCGGATGGCGCAAGAGTTTCAGTGGTCACGTTGCCAGCTTCTATTGCCGATAATGTAAGTAACAGCAAATACTCCTGTTCAGGTTCTTAGGATATAGTCCATAAAAAGCGATTTTACTAAGGATTGGCAGACTTTACATTATAATTTTTTTCAATTATTAATATCACGAAGATGTGCTGCTTTCCTCACGATGATTCGTTTAGCGTAAAGCGCCTGTGATTTATCACTTAAAATTGTACTTAACCATTTCATTCATGCCGGCAATATGATTTGAACTTAGCCTGAGTTTGAAGCTAGCTAAGAGTGTGTCACTCATTCAATAGAGACCACCCGGGCACTGAGCTACCACGACCCTCAACATTAGGACGGGACATAAATTCGTATGTCAAAAACAGTTTATCCTTGGTGTACTTTGTGTTGTGTGGAACGTTAATAAAAATAAAATAAAATCTATAATAGAATATCATGAATCATATTATCACTGCTTAAATGCTGAATCAGTCGTGATAAGTCAAAGGATCAATTTTGTTATAGCCCAAAAATTTTACAAGCTGTAACAAAAAATAATAAACTGTGGTAGCTCATTGTGTCCGCGCCCGCCTCAAAATTAACCGTTCTTTAATAAAGTGCCCGGTGCCGGCTCCAATAAAATTCTTAATTGGTGATTTAGTGTTAATTTAACACGTGTGAAGCAGTGAGAAGTGAAAAAAGAAATATTTCCAAGAAACTAAGATATGTCGGTGGCACCCTAAGTATAACATACAATCCGCTGACTACCAAACGTGGAAGAAATAAAAAAGCTTCAAAGAAGAGACCATTAGCTGCATCAATACCCAAAAAGGGCATATAATCTCTTTACTTTTAACATTTATACAAAGATTAATAGACAACTATTAAGTAATATACGAAGCTACGAGTAAATTTACTCATAAATTGTAAGTAATATTACATCATTGGAAACAAATGAAAAATTTCAATTACGAACTTTAATCTCAAGAGTTACATTTACTAAACTGTGTAATAAAATCGCTATGTAACAATTAAATAGCTATATCACATAAATGTACCGGAAAACAAACGTATAAAGGTATAACTAAACGAATAAAATAATTTAATTGTAAAGGAGAGCTCCGACGCATTAACTCCGAGTAATATTAAAAAGAAATAAAAACGGTTATTAGATGCTCTTCCCATTCGTGTACACCTGCCATTACTTCTCACGATTTCATCTCTTTTGTAACAGTTAGATGATAATTATGGGAGAGATAGATTTTTCTCACATTCAACGTAAGCAAACGTTCCGTGGACAGATTATATTATGAATTGCACGCATACTTTGGACGCCATGGACGATTTAAACATGATGATTGTCCAAATCATAATCACGATTCAAATCATAACACATAAGGGTAGAAAGCATGAGTTGTCTAAAAACCGTTTCATTTTGAAATTTGAATTAATTGAAAATCAATAAAACTCAAAAATAAATAAAATTATTATATAAAACTCTATTATGATATAAAACTTCAGCTAAACATTGGAGGTCAGTTTTAATCATGTTCATACATCATTACGATAATACCAAAAATGAAATATAACAGTATCATTTTCCACTTTACCCCTTTAAGGTGCAAATCTGAAAGGTCTCAGATAAATCTGACCTAATACATTTTGTCCGGTCGACTCTAATTACGATTGCGGCTAAAAGAATGTTAGCGTGAGACGGTAACAGTTAGAGCGTTCCATTGTCTTCTATGAATAAATAATTACACAGATAATAATAGACAAACACCAAACAATTCGCAAGGCGAATGAGTCAATAAAAATTACCTTAAATACCTTACCATAAATAAATCATAGCGCAAATGAGCTCGAGATTAGTGCACAGAAGCTGTTTGAGATTTCCTAAGGCAACGCGCGCACCTGTCCGCCGTTCCCACACGCATGTTACACAATAAATGTCTTTTTTATTCATTCGCAATATGTTTACAGCCTCTGCCAGGATGCTGTTGATGTTTAATAAACTTAAGAATTTTCATGTTGCTCGTTGCTCGTTCGAATTGGATACACGTGTATTTTTAAAGTAAATTATTATATTTTCTTATTATATACTTACATTATTGGTAACAGAACCTTGTTAGGAACGCAGTGACTCTCTAGAAGTGCCTATATTGTGCCTGACAAAAGTACAAAACTGTTTCTTATGACTGAACACGATTAAGAATCTTACTGAAACAGGCCTGTTTTGGCTTATAATTTAATTAAAAACAATTAATCTTTAAGTAAACATTCCCGTGATTCTACTCTCCACTTGAGTTCTAAACTTTGTTACGGTACTATAATGTTATGTTATATACTGTGCAAAAAATTGCAACTTCTTAAGGGTTTTTAGTCATAAGCCAAATTATGTTATGGTGTTTTGTATAACAAGCAAAGAGTTTGGCTGTCTTAAAGTAAGATTTGAACTGTAAATATGGTAATTTTTCAATTCCTATTCTACTTAAGTGCACGTATTTTGGTCACCAATAATACGAAGTAACATGCTTACCAACAAATAGAAATTTTATCCTTATCGGTCCTAACATCAAACTAAGTCATACAAAATAATATTCTCAGTTTGGTGTTTTAGACATTTTAAATTACATCAAACAAGTGTAAATAAATGAATATATATTTACATACGAGTATATATAAAATTTTACAATATTATTCTAAGGTATTTAGAATAATTTGCATTGTGTGGCACGGGCGTAATATGTTCATCTCATCAAGAATATAATGGTGAATGACCACCCCTGGATGCCCTTGATTATTCAGATTTATATTTCATCGGCCGTTTTATATTGGTAGTTTTGTGTCATCTAGTATTTTGTTTTCAACTTAAGAGAACATTCTCGATGCTCCTTTTAATTTATAATTCGCATTTAAATTTAAGTCCTTAAAGTAAAGTATCAGCCTATAGGTACATGTCCCACGGCTGGGCAAAGACCTCCTCTGTACGGAGGGCATAGTCCCATCACGCGGCCCCACTGCGGATTGGCGGACTTCGCATATCTTCAAAATATTTTTTTATTATTATTTCGAAAATATGCAGATTTCCTTATGATGTTTTCTTTCACCGCTGAGTAAGAGATAATTCAGCACTTAAACTTAACAATTGCATTGGTGCTGGCACCGGGGATCGAACTCAGGTTGCTCGAGTATATTACGCTATTTCACAGAAGCCACAATGAAAAGAGCCAGAGTTTAGTTTACTCCACCAATTAATATAGTACTTAGTCATTCAATAAGTCAAATATGGTGGTCATCGTTTTATATTTCTCAAAGAATAATATTAATTCATATTTTTGCAGTAACCAACGAGGATACTTGATTTAAGCAGACGCGTATCATCGGCTCGCACTTGTCCTTAATGAATGATGACTGGCCCAACGCCTATCACTATTTATCACGTTTAGGATTTGTGATAACAGACTAAAAATTTGATAATTGCTAGTTGTGTACTTCGTCTGAGTCCTAATTTCATGCTTTTGTACAATTGCTAGTATCCATATGTATGTCGCTTAGCATTAGTCATGTACGAGTAAGTAAACTTACTCTCGTGACAGGAAATGTCTTAAAAAGTCGAACGTCAATCTGGATCTGAGATTGCTTAAGCTCCTTTAAACGTTCATAATTAAATTAAATCAGATTACATCCAGTTATTATTGCTTAATTAATGGAAAGCAAACAGCATTCGTATAAAGGATAATCGACTCTAAAACGTGGTCGCGCATAACGTAAATTGCAGTCACCACCTATATCCGTTTCGCTCAGATAAGTTTAAATTTTCTCGCTCGACAGCTAGGACGGTCGTTTAAGGTGGTCTTGTTGATAATCGGGCGATATGACATTGTGGAGTTATCTCGCGATTGTATATATGCATGAATTTGGTGAACGGGCCGCGGCAACACCTGCCCGCGGTTCCCACGGCGCTGGCGAACTGGTCAACAACTCGGATGTCAACAGAAATAACGACTGGTAGGTATCGGTTGTGTTCTTTTAAATTTTTTTTCTTTTAAAAACATCTCAACGAGTCCAAGCTGGATTCGCTCAGCGTGTTCCGCATGAACTTAATTATCGTATATGATGATTACAAATGAACAGTGTTCGTTTTTTTCCTTTTACTTTTAATGCAATGGCTTGTTTCTTGACAAATCTCACGATTTCCGGAACGGTTTAACTGCACGTTTGATGAGTGAGTTTGCGCCGGTTAAAATATGTAACATTAATGGTCTTACCACCTTAATTATTAATTTTGCAAAAAACGTTGGAAGGCGAACTTATTCCCATCAGTATATTCTATCATCCATCCAGTCAACATTTGGGTGGTCCATAGAAGTTTAAGTAATCATCGAAAAGTCAAATTAAAGAATCTAATAGAGAATACTATACTAGTAATATTAAAATATAATTATGATACTATATTGAATAAAATAAATAAATTTTAATACACAATACATACACACACATATATACGTATATAATACACAAAATGATATAGTTAACGATTCAGTGAATCAGTCGATAATTTTTTGAGCAGCTCAAAAGTTTTTTTTTGTATTTTCTTCTTTGCACTGACTTAAAAGCCAGAGTTCCTTATATCACCAGCCCCATTATCGGACATGCAGACAGACATACAACAAAGAGATTTTATAAAGGTTTTTATAAAGGTTTTTATAAAGGCTTCGTACTTTCGGAACCCTAAACCCAAGAATTAACAAAAGCCGTTAAATTGAAAACAAAAGCAGTTGTTAATTTAGTCATAAAAATATTGTAACGAACCAGTTTTATTGTCAGAATTATGGCAAATTTTAAATGAGAGAAGCAATATTTTTTATTTTTTTAGCAGAATTTTCTATAAAAATCTTATTTTAACTATATTTGTTGAGATTCTTTAAAGACGTTGTTAAATATTTGTTACCGAATTATAAAGTTGCCGAAGGAAAGTTGTCGATTCGTTACGACGCTAAAGCTTTTTTGATCTCACCTTCAATTGACATGAGTTAGAAATGCTTTGAATGGGTTTCATATTTAATAAGCTCTAAAAAGTATTCATAATTTTTGTAATTTATCAATACCAATACCACTAAACGTAGTAGTAATTAACTCAGGTAGAGTGACAAAATAAAAATACGCTCAAGTAGAAAAGCTCATATTGTACTTCTTTCTATTCATACTGTAAACATAAATGGAATCGAGATTTAGATGAAAGAAGTTCTTTAGCCTGCAAATTTTACCGCTACATACCGTGTACATATAAGTATATTTATAGGGCTATTCATGTATACAAATGATACAGGAGATTGCCTTGAATAAACGATTTTCGCAAGCAGCCTTATCTCATACAAATAAACCTACAATTATGCTAATAATGTCAATTATCCACTTTTAACTTATCATCGTCTTAAACTCGTTAATACGGGACAAAAACAAAGTGCAAGAAGTGAACCGAGACACGTCTCGTGATTATTTAGCATACCGTACGTACATAAGTGCTTGGTGTATGTTTTTTTTTTTTCTTGTCGATCCGTTAACTTAACCGTAAACGGTGACTGGTTTATCTCGTGTTCACATTTCGCTTGCAGTTCTGGGTTCGAAGCCGACGTCGGCGATTCCTTAATTTCCCCGCAATTTGTGCCGTGTGTGGTCCAAAAATGAGTTTATAAGGTATTTCGGATAACAACTAAGGTAATGACACGGTTTTATGCGAGTGAATTACGAGGTAAGGTTGTGTTTTGCGAGAGCGTTCCAACAAATTTCCGCGCAGATTCGATGTTTTGTACGCGTTCTGAATTGTTCTGGCGCGTCTCTGTATATTTTTGCAACACTGTATCAGACAAAAGGCAATATAAATTTTACGAATTTACTACAGATCATTTGTTTTAATCAGACGTTTCTATCGATAACGTAATAACCATAGATTTCAAAATAAGAAATAACAATATACCCATGCTTGATTGGCAAAGTTTCATGAAAAATACTGATTGGTTGTGTACCTTTTTAACTGTCGACTAACAGTGATAGGACGAGTTAAGCGTATAGTAATCAATTTCGGATACATTGTTTTGACAGGTTGAATTAAACTTCCCTCAAGAGAAAATGCAAGACTTTTTAGTGTTGTTACAAATGGGCTCATATAAATGAGCGAAGTCATACGTTATGGTATGTGCTTTTGCCTTTTTTTAAAAGATCGTGCACGTGTAATTCTCATGGTTGCATTCGCAAGCAGCGCAGTTATTACGCGGAGATTGATGAGCACCAGCCTTGGAACGTAACGGGCGGCCTGCTTCCTTCTTTTTCCTTTGCAAGTAATCCGCATAAAGGACCTTGAGGTCGGAGCGCGTTCGGACTTGCAAAACCGCAGTGGACGCCGCTCAGCGACATTGCCCTTTTGCCAGCTTCGGTGCAGGTGTGCGGTGACGTCACGCCCGATCTCCGATGAGAATATCCCGCGAGCCGCCCTTCTCACGCCTCCGCGGAACAACCAAACCAGTTCCAGCGCGGGTGCCGTTAAAGAAACTGGGTGCGCCGAAGCGTCGGTGTGCGAAAAAACGCCGGGACCTGGACGCCGGCTGGTTTTAGCCTATTCTTGGAGGTGTACCGCAAAAAACAAACGAAAGCGCAACCTACGGGACCCGATTGGAAACTGTGACAGGTTCAGCGATCAATGTCGGTTATGAGCAGACAAGTGTAGTATGATGGCGTTCGAGATGTAATAAGTTCGAATTAATAATGTATAATATCACATTATGTTATCTGTTACACTTAAAATTACTCTTATTTAATAATTTCTTGTATTTACGCGATTACACATTACTAAATGAAACTATGTTTACGGATTTATCGCGTTTATTTTTTTTACGAACGCGATAATTCCGAGAACATAGTTTCATTACTCTTATTTTTATAACATTTGACGATTCGATTGGCGTAGTGGATTGTGAACTCTTGCGCTATAGGGAGTGGGTTCGATCCCTATTACTGGAAAATATTGTGTGATGAACGTAATATTTTTCTAGTGACTTGGTGTTTTTAAATCTATAATAGGTATTCAATACAACTTACCGTTTTAATTTGTTATTTTTATACTGTTTTATAATGTTTGACTGCACTGTTAACATGTAACGATAGTTTTATGTCTTATAAATAAATAAATGAAAATAGCGATCTTCTCTTTTAAGCCTTCAAAATTAATTTCATATCACTGTTAATTACAGTTTGACCCCAATATAAATATGCCAGATTTTGCTGATAAATTTTTTATTTAATTTAAGAAGCAAATCGTAACATGCGGTAGTAAATGGCTAGACAAATATTACATTACATTCATTACATACAATACAGAGAGACTTCTTTGTATTATTAATGTTAATTAATTTAATGCTCATTTTTTACTCTTCCGTAATCCTCAGTTAATGTTTGTAGCAGCAATAACTGAGTAACCTTAAAGTACCTAAAAGTCAGTACTCTTTTCATCATACTAACCCATGGAAACGTGAACGGATAGCGAAACACAATGGACACAAACAATCGCGCTCCCACTCCCAAATCCTTAATGAATCAAAGCCGTCCAGCGTTTAATTTGTACAAATTACCATAAAATCGGCCCCACGACCGCGTCGATTGTCCGTACGGGGTGTTTTTGGGGCGAGTGCGTCCGCTCGGAAGTGGCGGTGGGCCGTGAAATGTATTCCGATTTCGGCGTCGCGTGTGATAATCGAGGCTGAGGTGCGCACGCGGATATAACTGTCGCAACACCCACGTAGAATAGTTGATTTAAATGTCATTAACGGACGCGCTCAGAGATGACGCTCTAATTGACTTTAAATGCGTTTGCTATTCTAAAAGTAAGACTTACAGACTGTACTTTGAAGCAAACGAATGGCCTAACAAGCGCTTCAAGCAACGGCGAAAATTACAGATTTTTTTTGATTTGCATAAGAAGATATATTTAGAATAACAATAATAATGATACTTTCTATAAATTTTTAGTTTTTTATAATGCTAATCTCTGCACTTAAGATTGAACATTAAAACATGTAGAAAAAGTACGAAAAGATTGTCGCCGCTGTGGGAATAGAACCCACGTCTTCGGCATTCTTTTAGTTCACCTCAGATTACATGACGTGTTGATAAAATGTAATAATTGAAATAGTATTATTCAGATATTTATGTGGACTAGTAGTGAGTGCATTCCTTCTCTATCTAAACTATAAGTGTAGGAAATTTCATACTCCTCCGTCCGCGCAATTTTCGTAAACGGGGTTACAAAGTTTTTGCTTCGCGTATTTTAACAATCAATAAGTAAGTGTATCTTCTATATTGAATGCAGATATATGAATTTGAATTGGTTAAGCTTAAGTATTCATTGTATAATAAATGCGTCAATTATTAATATTATGTGCATTAATTGTATTAGTTCACAGACCGATCATTGACACTATCGAAGATTTACTGCCACTGGTGAAGAATATTTTTCCATCGGCTATTTGTTATCCTATCAAATCTTGATGTCGTCAATCCTCTTTAGGTGTTATTCAGCGACATCCAACCATTGAAGTTTTCAGAAGCGTGAGTATTAAAATAAGCCCTTTATTTCTTTGACTAACCTGGCCAGCAAATTAATTACAAAATAAATAAATTACCAATTTGTCGCCGATCCGACCTAAGCAGAGTTTTATTCTAACACCAAACATATTTAATGTGTTGACATACATGCTCCAGTTAGTGAATACAAAAAACAACTTCGATGTAGGCATTTAAATGAAGCATATCACGATGCTCGGTATTTACGAAGACCTTACAGACATAATGCCAATTAAGCTTTTAATTTAATGACACCGTTTAACTAACGAACAAGAAATATTCAGCGACATTTAAATGTCTGGTCTTGTTTATTTAACATTATACGAAGCCCAATGTCAGGTGAGTTCGCAGTGACTGTGTGCATACAGAAAATTCATACAAATAATATTGTGGGAGTAAATATGAAAAAATCTTTGATGATGTGCGCTTTTATTTCATGGTCGTGTTTTACCATCAATTTTCACGTGGAATTTTATTCAAATAATAAAATTCCACGGAGACAAACCGTAGAATAGAAATTGATTACTGGTTGTTTAAAGACACATGGTTCTTTTTAGATAGTTAACGTCCCATTCGCTGGAAATATGAGAGATCGAAACCACGGACGACAGCCAGTATTTCCAGGTTTCCTAGTTCTCGCATGTCCAATAAGACCGTGGGAAGTTTTATGCAATGTTGGCGCTATCGAATGTCCGCAACTGACGCCGTAGAAAGATCACCCTCTGACCCTGAAATACAACTGCGCTAATTAGAGGTCAGAATAAACTAAACAGGGCTTAATTACTTGCAAGTAAGCCATCAAAAAACCATCATCTTGCACAGTTATTCCGCAGCCCTTTGAGTAATACGTAATAGCTTTCCAGAGTGCAAACTAAATAACAAATGCCTTTCAAAACGAACAGAAAACTATAGAATTGGGTAACACACGAGAAATGAATTAGGAAACTTCGTAAATCTGATTGTGGCAACGATTTGACAGTTAAAATACACTTTAATCGAATCAGACGATAGAAATTTAAGTAAAGATGTAATCATTCGACTATGTATGTATGTTAATATTCATTAAAATACTTAATAATTTACTATTCATAGTAAATAGTGAAAGAGAAACTTTTTTATACCAATACCTTCTTTGTAGAAATATTTAATTTAAAATAATAACAAATAAAATTGATTTCATGAAAAAAGAAAGGTTCTTGATGTTACTTATTTTTAATTTAATTTTAGTTTTCAGGAAAGCTGTACAACAGTGAACTTGACGGGCTGTTATAATGATGTTGGTAAAAATCTTTTTATTTACAATTAACTAGATTATTGAAATAACACGTTGGAAATGCGCAATTTGAATTTATACAAACACCCAAAATCTGTATATTAAGACAAATTTACGAATACGTATCAGCAATTTAGTCAAGCCTTTAAAAATGATAATTATAAAGAACAAAAATTAGAATCAAATTCAAAATTAAAAAAAAAAAATACAGAACTAGAATTTTAATCACAATTTATTCATTATTACCAATAGGTCCAACATAATACATATGTTTCACACTACACGACTTGACGCCAATATTTATTGCCACGAGATGTGATTAAGTTATTACTATGAGTCACATATAAACGTGAATCACAAAGAATTAAACGCTCGGCTAGAATGACCACATTTGCCTTGTTTGCTCTATGATAATAACCGCATAGTTTATAGGTATTGTTTTGACTCGGTTTTGATGTTAATTCCCGACTTGAGTTTTTTTAGTCATCGTTCGTACGGGAAAGTTCAGTAAAATGCGTAAAATTGCACATTTCTGTTACTCAATAAGGAGTTGTTTTCGCTTAAATCGATGTAATTGCTAGAAGCTTTCAAATTGTGTATTTACAGGTCGATATCTATTCGATGTACATATTATACCTGTTTTTAGAGGTCACTATCGCATCGCAATTGGGATTTTGCAAGACCATCAATTTAAGGCGGTGCTAAAGTTAATTTCCTAACTTACGGCTTAAATACGATGAATATAATATCAGCTCGATGTCCAGCGTTCGACAACAGCGCGATTTTCAAGGCAATTCCTGCCTCGCACAACCACTCTTTGGAACCAGCTGCCGCCGGTGGTTTTTCCGAACCGTAACTACCTGGGAACCTTCAAGAAGAGAGCATACTTTCCTAAAAGGAAAGAGTATGCTCTCTTCTTGAAGGCAACGCATTTGTAAGCCCACTACACTTACCACTGATGAGACTCCTCCAAGTTTGCCGCTTTTTTGCCATAAAAAAAAATAATAGTGAACTTTGTTATTTTTTTAAAATATATTATTAAAAATGTTTTCGCCTTACCGTGCTCGTAAGTGAAAAATTATCTCAGATCGTATTGATATTGCATGTGGATGACATGGTAATCGCTTACCATCAAGTAGATCATTTTTGGTTGTTTGCCAACTTATATTTTATTTAAATTTAAAGTTTATTAATCAACAAAATATTTACAGTGTCAAATGTAACTAAATTGCATGTTATCTAATAAAACTAGTCCACGTGGGCATGGTGCCAAGAACACTAGCTGCATTACCTCCCTGAATAGTTTAATGCTTAACCTTAGAGCAAGAAGAAAACAAATCCATTTTTACCAGCCATGCTAATAAGTAAATAATCAACAGGAAAATAGATAGGATCCAATAAAAAAATAGACCCAAGGACCTAAGGTTTTAACTTAACTAATATAAAACTCACAAGAATTATCTACTCAATTATCTAATCAATTAACAGCATATGCTGTTAAAATAACATACCGACTGTACAAAGGGAGTCTGTCTTTCAAAAAAGACGGTTATAAATTAGAGATATTTACTTATGCATCTCGTCTGTTAATGGAGGCAACCTGGCCTTTTAAAGGCTGGCAAGCCCTGCTCTTTAGATGGGTGGTGGTTACCAACATCTGGCTAACCTGCTCGTTCTCAATCTCATTACAAACAACTTTCACTTACATTATTTCTGGCTAAGGATGGTTTGTAGGTGTTATTGTTCAGCGACATAACAGAAGAGTAAGCTGACCCTGGGCCGAGCTAACTGGGATGTGCAGTCACGCGACGTGCCGCGCTTTGATGCATGCGAGATGATCGCGGCCGCCATCGGATACGGCGTCAGCAGGTAATCGAACCCGGGCCTATGCCCGTCGCGCCGCTGGCCGCGCTCCGCTGAGCAGACGGAAGGCCGGACGATGGTGCCGACTTGCATTACGCCTCGAACGCATGTGATGGCCATACTTCCTCGGTTATATCTTGAGACGGGTAAAAATATTTTTTTTGCATCCGAACAGATATTAAACAATTTGACACACTTGACAAAAAGTGGTTTCATTAAATATCTCTGTTTGCTTAATTATTTTTGAACGGCGACAGTTAATTTTAAATCATTATTGATTTATCAAAACATTGCTTATGTGGAGCGTCTGAGTGATGATGTTAACACATTTAGTTTTACATTTAATACTTTTTTATGCGAAAAGTTGCCAAACGAGCAGACGGGTCACCTGATGTTAAGTGAATACCGCCTCCCATGGACATCTACTACACCCGAGGGTTACGGATGCGTTGACGACCTTTTGAAAATTGGACTCTGGCTACCTCACTCACCAGACGAAAAGCGAAAGTATTTATCATACTTCCACTTTACGCTGGTCTTCTGTGAGGTTGTGGTACTTACCCGGACGGGCCTACCCATTCGTACAACAGCCGAGGCTGCTGCGTTGCCCTACCACCGTAAAAAATGGCGCCAAAAATATATGGCGTTTATTGGCCGAAATAGTAAAACTGGCCGTACTGGATCAACGCGTACATTTATAAAATAAAGCGTCGTGATCCCGACGCCAGGCTTTTATAATCTCTCTTCGAAAGACAGCCCAGTAGCGAAATGAGGCGCGGTCAAAGTCAACTCGAATTAATAGCGAGCCGGAGCCGGCTATCGAAGTGGTCCTTCGAGCCTGATATACCGGTACAGCGTGCAACTGGAGCGCACGATGCTTTATGGGTGGAAGATAAGCGTGGGACAGCGCGTTATGTGGGCATTGTTAGGTGAAATACATTCACCTAGAGCGCTTTCGGGCCTACGCACTCCTGAATCAGGTAAAATTTATGCGATATGCTCTAATTATTTACACTTTTAAAAGAACTTACTAACACGAACAGACAACAACTATCAAAGTTCACAAATCGCGCAATTTAATATTGAATTGAGCTTAACTTAACTACTTTAAAATACTGGTAAACGAATTCGCATAGATGAGCCTTGATAGCTTAGTGACGGGCGGTCGCTTTTAATTCAATATACTCGAGCTACCTAAGATCAAATCATAATACCAATGAAATTTTTCGTTGCAATGTTAAGTACCTACTGATTTTTTCCGATACTCCTCTTCGTTATTCTTATATATATATATATATATATATATATACGTACTATGATTTTTTCGAACACCTTAATTAATCATTATCAAAATCGAAAAAAAAAACCTTAATTATACACCTTATACTCTGTCCGTTGGTGAATACTGCACTAAAACAGTTCAGTAGTTTTAGTATTTAATAGTCACTATTACAACTAGCGGTGGTAGGGCCACGCAACATTCTTCGCTGTTGCACGAATGGGCAAGTACGTCTAGGTAAGTAACGGCACCTCTCAGAAGTCCGGCGTTATTTGGAAGTGTTATAATTGTGTGTTTCGTCTGGTGAGTGAGGAAGTCGGGGCCCACTTTGCAACACCCGTAGGTCTGCAACTGCAACCCTACGAGTGTTGCAAATGTCAATGGGCGGCGGTTATCACATCATGTGCACCGCCAGCTCCTTAGCCACCTTCTCGCATAAAAATATAAATAGATAAATACTAAAACAACTGAACTGTTTGTACTAAATGTAGTAGTTCAAAAAAACAGACACAGAGAAGGACTTAGTTTTCTAATAAGTAGTGATTGCTTACAAAGAATATATGAGTAAATGTAATGTGAAAATTTAAATATGCCCTAGCTATGGTAATGTAGAAAATATATTAGAGAATGTGTATGCAATTCATTTGTTAACTTGGTCACCATTTACATTTCACACCACACTTAATGGACATTTAGTTAATACAAACCTGCCTACAGTCAACGAACAAAACGCAACTAATTACTTCCTCATTAACTGAAGTCTATTCTTCCTGTAATTCTACAATGAAAACTATAATTGGTGATAACATAATTGTTTTACTGATTAAACTGTTTAACGTGGCCGTTTGTTTCAAAATGTGTTAAATAATAAATATAACAGAGTTAACGTTGAAAGAAACACCAACAACGTATACATACAAACTTAGCACATTTGGGAGCGAAAAAAAGCTAGTTAGCTTATCCTAGCTATTTTATTAGTTAAGATAAGCTAGCTAGGGTTAACCCTAAGCACCCCTAAAATAATCAATTTAGAAATTTTATGTTAATTGAATATTTATCGGAAGCGCATTTGTGATTATTGCAATCTGTTACAAAACTGCACAAAACATAAACATGAAAAATGCCAGCCTGTCGACGCTAAGGGATACATTTTGATACATTACTTAAAATGTGACGGACTTAAATGATTCTGGTTACTGATATTCGACGATCCGATTAGCACAGTGGATAGTAAACCTGACACTAGCGCCATGCGGCGTGGGTTCGAACCCTCGGGGGCACTCGAAAAATACTTTGTAGTGAACATAGTGTTCTAGCGAGTGTTTATTTATCTATAATATATGCAAAAGTTTATTATTAACATGGTTAAGATTCAAAATCTCTATCTCGAATTGAGTCGACTAATTAGGCGAAAAACCAGTAGTATGAAGTTTGGAACCCTACTGGTATCATCATAATTAGAAAAGATGACCATTTGAATAAATTTTGAAATGGGGTGTGGGCATATACGCCGTAAATGTTCAATTTCGAATTACCTACGATTATTGACATTGTAGTCGAAAACTAGTATGCTACCGTACAGTCAAACAAAATATCTAAGCTTTACCGACACGTAATTGACATTCACACGTCGAAACTTGGTGTATCGACAATATCTCTCAGTGACACAACAGTCTAATAAATCCTTGAGATTTATGTCGCCAGGCTCATTCGAAACGTTAACCAACAAATTGGGCCCCAGCTATGGTAATGGAGCCTTTAACGAGTTTATGGTGCATGATATCTTATAACGTATCTATTCTAGAAATTATTTATTGCCATGAAAATGTATGATTCATCGTATTATTAATTTATTTAGTCACTTCGATAAAGCTTCAGATTGCAGACATCTCGAATCAACTGCTATAAATTTGTCAAGTTTTGGGTAAACGATAATAGAATACTAATTTATTACTAATTCCAATGCATATAATTTACCTAGAATGTTTTTTTCAAAAATAATTTGAAAGTTTCAAATAAGACAGAAAGTTATTGTAACCTGAAAATCGGAATCACCACTTGCTGTTTAATTTAATATTTGAATATTAATAATTTTTAATGATTATGTGGTGATGGTTAAGTAATGATATTATGACTTAATTAAAACTTATTATATTAATAATTTGTGTTAATTTGGTCTTAAAACAAAACTTTTATAACCTTGTGGAGGAAACAAACAGCAATTATGTTTAAAATAGTTGTAACTTTACTTTTAAACTGCCTATTTTAAAAGTCGAAATGTCAGGTTTCTCATTGCGAAAAAAAAGGAAAACATTCTGGCCGGCATGTATTTTATGCAAATACGATTGGTTTGTGGAACACGGTGTGGTGAGAAAACAAGGTGAATTAAAATAAAAAAATAAAACGGGTACAGTTACTCTTATGCGGGCGGCGCGTGACGTCTCGTACCGTACCAATTAAGGCCAGTCGTGCGGCTCTAAAATAAATTTAAAAAAGCAACAAGAACATTACCGGTGCGTTACAGTAAATTATTGGTTTGCGGTACCGATTGCCGGGGGCGGTACGCGGGCGCCGGACACCATAACTGGTGCCTATAATGACCGCCATTTCGTACCAGATCAGTCAACATCTGAACGCCGAGTGATGATGAGAGATGGAATGCGCTATGGTAATAATTAATCCAAAATTCGTTCAGGACAGGCACCAGAATCTAGTAGTACTAACATGAAGATTTCAGGACTGTTTTCTATTTATAGTGGTATTCCGTACCCAAGATGAATTTTAAAATGTGAGTTTCTCCACAATCTATCTATTAAATTCAAAATTGCTTCTTCTGGCTACGTTTACGCAGGCTTGAATTAAACAAGCCTTTAGAGAAAAAAAGGTGTCTGTTTTATTAAAATAATTCACAGTAATTTATCATTTTGAGCCGGATCATTTCGGACACATTTTTACACAACGTTCACTAGTCCCAAACTAAGCAACGCTTGTACTATGGGTACCAGAAAACTGATAAACATTCTTTTCTTTTGTAAATAAATACATATTATACATATAAAAACACCCAGAGACTGAAAAAACATGATGTTCCTCACACAATATCTTTCCAGTAGTGGGGATCGAATCCACACCCTCTGGCGCAGGATGCAGGGTCACTACTCCCCACGCCAGTCGCAGTTGCGTCCAGTGAATAAAGTAACACGGAGACGCAACCTCCAAAACGGTGGCAACACTCAAACAACATCTTTGGCGTTTTCTGTGTTCAAGAGCGGTGGTTTTTAATTTCCATCAGATAAACCGTTTGCCCGTTTAAATCTGTTTAAAGCTATTATTGAAGAAAATATTCCTCAGCGCATGTCTATTGGTCGTAGGGCCATAAGCAGCTTCTGCTGTTTCCCGTCAGGTTGATTCGGCGAAGTACCACGGTTTCGCAGAACATGTCGTGAAGTGGAAGTATTGCATTTTTGCGTTTCGTTTGGTGAGTGAGGTAATCCGGGCACACTTTTCTTCTGGTTGACAAAACTATCCGGGCCTACCTAATAAATACCTCTAGGATGAATCGCTGTGAATCTCGGTCAATTATTATAATTTAAAGTTAAATATCGTTGTATGTGCGATCCTCACCATCGATATACGTGGTATGCATGGTGGATCACCTTAATACAGACCTTGCCTTGATGAGCAATAATTGGCATTAGAGACACTAGTACCTCTAATATTCTGATGTAATTAGTCATTGTGGAGTGTATTATATATATTTATATATTAGGTCCTTACACATCCCTGTTCTTTTATTATTCGAGAAGTTGCCGAGCGAGCTGGCAGTTCACCTGATGTTAAACCGATGCTAACCGTCGCTCATGGAAATTTGCCACACCCGTAGGATTGCAGATGCGTTGCCACCTTTTAATAAAGTAGGCCCCCGCTTATACCTCACTCACCAGACGAAACGCAGAAGTGTAACACGTCAACTTCACGCCCTGACCCTGTGAGGTCTGGCACTTCCCCTTACGGACCTGTCCATTCGTTCAACAGTGAAGCTGGCGCGTGACCCTACCACAGTGTGTATTTGACTCACGCTTGGTTAACAAAATATACAATCACTAATAATGAAATATACAAAAAATAGTATAAGATTATATTGTAATAAATTTGAAACAACTTACTGCTTAATTGCGCAGGGAGCGAAAGAAATCGTAAAGTATCAAAGCCGTCTAACGGAATACTTTCAAATGAGCGATAACAAAATTGTAAAGTAGACTTCTGTTGGCAACGGTAGTGGGCTGATGCAATTATCGTTAATAGATTTTAATTCGTCATATTTCCATTTTATATACGATTTACGATAATGTTCTTGATTCCACCGCTTGACTTCGAGCTTTAAAATATAATGAGGTCATTCAAAGGCCGCCATGACACTGAATGGATGGAGAATGACCGCTTCTTAGAAATTAAATTTATTAACATTTCGTCCCACGTGTAATTTAATGGGTGGCTAATGAATTATGAGATATAAGAATGACTAAGCGCATGCACGTGACGGTACCTTTGTGCTTCTACCGATTTTTAGGCAGTTTAAGTTATTTCAGCGATGACAGACTGGTGAAAAGACATGGAAGAGCATGAGAAAACGTATAGCCTACGTCTAGAGACGAAATGTGTTAGCTGCAATTTTACCAATATTATGTACGTGGTGTCAGTGAACTGAAATTAATAATTAAGTAAGTGATAGGGGAAAAGTTGTATCAATCATCTTTCTGCGGTATTGGCTCTGCTTTTGTGTTTTTAAATTGATCAGTATTTTCTTTATTACGGAATAGCTCTGCATGATTGGAGGTAAAGTCACAATCTGCTTTAGTTATACAACGATGAAAAGAAGCGCGGACTTCTATTCTCGTGGATTATAAAAGTGATGCACTCTTGGCTTGAGGACTTTGTGATGATTTGGATTTGACCCCGGTCCATTGCACAAGTGAACATGGTCATGAGAATGTTTCTTCAACTTTGATTGTTTGTTCCCTTACTGACAAAACACATACGACTCTGTGCTCAAAAACGACTTTGCTTATAAATTTAATTTAAAGGAAACAATAAATAATAGTGTCATAAAATTAGTTAAATATAAAAATGTCTGGTATAATATTTTAATGTATATTAAAAATAAAGTATATTTGCCCCCAGAGAGATTTGAACTCTCGACCCCTGGTTTACAAGACCAGTGCTCTAACCCCTGAGCTATGGAGGCTACACAACCTTCAGCTGTAAATAACCATATCTACTTTTAAATATAATAATGAAAACCAACGATAACAGAAATGCAAAAGAATTTTATTAATACACAGTGAAATAATAAAAAAAAAAAACAATACATAGGTAACGTTTGATAATTATTCCATGAACATACAGAGGTGTCGTTGACGCATAAATTAAAATAAATAAACAGACTTCGTGTGTTTTGTCTCAACTTTGTCCTTGCATTTACTCGGATAAACTGTTTAATTAATATCAAATAAGTACTATATTTTTTCTCGCTGAACTATACAAAATGATAAAAATGAACTTATGTATATTTCAAAATCTTATTTAACACTAGCGTTGTCCGCGAATTCGTCGCGTGGAATTTAAAATAAAAAAAAATCTAAAATAAAAGTAGCCTAAGTTACTCCTTATTACATCAGCTATCTGCCTGTGAAAGTCCTGTCCAAATCGGTCCAGCCGTTTCAGAGATTAGTCGGAACAAACAGACAGACAGACAAAAATTGTAAAAAATGTTATTTTGGTATATCTACATTGTATACATCCATATGCATTTAGAAAAAAAAGCGGTTATTTTAATATTCAATAAACAGACACTCCAATTTTATTTATCTGTATAGACTAGTTTAACACTAGCGATATACCAATGGAAAAAAAAATTGTTTTACGCTGTTAGAAAATTTCGTAACGTTAGTAACCGGCTATCATTGTTTCTTAGATGAAATCAAAAGTGTTGACAGGCATCTTGTAGTATGCGGCCCTGATAGAAATGTATTTATTGTTAAATTATTTCTAAAAGACCAAACTGTTTACGGCTGATATAAAAAAAAAACTTAAAACGTACTTAAAATAAAAGCCTGAAATGAAAATACGTTCTACTGCTGAGCAAAGTCCTCCGCTGTACAGAGCGTATTAAGGCATAGACCCACGCGGTCCCACTGTGGATTTGCAGACTTCACATGTAATCGATTGCTGATCCCAAGGTGTGATGACGTCAGGCCGGTCGTAAAAGATGTAGCCAAAATCAATGACAACATTATTCACATGTTGTATAGAACCCAACTCGGAGGGTTATGGGCAGGAGGATGATAATGATGATGTAGTTGAAATAGTAACTTAATAATTTGCGACGACACGTCTTCGAACTTCTTCCATGTGTCTTTTAGCACTTTCGTAGATTTATGTAAGCAAGGTAATGAAGCAATGTTGAAGTACTCGGGCTTCAACTTTTTTCGGACTGAAGCTTTACATACCTCATAATACGTTGGCATTGACAACCTTGCTGTTGGGCTTAGCATCGAAAGCGTTTTCATAACTTCAAGAAGGTAAAGCCGAACAGCAGGAGCATAGTTTTACTACGCATTTAAAAGCGGAAAATGAATTAGTACAATTCATAGAAACGCTGCAAAACTTTTAACGATCTTTCAATCTCTATGTATTCTGTACGTATGAAACAGTCGACGAGACCGTTTTAGTGGTCATCATTCGTCTGTCTTTGTTGGATTATGCATTTTGGCAACGGTCTTTGTCGACCCGTAGACTTCAGGTGGGAGAGGTGAGCGCGTAATGGCAATTTCTCGCATCTATTAGCACGTGCACAGCGGTGAAGGAAAGCATCATGAAACCTGCGTATTTTCGAAATAATAACAAAAAAAATACTTCGAATGTATGTGAAGTCCGCCAATCCGCAGTGGGGCCGCGTGGTGGACTATGCCCTGATAGTCTTTGTACAGAGGACGCCTCTGCCCAGCAGTGGGACATATATAGGCTGTTACTTTACTTTTTTTACTGAGCCGGCACCTTACGTACCTTACGTAGCTGACGGGACGCGTCCCTTTTTGGACGCAGGCATGCAAATGGCGGACGTCGCCACCGCATTTGGCTCGTGTCCGGTGGCCGACATCTGTTCCCGTTGATTCGTGCGCCACGCTTCGCAACCGGCGGTCTCCGTAACTCGATCGGGCAGCGCTCTCGAAATTGTTTTCGATGAATTAGCCAGTATTGAGCATGCCCGGTAGGTGCAAAATTGTCTCAGCTGACTTGTAGCAGACTGATTGTTTTACATGCAGCCGTGATTAAAATGCACAGCTCAGAGAGATAGCTATCGCCTAATCGCCTCGAACATGAAATCACAATTACAAATTTCATCCAGGCTCAGAACAACTGTATGCAATCGTAGTTTGCGACCTCTGATGCTTTGGTTCATGCTATGGTGGAAAGTGAGGGCGTGCGGTGATATCAACAGAGAAAAATGTTTATTTTATGTGTACGGCTATTGAGGGATACTATAATACGCCGACACAGTAGGTACCTAGGGAGAGAGGAACTGAAGTACATAACAGCAACGGGTTATGCAGAAGATCTTCTTGTTCCCATATCCATGACCATGGCAAGTACAATAACTTTCTAAGCGGGCGTTCTACCCGGAACTCTTACCTTCACACGTCGCTCCCCCATTCCGGCGACGAAGAATCCCTTGTGAGGATCGAACCCGTAACACTTAACGACATCTGACGTAGTGACCACTTAAACCGCGTAATTTCAAATGAAGAGCGCTCATTCATAAACGCTTGCCCCTTCGAGCGACATCGTCGTGCGTAATAATACAGCCCAGATATATTGTCACAGGCAACCTACATTTTGCATTTGGCCTACGCATCTCGTTTGTCAACATTACGTGACCGTTTTGTGTGACAAACACTGCACATCTGCGCTGGACCGGGTTACGTAACTGCATAATTTCCACCAGGATTACCGCGACTCGTCGCGTAAATAACCGATCGCGTGAATCGCATAATAATACCGTTAAATATTCTTGTGTCTATTTTTGAAATGACAATTTATAACTTGAGCGTAACATAAGGTCCTTTAACAGGTTTACAAAAGAGTGGACTAATTGTTTATACAATCTTAACTAGGAACTAGTCATAGAATTGATGTGTACAAAACAAGTTTCGAATAATTATTTGTGCATATAAGAATTTGGATGCGAACTCGCTATACATATTAGTTTATATAATGTAATAGAACCAATAATTAGCTTAAATTATATTGGTGCTCACGATAGGGGGCAAATCGGGGGTTACCTTGTCAACCGTTGGTATGAATTTGTAATCTCTCTGAGAGCACACACGTCAACTACAAAACGTTAACCTTGTATATTGACAATAATGTTGAAAAATGTTTGTTTGATTTGAATTGAAACTTTAAACAGTATTTAATAAAGGTATTAATCGATTTAACATTGTATTACAACGATAGATACTGAAACTTTGCCTCCAGGGAAAATAAGAGAAACAATTATTTTAAATTAACATAGTATTAAAAAATGTCTACTACATTATATTATATTTAATCATATTCAATATAATTTTGAATGGATAATTCATTTTAATGATTAGCATTTATATTGCTTAAAAAATGATATGAATTACTATGTAAAATTCAATCTATAATTAGGATAATAGGAAGGACTTCGAAAAATTTATAATAAGAACAATAGAATTATTGTCCATGTTCGAAAAAAAATAGTTAAGTAAATATAAATCTATAATTTAACGTTCAAACGTTAAATCCATTAACAATAATATCCTCTTTTTTGAAATCGGTTAACAAAAAGTAATGTGCGAAGTTCTTTCATTGATTGTAAAAAATTGTGGCTTGATTGATGAAAGTTTCAAAGACATTTTTCACCATTACAACGCGTAGCCTCCATAGCTCAGGGGTTAGAGCACTGGTCTTGTAAACCAGGGGTCGAGAGTTCAAATCTCTCTGGGGGCAATATTGTAACGACTGCGTCATGTTGAATGCTATGTTACTTTTTTTAATTTTCTATGATAAACTATGTCAGACCGATCTTTTTTAATAAATTTTTAAAGTTTAGAAGGTACAATTCAAACAAAATTTCATCTAAAAGATTTTTAGGTTAATTTAAATTTTTCTTTACAATTATATGAATTTAGAACATTATTTTCACTGAAAAAAAAAATTGTATATGTACAATACTGTAACAAATATAATTGTTATTTAATTACAATACAATGCAATACGGAGCTTGGTTTCATGGCGCCACTGTGTTAGATTAGTGAATTTATATTAATAGGAAAATAATTCACAATATATAAATAATTACCTATATTAATAGTTCACATTAATTCCAAAAAAGAACATTTTTAAATACCTTCATACATCATTTTCTATTCCAATACAAGTTTTTTCGACGTTATTAAAAAAAAAATTTAATATCAATAAATATCTGTATTTCTCGGCATTTTACGAGCATATATCCAAATAGTAAGTAAAATAAAAGTAAAAAAGGAAGAGAGTTCCAAACCGAGTAAGCCCCATTTTGTAAGATATGGAAATATCTTTCAACATCGCCTTTGCTCTGAGCAACACTTCCATTTGACACCACACAGGTCAAAAGCCTTCCCTATGGCACCAAATCAGTCATGTATCATCACAACACGGCGCTTTCCGCCCTATCTCCGGGGACTTTTCACAGGGTAAAGGAACCATTGGAGGCTCTGAATGTAACCCCGAAAATTGAACTGATTGGAACCCTCACCATTGTACAAATTTACAAGTATATATCCTACGACTTGCAAAAACTTCGATAGCGTGATTCAGAATTTTGTTCGTTTTAATTTATATATACATATTAATTTACTTTCCAAGTAATAAGAATTTTTTTTTATTTAAATAAGAATATTTTTGATTTCAAAAATAATTTTGAAACTGCTCATTTTATTGTAAAATTTGATATTTAATCATAAACAATTGAAAGACATCTTTCGTAACGCCATCTATTGAAACAAAACTGCACCACTCTTAAAGAGATGATGACTATGATTAATATGAGTTTAATTATTAATAATTCATTATTTAACTTATAATAAATTTTAAAAGATAAATTCAGATTTATAATCAAGTCCCAAAATTACCATTCTTTATTGTCGTATAAGAAAAAAATACTAACAATAAATAATCCTGCGCTATTTTGTTCATTCAGTAATATCCACATATTTTTAAAAATCAGAATATAGTCTTATTTCACTAATAATGTAACTAAGATTAAAACAAAGCAAGAATCATAACATAGATTTAAGCCGTTTTCTTATAATGTTACAGCGCCATCTTTAAACGTCAATTTTAAACTTTTATTACGTTGGAAAGAACGGTACGGCAACTCTACTTCTACCGATCTTCGGGTATTTATAAAGTCATTAGGCAAAGATAATGACTATGTTTAATTACAACATTAGCAATTATTTTGTACAGTTACACTTAACATATACTTCTTAATTTCATTTTTGATTAGAATAAGAATAATTTAATTTTTTTACTATTTATTGAATTTTTCTTGTACAATATCAAACCCAAATATGACTTTTATGAACATTAGGTATTTATTTTGATAAATAATTATTTTCTCTAGATTGTCCCAAATGTTTTACAGGTTGTCTTAGATTAATAGTCCAGAAAGTTAAATATCGCCTCTGCTGTATTCTTCGTAAGACCAATGTCACAACAAACAAAAAAAACACAAGCCCTCTTCTGTTTATTTTATACAATTTCTTGTTTGCTTTTACCTGACGAATAAGAAAACATAAAAAGTAACAATAAAGCCCATAACTCTCCGTCTAAGGAATCTCAGTGGCCCTGACGGGCGTAAAACCCAACTTTGCTGTTCAAGGTACAGAGTTTTGAATAGTTTGCTTGCCACATCCGTGATTCGTAATGAGAATGTTAATGCTGAGCAGGCGAATATATGCTCTAGCTGCACGCAATAGAACATTGTTTTGCTTGTAGAGGCTAAGATGCGCAGACGCAGGTGTTCAGCCGCCTGATCGTCGCCGTGGCTCTACTCGGATACGGTATTCATTTATTAATTTGCTTGCGCTGACCAACAGGGCAATACATAAAGCGATGCCACCGATATCAGTGCAAATCTTTCGCGCCATTTTAAACGGTGAAAGGCGAATGAGACACCTCGCTCGTTATAACTTATCGGAACAAATTTATTTGGTAGAGCTCACTGCTTAATTTCTCGATTAAGTGAAAGGATTTTTCCCACTCTTTTATACATAATCGTTTCAGATTGTATTATTTATACTATTGTCTGGGATCATAAGGTTACTTCAGAGCGTATTATTACTTTAAAAGTAGAAGAAATTATAGCATATGACAGAAAAGTAGTAATTGACTGTGCAAATAAAAATTTAAAGTCAGTAAGACTGTAGACATAAATTATAGTAGAGCAGTAAGAGACCTGTTAAAGGGAATGGATATTCTTTCATGGTACATATAAAAACACTATCATTAGTCACGTGAAAAATTGATTTAATCACTAAATGAGGAGCTCATCTGTGACCATGAATCAATATTCATGGTCACAGATGAGCCCCTCATACTTTACAACTAAAGTATACCGAAACGTTTAAAATTTAAATTAAGTTTAATCGAAATTTAAATTGTGTTTAATTTCTTACTTCAATGTTCGCGTATTAACAAGAAAACATTTAATATTTGATCATGATGTACATTCTTATATTTATAAAAACAATTTAACCGACAAAATAAGTTTACCTCAAAAGACACTAATAGGCGCTTCCATTTGATAACGGCCCAGTGAACTGACATAAGTGCATTTATAATCTTTGGTTACAAATATTGCTATTTATTCGCTTAAGGCGTTGATATAACAACTTTCTCGGGGTACGATGATTAGGGAATTTGGCTGCGACAATTACGCCCGGTTCCTGAAAGACTGATCATCGTAGAAGTCAACTAATCAGCTTCTGATCATTCTAATCAATTCAGAGAGTTTGGCCATCCTATTGGCAACTCAAATGACATTTGACTGCTGATTAGTTAACTTCTACGATGATCATCTTTTAGAAACTGTATCCATCTTCATCATATTATTCATTACATATTTTAAAACAAAACTCTATATATATATATATATGTATATATATAATATAAAAATCAAATTACAAATGAATGTAAAAGGAAGTACAATATGCGGTCTTATCGCTCAGAAGGTGATTTCTTCCAGACAACCGACAGACAGACAATATTATATGTACGTTTAACCAAATTTGTAAATATAAAAATAATCAAAGCTTAATCACAGAATATTATTCAATATTGTCTATGCTTTGATTTTGCAATTCGAAATCAAATAAAATGTGAAAAGGGAATACCCCTGTCCGATCACAGCAGGCATTCGTAAATATCCGCCTCATATCTTTAATGTCATTTGTTAAACAAATATTTGAGATCGGTCTTATGGAATTTAAACAAGGCACTCATTCAGAAACCAATTAACATAATTCACTCGCAAATAAAGCCTCATTAAAATATCATAGAAAGATAAAAATGTCTCAAGTAGCAGCACAGAACTCGTTAAATAATTTAAAAATAAAACTCCCCGTTCCACGGACTATCTCCCAAGTCCGTTGGATACTCATCGAGGGCCATAACTACGTTTTGTTCGAATATTTGGGGACCACCCATATTGCGACCAGAGGTAATCCTTTACATAAATAAGATTTAAGTACGCCTTAAGTCTCGATATGTTCTTTCGTAAATAATTGCTAATTCAGTATTCTGGTTAAAAAATGCTTCTATAGTTTAATCTAAGTAATTGATAATGAATAATAAATTTATAAATAAGGACTTTGATTACAAGTGATACATATACAAGATATCTCCGGTTCTATCAAAGGTTGATATAATGCTGTTTTAATACAATAGAGAAAATAATGTATACCATAAAATACATTAATGGAATTTGTTCGAATCGAAACTTTTTTTGATTTACTTTACTAATTAACCTTTTTATGCGAACTTTATTGGATTGGATATTACTCTGTAACCCTTCCATTGGATTGTGTAAGAGATATTTATTACCCATATCTTACGTCTAAGAGACTCAAAACGGCAATAAGGATATATGTTTCGGAGAAAAATATTAAAGTATTAAAAAAAATAGCAGAACTATACTCCGTCAGTATACAGGCACATGTTTTTATGAAATATAATAACTTCTTGCTTAAATAACGTTCGTTTACTCACTTCACAATTTTCGATCTACTTTTTTACATCTTATACAATTTGCTAGAAATTAGGCTTTTTCAAGCAAACTAAAACATTTTTATAACAAAATGGACACGGTGAAGATAAATAAAATCACATAGCAAATATTACGGTGAATTTCATCGTTATATTTAATGGTCAAAATCCAAGTTTACGGAAAGGCTGAAAACGCGGAATATGTGTGAGATATTAACAATCCTTACCACCTCCTCCATTGATTTTTAAATCATTCTTTCACTGAATGAATGTTGAATGTATGTTGATAGTACTTTTAAATAGCATCATAGCATTAAAATGTGGTTAGACGTTCTAAAAACTAGACCGCTAATATATAATACGAGTAATGTCATGAAAGGATTGTCTTCTGTGATTTTATATTATGCTACTTCTTTCAACAATGTATCTTGGTCGACCTCCAAAATCTAACATCGATCAAATGATGTCACAGACTCAACTGACAGTCTTGACACAATATTTTCATCATGACAAATATTATTTCGGCTACTTGTCGACGAAAGGAAAATCATTTACTGCTATCATCTGAGGCTTAACATTTTTATGTAAACATTTTAATTACGCATTGTATTCTATAGTACATTTTCAACTTAAGTGTGCATCGTGCAAGGTAAAGTATACGCAATAGAGAATACATAATACATAAATATAGACGGCGCCCTTTCTTTTTTTATATGTCACTATTTAATAGACAATATACATAAAGACGTAAGGAAGGTAACTTTAGTTACATAATATGTAACTAAAGCTATTGATAAATGAAATAGGCATAAAAAAAAACGATTTTAATATTAGAAAAAGTTCACATTAGTGACAAAATTAGTGTCGTAAACCTGTCTACGCTTGCACAACGCCATCCCAGAACTGTATCCGAAAACATGTATCGGTACACGGGCATATCTAAATCGCGAGTGGAGCTAAGCAAGGCTGCATTCCTGGGCCGGTCGGCGCCGCGCGACGCGGAACTTAGCCCGCAGCCCGCCAAATTCCATCCGACGTTTCGCACAAACAAGTCGACGCGGAAAAACCCGAGCTCCATCGTCCGCTCACCATTTCGGCGATAGAGATTATTCTTCGCGATGGTATTCAGAGCGAGTACCGTGCGCCGTTACTTACGATCAACGGCTTTCTGGTATTAAGTTCTTCTCCATCGAACACGTTGCGTTATTTCCTTGGCCTAATCCGAACGGGAAACGTTTAACATTTATCACGGACAATATCTTTACTTTTGCCTCGACGGCACCTGCCGTGCCTCCCAACGTTCAGCTTTCTCTTTGATCTCCTGATACGACAACAAAACCATACTGCAACTAAAAAGTTTATGAGATAAATTCTTACTTTAATTTAGTAAAATCTTTATTCATAGCCCTTATCAGGAAACATTTTGTTTGTAATGATTCATTAATATTATTTGTCGGGTCGCACTATATTCATTGGCGTATCTAGGGTTATTTTTCAGGGTGGGCCTGGGCCTTTACCAGAAAAAAAAAATCAAACTATGCGTGGCATTATAAAAGTAACAGTTCATTATCGTTAATGATTTTTATTAATTTATAATAGTAGTATTAATTAATTAATAGTTAGTACGTTGTGTACAGTGTTTAGTACAAGTGTTGGCAACTCTAAAGGAAGTCGTTCCTTGAAGTTGTTGGCAACACTAAAAGAAGTGTCATTCTATGAGGTATAAATGTAGCTGCATGAAGCATTTCATGGCCTTCATCTGATCTTCGTCTTTCTCTGGCTGTCAACAAGAAGTATACGCGATAGTGCTGCCCAATCGGTATCAGAAATTAAATTGTTAGAGTGGTGTTTCATTAGTGTGTTATTGTTGTGCAAAGTGAAACTACGGTTATTTGGTAAAAGTATTTATATTTCTACCTTCTTAGCTCGATAAAACAAAGTACAGCTAACACAAGTAAATCAACGGAATTTATTGTAAAATAGTATATAATAAAAACTAAGTATCTACATAGATTTCCCGGCTGAAGATAATTATTTGATTTCAAAGATTTTATGAAGTTTCTTAGGTATCCAGCCTAGAATTTCGAACCGGTAACCTAAATCCTGGGGTGGGCACTATATGATACTGGGGTGGGCATGGCCCACCCGGCCCCCTGCTATATATGCCTATGACTATATTAATTAGTAAAAGTCAAAACAAATTAACAAATAATTATCAGACATATTTAATTACTCAATCGACTATTAAAACGATACATACCATATAAATCTCCACGTATAAGAAACATCTTAAAATGTATGTAGAAGGTTCATTCAAACTAATTAGTTTCGTTGAAGAAACGAACTATCAATATTGAACGCTTTGACGCCATGCTGTAATTTAATAACTGATTCTATACAAACCAAAAAAATTCTCTCAGCTAATTTCTCTTAGCTTCTTGAAGGAAAACAAGATGTGGTACAAAATACTGTTATTCATTTTAAGTTTTGTGAAACTAATAGCTAGCACATAATTAATGTATTGGGAAACAAATACAGAAGCCCTATTAAAAGTTTCTTGGATGTATGAATGAATTTTTTTAAAACAGTGGAGTTTCAGATATTTTGTCGGCACCAACCAGTTTGGCATCATTAAATAAGTTATGAGTATGGATACTTTATTTTACGCCTAGTTAATTATCATGAAAAAGGCCATTTCGTATGGATGAACAAATTGAGGTAGTGTAGAATGTGACACATCCATATTAGAGTGTACGGACTGGAATCTAAATTGATTGCTTCACAGGTAGTTTTTTATCAGGTTGAATATTGTAGTAGATGCTCTAGTAGATTCTAATTTAAAAGACAAATTTGACTGATGGAAGAGATTTGAATAAAATTTCAAAATTCTTTTAATGAAAATCGTCCTTTATGCACGACTTTCACTTTCAATTTATCTTAACATAAATTAAGGCCTCATTTTTAATTTTAAAGTCGACGTATAATTGCAGATATGCAGCAGTATTTTACAATGTTATAAACGAATGTTTTTCTACTTATTTTTTTTTTTTTCTTATATACTTGTCAATTACACGAATGCTACACATAGTTAAAAACATTTTACGGATTTTATCGCATTTTATTTCGGATTTGACGAAGCAAGCTATGAAGCTGGCTACACTTAGTATTTCTCTGCGTGATATAGTTCGCAATGAGTATATGTTTTACTACCATAAGTAATAAGTATAGCTCAAAAGATCCGTAAGCTGAAGTGGCAAGTGGCCGGCCTAGTAGAATATAGCTCGTGGAACGGATAACTGATAAGGAAGAAAGGTTTTCGAGTGACAACCACTCGAAAACCTTTTGGCAGTGCAAGTTGGCCATCACAGTATAGGAAGAGGAAGAGACTGCTAGATGGAGTGGCGATGCAAATGTTCGAGAAGACGATGGATGCAGGTAGCTCATGGTGGTGGAGGATCGTGCTCCATGGCAGTTTGTAGGGAAGACCTATGTATATTCAGCAATGGACGGTTAATGCAAGATAAATCGATGATATTTTGTAAAAAAAATGTAGAAACTGGATGAGAAGTTTTTCGCTGCTGCGATGATTTAAAATTGCGTCTTTCGGGATATACGCCCGACGCTCTACATTTTTAAGTAATCTTCGGTATTATACTCATCATGGCCGCTTGATTTATTACATTTTTTACGGAATATCTCCTGCACGAAGGAGCGAGAGGCGAAAAGCGACTACTAAAAATATTCGCAACAAGTTTTGCCGCCCGAAAATTACTAGCTACTTGGTCTATACGGAATTCCGCCACTTTTTTTTTGTATCGGGGGGGAAATCTAAAAAAGATAGGGATCTCCTACGGAACGCTACGGTGTCCCTCAGTACTGCGCGTGAGCACGCCTCGGAGAAGGATAAACCTTCCCCGATTTCCTCGCCGTCTTGCAGCATGTGACCACTCCGTGCTGCTGCCAATCCGTGTCCCCTTTAAGTCGCCTTTTACGACAGGCAGGGGATACCTTAGCTCTAGTCTATGAGCCCGAGACTATAGGGCTGACGGGGCGACTTGTATAGAGTTCCACCCCTGTGTGACGCTGGTCTTGTGTGAGGTAGGTACTTCCACGGACGAGCCTGTCTATTCGAGCGACAGCGTTGTTGCGTGTCCCGACCACAGTTTATCTATTCCGATTAACGCAAACAGAGCTTACATTATCCTGAACTCTTGTAGTTTTACAATTTTAATATTATAAGCACATCACTAGCTGATGACGTCCCCCAATCGTCTCTAAGGAAATTAGAATTTGCTTTTATTTTTATAGCCTCTGTTGGAATTGGAAGAAATCGATGTCCTCTTGGGTGGATTTGAGTTTTATCGATTTTTTTTATTATTCGGATGTTAAGTGATAATCGCCGCCCATGGACATTTGTAACACCCGTAGGGTTGCAGATGAAATGGCACCTTTTAATAAAGTGCGCTATATTGTTATTAGTAAAGTAGTTAATAGGAAGTTAGTTATTAGCAGTTAATTAGAATGGTCTTCTTCAAACGTGATTGCTTCACGTCAACTAAGTGTTCCTTTACTCGACTTTCATTGATCCCTTTCCTAGTTTTTAGAATGGACCAAATTCACAAGTCAAGCTTCTTCTGGTATTGTAGAGGGATATTACGCTTGACCGGTAGTAGAACTACCTACCCATTATACCGCCACAATAAAATTTGTAAATAATTACCACCGATTTTCTCTGGAGCGGGTATGGCCTTAGTAAGTTGAAATTAATACCAACATATATATATTTTTGCTAGGTCCACTCGTTCCCGAAATAATCGATGGTGACACACGGACAGACAGACGGAAAAGAGAGTGATCTTAAAACGGTTCCTTTTAGCTTATAAGGTACGGAACCCCAAAAATGTTTGTTTTGTTCTTAAGGTTTTAAATTGTAAAACATAAAAATCCCCTAAGAATTAATACAAGTATGTTTGTTTCGTTGTTCGAAACTATAACTGAATAATTAGCTATATTACTAGTTATTTATTATATTTGATTAGGTTTTCAGTTAATTTTATATCTGACACCCACCATGTATCTCTAACAGTTGTCACAACAGGATTAGATAAACGATTGCGTGACGCACTGTGTGCGAACATGATATATTACTTTCGTATCAAAGAAATATTACTGAACACGTTTACATGGTAATATTTCTTATGTTGGATTTGTTTCGTTCTTTGTGGTTATATATTTTTCCGTGGACCGGCAGTTACGTCCGGTTAAAGGTCAAGACATATTTTACTGTTGTAATTCTACCTAATGGCTTCAGTCGCATAATCGTGGAACTATTGCAATTTTTTTCGTAATTGAATTGTGTGAATTGACTAACTCAATAATCGGGTTTGCGTACAACAGCCCAGAAAGCTTCATCGTAAAATGAATGAAAAAATATAAAAAGGGAAAGAACGAACTGTTAGTTTTTTAGTTTGTATTAAGCATCAAAATATAGATAAATAGAGCCTTGTGGCGGCATCTATATATCTATATTTTGATACTTAATACTAACACTAAAAAACTAACACGAACAGATTGAATTTGACATATTTGCTACATACACTCATATAATTTATCCTGGTGCCTTGTATACTGTTGGTGTGTACATAACAATAACTTACTTTTATATTACTTCAAATGATAATGCGAAAAGTTTTGTTTTTTACTTACTTCTAGGTTCTAAATTTTTCATTAAAATATAATCGAAAGCCACCGTGCTATGAAGAACCAAAAGTTCGATGTGCCGTAAAATGAAAATCAAAAGATTCCATAATTATTGGTATGTATATATGATATGACTATACTTACCAGCTCATCGCAAGATTACCATTAACTTGTCACGACGTTGCAAATGAGGCACTCGGTACAAGTTATCAAGATAAACAAAAAAGTTTACTTTCCGAGATAATTTTTTATGTGACGGTCAGCTTATCAGCACAACATTTGATAATGAGGTCTTCACAATTTTAAGCATACAGTAATATTATTTTGGTAATGGATAAAAGTAAGTTTATTTTAAAACATACTCTTGAAAACTTACTG